AGGAAGTGTTCACTAGCGTCATGAATACCTGTTGCTGGGGCTGGCAGGACTTGTTTAAGTGAAGGAGAGGCCTCTTAGATGTTAAGACCTGAGTAATCATTTAATGGTGTCAGCCTATGTTAGCTGCAATAGAGTTTTTTTATTTGGAGAATAATTTAATATTTACTGTTGCTAAAAGCCGACATGTCCAAAAGGGTATGTACTTGTGAAACTGGGGAGAGCCCACATCGCTTGAGGATGGCTACTTGTCTAGATGAAAATGAGTGTCTCTCTATTACTGTCAAGCCCAAGTAACGGGCTTTGCACAGGCTAAAGTAATTTATTTAGAAGCTTTGTGGCCCTTGAGGGCACAAGAAGAAAGGGAGACTAAGAATCTCATTTGAGGCCTTTTAGTGAGAAGGAAGCCGACGGAAAACTATCATATTGGATGAGAACAGTTTCCAGGAAATACTATGTTATTTAATTTGCTTTAAGAATTAGTACAGGAGTTCTAGGCTGAAACTGCGGATTAAAAATGTGCATCTAGATCCATTTCCTCTAAAATCCCTCCTAAAACCACAGTAAAATATTTATTTTAAAAAAAGATTTGATCTATTTATCTTAAGAGGGGAAGGGAGGGAGAATGACAGGGAGAGAAACATCAATGTGTGGTTGCCTCTGGTGCGCCCCCTAGTGGGGACCTGGCTCTCAAGCCAGGCATGTGCCCTGACTGGGAATCGAACCAGCCACCCTTTGGTTCACAGGCCAGCACTCAATTCACTGAGCCACACCAGCCAGGACAGAAAAAAAATTTTTTTTTAACTATAGTAAATCCACAAGGATGAGGAGAACAGGGAAGACAAGCGTAACAAAATGTGGAAGCTAGACAGCAGAAGAGAAATGCTAACTGTTGTAGCAGATCTAGGAAGGGACAATTCCTGAGCTAGTAGTTGGCAAAAGTGAAAGCCAAGCTGGCGTAGACCGTGGAATCCTAAAAACCGTAACCACCGGCAGGACCAGGTGTCTCTGGAATTGGGAGTAGAGGAGGGTCCAAGGTAACGAGGAGCAAGTGGGCCTCCACGGCTCCTTTGTCTCTGCATCACCACCCTTGGCCTTTGGTTTCCCATTACTTCATTCATTAGGGCAATATTTTCTTTGAATTTTGTAAACATATCTTCTTTTCTACTTTTGAACATATTTATAATAATTTCCTTAAAATCTTTGCTAAACCCACCATCTGGACCATTTTGAGGTCAGTTTCTATTGACTCTTTGTTGTTTTTTACTATGGGCACATTTTCGTATTTTCTTGCATGTGTAGGAATTTTATACTATTCAAGAGACCATTACCACCTCTACTTTTTTTGTATTTTTAAAATTCTGTATTTCTACTATGAATAGGTAATACTCTTAAATGTGCAAATGTCAGAAGATTAATTAAAGGGCATACAAGGAAGTCTATTTCCTTCCCCATCTACCCAGTCCCCACTCCCCAACATGTATCCATGGTAATTAGTTTTTTAATGAACAGGAGAGTATAGATGCATGTACAGACATCTATAATCACTATTTTCTGCACAAATAGTAGTATAATATGTTTACTATTTTGCACCTTGCATTTTTTTTTTTTAAGTATGAAAGGGTATTGGCTCACATCACTGAAAAGTCCATGGCATGGCTAACAACACGGCAGGATCCTGGGCCTCAGCCAGTCATATTAGAACCATTTCTTTGCCTTTTCCTCTCTTGCCTGCACTCTCCTCTGTGGTGGCTTCATTCTCAGGCTAGCTCCTGCCACTCCCAGTCCCAACTGCATGAAGACATCCTAACAGCATGGGAACCCCAGCAGAAAGGGCATATTCCCAGTAAAGTCTAACAAAAAGTCTTGGGGAGAGCTCTCATTGGACCAGCTAGAGTCACAGGCCCATCGCTGAACCAATCACAGAGGCCAACCTGGTGGGCTGTGCTGACTGGCTAGGTCTAAGTCACATAACCATCTCTGAGGCCCTGGACTTGAGCATCCAGTCCCACACTGGCATGAGGCACAAGGGCTGGAAGCTGGGGAGAGGTGGCACCCCAAAGGAATAGCAAGGTGCTGTTGGCGGAAGCTTCTCCACTGGTGAAAACATGTCTACTGCAAAAGGTGCTGTTTTGTTTTTGGGTTTTTGGCTCTTACATGCCTGGAACCTGCTTGTGTAGCTGAGGCCACTCCTGCTTCCTAGCACTGGCCTCTTGGAAAATACCCCGGTGTGGAAAGCAGCTGCCCCAACAGTGTTTTGTTTTTTGATCCTGTATTTGCCCACTTGCCATCTATTAACTGTAGGGCCAAACTAATATTTCCTGTGATGCTGCTTCTGCAGGCATGGAAAGTCTTAACTACAAACTGTCCAACTAATCCCAAGTCCAGACCCACAGCCACCTCCTCTGTCACCCCCACACACCACTCCAACATTGCTGCTGCCCTAAATCAGCTCAGGGCCAGGAACCAGACATCTGGGAAGTGACCCTATGCCCTAAATCTTGCTGTAATTATTTCACCCAGGGGTTTATCAGGTAAACACTCAAAAGAAACAAACAAAAAAAAAAAAAGGGGGAAATGGTCGGAGACAGGAAAAGACTTTACCTGCCTGCAGATACAGGTGCTTAGCTGTTCTAAAATATTTTTTAAGAGGAAAAAAGGGGTTATGGAAAGTAGGGGACGGATTAGGCTGAGGAAGGGAGCAGCTGCTGTCTAGAAGTACTGGGTCCTCCTGGCTTCCTCTTTCATCAGCCTGAGACAGAAACTAAGAAAAAAACCCACAGCTTCACTGGCTAAAAGCCATGTAACAGATACATTATGTATGTATACGTGACCCGTAACTACCTTAAAGCAAAGATCCTTAATGTGGCCCAATTGGAAGTCCAAAATTTATATACTAATGTATATAAAAGAAGATAAAAAGGGTGCTGACTGGCTTCTGTGTGTCTGCAACATAGGTTCTAAATTAACTGCAACATTTGCTAAAATGCACCAATTGACAAAACTTTGTGGATGTAATTATTATCGGAGCTCAAATTATAGCTATACTTGGGGATCCCATTAAATGTAAACACTGTGCCCCTCTAATCTTAAGAAAGTAACTACAAAAGATGAAAAAATAGGAATGCCTCGCTTTATAGCCTTGCCTAAACTTCCCATACTGACAATACCCATGGCTGGAAAAATATCCCACATTGGACCAACACAATGAGTAATATGGCATCCCAAGAACCCCATTCCCCAGTTAAAATAGTTAAAATGGTCTAATATAAGTTAAAACAGGGCCTTTGAGGATTAAAACTTATTATACAAAGCCTAATTAATAAAGGGGTGATTGGCCTACTGCTTTTCCGCTGGAAACTCCTAGGGCTGTCATAACAAAATACCACAGACTGGGTCATTGAAGCAACAGACATTGATTTTTCTTGTAGCTCTGAAGGATGGGAAGTCCAAGATCAAGGTGCTGACTTGTTCAGCTTCTAGTTAGGCCTCTCTTCCTGGCCTGTTGATGGTGGCCTTCTTGCTGAGTCCTCACATGGCCTTCCCTCTGGTAACATAAAGAAATCTCTCTCTCTCTCTTCCTACAATGCTACCAGTCCTATCAAATCAGGGGCCGATCCTTATAACCTCATTTAACTTGAGTTACCCTTCATAAAGGTATTACCTCCAGTACAGTTTCATTGGGAGTTGAGACTTTGACATGTACATTTTGGGAGGACACAAACGTTCAGTCCATAACCAGAGCCCCACGGTGGATTACTACAACATGAATGCTTTGGTCCCATCCATCAGGGCCTCCACACCCAATATCCAACATCAAAAGTACTGGCTCATCTCCCAGGCATGAGGACACCTCCTGAAAGCCGTACCTAACCCTCCGGCTCTGCCTATGTGGCCCTCCTGGGCGCTCCCATACCTGTCCTGTTTCTTATGGCTATGTCGTCATATTAGGGTACAAGTGTCTGCCTCTTTCACAGATGTCTAACACACTGTGTGCTCCATTAGGAAGTTCTCCAGAGCCAAGCACCACGCCTGGCACTAGATAAAGATGCAAACTTGAAGGTCAGTGAAGAAACAGGCAAAAAGAGGGTTTTGGTCTTGTGTAGAGCAGGCATTTCAGCTGAATGTCAACCCCTCTTTTAGTTGAGAGGGTCCTACTTAATGTTGTTAAGTGGTATCCTTTGAAGTGTAAGTGTTAGCCGCTTTCTTTTAGATTATTCACAAGCTTGAACCTTGTCTCTATCCTGCTTCCTACTTGGCCATTTTTGCTATTAAATATCTGCTTAACTTACTCTGCTTTTGCTTTTTTTCTATAGAATAATTTTACAATGTGTTTTGTTTGCATCTGTTTTTTGTAAAATTTAAAACTTGGCAGACTTCGCACATAAAAAAGGAACAAATTTCGCCTTTTCCTTAAAAAGAGAAATAAAGGATGGAATTTTAAAAAGGAAAGGAAGATCTGGCGTCACTGGGCCAGATTCTCGCGTGGCCAGCAAGCAGCTGGAGCCGCACCTCGGTCTGCACAGGCCCCTGGTGGAATCTGGGTTTGCGATCCCAGTGAATGACAACTTACTGTTGCTCGAGTGCAGCAGTACCCGAGAGGCCGAGGCCCGCGTTACTAATGGAATGGAGAGGCTACCGGAACCTCAGACGGTCAGAGCCCAACAGCTCCGGGCACAGAGCCTCTCCGCCTGGGGGAACCGGCAAGTGTCAAGCCCCCCTCAAACCCCAGGGTATTCAACCCCACCGCAGTCCGCGACCCCGTTGCCTGTTTTGTATGAAAAACCTTTACCGGCACTAGGAATCACAACAAAAACAGAGCCCCAATTAGCACCGGAAGCCCGGCGTTTAACCAGAGTCACCTGACACGTCATTGTGAATTATGATTGGGCTTCCTTAGCGGAGCAAGGTGGCCCCGCCCCGGAAGCCCAAGGGGGGGCGAGGACAGGCGCGGAGGCGCAACGGTATTGGTCGGTTCCCTCAAGGAGCAGCCAATCGGAATCTGCTGACAACTGGCGCGAAGTGAGGTGGCTCGCGGAGCGCGGAATGTGGAGGCGGCGCGGGGAGTTTGGACCCCGGTTCCGCCGGCTCCGAGCCTAAGAGAGAGGTGAGTGCGGCGCACGGACTGAGGGCCGCCCCGCCCCAGCGCAGCTCGTCTTCCCGGCCCGGCCGGAGAGGAAAGCTTCGCCGGCTCCTCCGTGTCTCGTCCCGGTGCGCTGAGCCCTGTCGTTTCGCGGGCTGCCTGGGAGAGAGCAAAGAGGGTTCCCCGAAGGACACAGGCCCGGGGCGGGGGCGCGCTGTCCCAGAGCCGCCCAGGGCGTTGGGGCCGAGCCGGCCTAGAGCCACTGACCTGGGTGTCTGCCGAAGAGTAGTCACTGGCCGGGCCCAGTCCAGGGCGCTGCTCCGTCCCCATTTCCCTCCGGAGGGAAAACCAAAACGCTGCTCCGTTCAGTGGCCTTCCACAGCCGGCTGCTCTGTTTTGAGTGTCGCCGTGTGCCACGTGTTTGGCACTCGTGGACTGACAAGTGTAGCGTCACGAGCCCGCAGTGAAGGGACGTAGGTCAGATGTCCGGGTTCGAATCCCGGCTCTTCCACGTACCGTACCCCTCTGACTCCACCGTTACTTCAACTAAGTGCCTCGATTTCCTTCCGATATGTAGGCGTAAAGAACCTGGGTTGTTGGGGGGGCGGGCGGGAAAAGGTGGCGAGGGGTCTGAATTAAACGATATAGTAAATGCCTCAAGGAGTATTTGGCTGCAGAGTAAGGGTTCGGTGTTCTTTACTCAGCGAAGTAGGTCAAACTGCCCCCCTAGAGCAGCCGAAGCGCAGAGACGCTGTCCGTGCTAAAAGGGCTTTTGCTGCTCAAGTGCTGGAGACGGGATTCGATCTAAGCGCTGACCCAAAGCGTCGACCCAAAGCGTCTTCCTCCATCCACATCAGGCTGTCGCCCATTGCCCTTGGGTGTCTCAGAACGGTGGTCCCCAGTGAGATGGGGAAGGTGCCTGCCTGCCCCTGGTGCCGCCAGCGTGGATGGCACCCGTGCCCCTGTCAAGGCTAAGGAGCAATCTTGGGGGGGGGGGGACTGAGCTGGGGATCAGAAGTCGAAAAGGGGGAGGCAGGTCTTCTGTGTGGCGAAGAGTAAATAGAAGGAAACCGACCCCAAGTTTTGTCAGCGGGGCCGCCGTCGGAAAGTAGCTCCTCCTGGGAGGAGACCCTCTGGAGAGGTAGCTGGTGCCTTCCTTATACCGAGCAGGAAACCCCGAGTTTAAAAATGGGGCAAAGGCCATGCTGTGCGATGTGCAGAAAGTCAGGAATCTGCAGGGGAATTGCACACACCCACTTGGGGACAGCCAGCACGATCTGTGAGAACGGAAGGGAAGGGGACAGAAGGGGAGTGAGTGGGATTTTAAAATATATTTGAAATGTTTTATGCTTTGAAAGAGAGAAATAGGATCGAAGTTCATTTCTTAAGTTTGGTTGGTGGGTACATGGTTATCATTTTATTTTGCGTATTTTTCTATATGTTTGAAATATTTAAAATTCAAAGAAATAGATCAATATAAATGTATATAATAAATATATTAAGTATATATTTTAGAACCTATGTCTTTTTTATTTTAATACATATGTATTCTTTATTTTTTAAATATATTTCTTTTAAGGAAAGAAAGGATAGAACAAAGAGGTCCAAAGTAATTGCAAAATACTCTTGGGAACTAAATGTTGAATGCCCCAGTGGGTCTCCATTGCCCGATAGGAATCATTGCCCAAGTCCATGGCACAAATAGTACGTAGACTTCCCTTTTTTACAACCTCTACCCTGATTGGAAAGTTCTACTTGTTTCAAGCTTGTCTTTTATATTTCTTTTTTTTTTAATATTTATTTATCTTTAAAGAAAGGATGAGAAACATCAATGTGTGGTTGCCTTTTGGGCGCCCTCCCCACTGGAGACCTGGCTCCACAGCCCAGGCAGGTGCCCTGACTGGGAATCAAACCAGCGACCCTTTGCTTCACAGGCCTGCGCTCAATCCACTGAGCAACACCAGCCAGGGCTTATATTTCTTTCTTTTTTTTAAAATTTTATTTATTTATCTTTAGAAGGGAAGGGAAGGAGAGAAATACCAATGTGTGGTTGCTTCTGGTGCATCCCCTGCTGGGAACTGGCTTGCAACCCAGGCATGTGCCCTGACAGGGAATCGAACTGTGATCTTTTGGTTTCACAGGCCTGTGCTAAATCCACTGAGCTACACCAGCCAGGGCTTATATTTCTAAATGTAGTAAGTTTAGTTGCTTTATACTCTCATGCCTGATGTTGTTTGCTTCTGTTACAACTCATTCTTGTTTCCATGTGTGCTTGGCTGTTTTTACCTGTATTTGGTATACACCGTCTCGAAAAAATTATTTGTAGGCATTATTTAAGACCTAAGGTAAATGCATATTCCTCCAGAGATGTGCTTGTACTTGCTTCTGCCAGGTGCCTTGGAGTTAGAATCACTTTAATCTGAATTCATGGCTTGAGGGTGTGTGTGTGTGTGTGTGTGTGTGTGTGTGTGTGTGTGTGTAAAATTATGCTTGTATAAAAACTGGGTTGAAAAGATTCTTGGGCTTGTGGTTTCAAGGTCTGTCCCATTCAGTCCCTCAGCAATTACTAACTTTACTTATACACAGACACCTGGGGATGGAAGTGGGGTTTAAATTTTGGTTTATCTTTTTCCAAATGATATAGTCTTCCAAAATGAGGAGGTGCCTTTAGACACGCAAGGATTGTGGTCTTGAAATATTCCCCACTTAATTTAAAAAATCAGGGCTCTTTGCCGTGGCTGGTGTAGCTCAGTGGATTGAGCACAGGCCTGTGAAGTAAAGGGTCACCAGTTTGATTCCCAGTCAGGGCACATGCCTGGGTTGCAGGCCAGTTCCTAGCAGGGGACTCACGAGAGGCAACCACACATTGATGTTTCTCTCCCACTCTTTCTCCTTCCCTTCCCCTCTCTCGAAAAATAAATAAATAAAATATTAAAAATAAATAAATAAAATATGTATTTTTTTAAAATCAGAGCTCTTTGGGGAAATGGCTAATTGTAAGTCTGGGACAAAAAGAGAACAAGCCTGGGATATCTTTTCATTCAAGATAGTGAGGAAACTCAAAGACTACTAAGGTTATGTCAAATGGAATGAAGAACCAGCCTGCAAAGGTTCCTACTTAACATGGAACAGTTCTGAGAATCAGTAAAAGTGGTAACTGTATTGGATGGAAACATACACAAATATGTTCAATCCATGAGTTTATAATGATACTAAGAAAATGGTGATCGCCATTGGAGGTCGTCAGAGTATGAACTCATCATTTTGAAAATTAACAAATAAAGGAAAGGAATTAGACATTTATCCTGGGTCACAGTAGCCTTCTCTTGATAGAAATACACAGTGGGATAAAAGTAGGTTTACAGTTGCTTGTATAGAAAATACATAGTAATACAAAGATAAACTCTGTTTTGCATACTTACAACTGTAAACCTACTTTTGCCCCACCCTGTATTTCAGCTAATGACAAATGAAGGAGTGGCAATTAATATCACCATTTGGCGGGGGCAGCTTCCGGAATGGTGAAGTGAGGATGTGTGCATAGATGGTAGTTGTGTAGGAGTTCATTGTACCCTTCTGTCTGCATTTTCATGTTTATTTTGGTAATAACTTTATTAAGATGTGGTTAAGGTGGCCTAACCTGCACATTATGTTATGCAATAGTTCAGCAACATCAGTTTGTTCTGCAAGGGGAATATACGGTTGGTAAAAGTCCTCTCTCAGGTTGAACTAAGTAATTATGAAGCCTGGTGCCTTGCTGGTAAACCATTGCTTCCACGGGTGGTGCTCTTTCTTCCTTGCCCCCGTGGGCAGAGAATTCAGTGATTCATTTGTTCTTCGGGTTCAGTAGGCTTCGAGTACTTTCTCCCACCTCCCTCCCTGTCCAATTGCTATTTATTCTTTGAGCCCAGGCCAAATGACATTCTTCTGCGAGCCCTTTCCTATTAATCCCTTCCCTAATGTCTTTTGTGCGTATTTTAGCATTGGGGGAAAACCAGGCCATTTTGGTATTCAAGTGAGCCTTCAGTTGTTTAAAGATTATATATTTCAAATGTTACCAGTTGCATAGGTCAAAACAGTCTGTTGACTAAAAAAAAAAAGCCTCATTACTTTGCACACAGTTGGGAGAGTTCTCCATGCCCTTTGCTCCCCCAGTCCCCTCAAAATATGGTGATCAGTGCAAAGTAGTGACTCTGCTGATCTTTTTTTCCTCCTCTCTTTTTAGGATCATGGCTGCTGTTCCTCAAAATAATCTACAGGAACAACTGGAACGTCATTCAGCCAGAAAACTTGACAATAAATTAAGTCTGTCGAAAACAAAACCTTTGTAAGTATTTTGGTCGTTTTGTTGTTACACAGGCACTAACCTACGGTGTCATACAAATGAGATGCCTGCGCTTTCAACCCTTTCATTGTGTAGATGAGTAAATAAAGCTGTGAGGTCAGTGGTTTTCCCACTTTGCAAATTAATGGCAGAGCATGTGTTTGCGGCACCAGGTAATAAATTGTTCAGCCCGTTTGCAGTTTCTGACACATAACACTTGCTCAGTAAATATTCGTAAAATGAATAAATAATGAGTCTTTTTGTAAATTCAGGCAAATGGGTATTTTTTAATTTTTTAAAAGGTTTTATTTGTTTATCTTTAGAAGTGAAGGGAAGGAGAAAGGGAGAGAAATATCAGTGTGTGGTTGCTTCTCGTGCATCCCCTGCTGGGAACTGGCCTGCAACCCAGGCATGTGCCCTGACTGGGAATCGAACCACGATCCTTTGGTTCGCAGACCCGTGCTCAATCCACTGAGCTTCACCAGCCAGGGCTATTTTAAATATTTTAATAAAATTTTATATCCTTTCCAAAAACAATTTGTGAGGAAACTGTAGTTCTCTGGTTCTGTTCTTCCCCCAAAGCTATACCCCGAACTTCTAATGATATCTAACAATAACATATATTCGTTATTGTACTCTTAACCAGGTTCTAGACTGGGCGCTTGACTTCAAAGTGACCATTGACCCTTATGTCACTAGATCCAGAGATGTCCAAGACTCTTGCTTTGCTCCAGATCTCAGTATAGTGAGCAGTTTTTAACTTTTTCCCCTCATAAAACTTTTATCAGAGTAGCAATGAGCAGCCGCATTTGAGTCTCTTCTGTTTTTCACTTATGCTGTCCCTCCCTCCGGAGGTGCTGTTAATTAAGGACTCCCAGCCTGAGAGATACAGTTCTGGGAATGGCCTGGATAATTAGCCCCTGAATAGGGAGGATCAGGGCACACAGAGTATAATTTAAGTAAATCTTTAAATGGGAGAGGGGAATAGAGACTTGGCTCACTGGTGCCACGATGAAGGTAAGTTATATAAATTAGTAAAAATCGTAGAGTTTTGTGGAGTTGGTGGGTTTCTTAAAATGCTTCTAAGTTAGGTTTTCAATTTGTCCAGTGCTTACACTTTCAAGAAGAAAATATCTTCAGCCAACAACGTGTGTGTGGCCAGTGTGTCAGTAGCAAGGACACCTGCGTTAAGTGATAAAGATGTGAATGTCACTGAGGACCTTTCCTTCATTGAAACTTCCCCCTATAATCAGCTGACAAGGATCTGTGACTTCAAAAATGCTGCCACAGGACAGCAGACCAAGAGGATCGGTTCAAAACCATTGTTGCCAGACCCGGTGCAGGCTCCGAGGGCAGTTTTACATACTACCCAGAGCACTCCGATTGTGAAGGAGTCTCGTGATGCTACTTTCAAGAAGTTAGAGTTTAGTTCTTCCTCAGACTCTCTTATTACCATCAACGACTGGGACGATATGGATGACTTTGATACTTCTGGGAATTCAAAAGCATTTTTTACACCAGTCCGAAATCACTTCGTAAGAGTAAGCACTGCTCAGAAATCAAGAAAGCCTAAGAAAAACGTTTTTAAAGCACAGCCTCATACAGCTGATTTGACTCCTTCCTCCTCCGATTGCAAGCAAGTGCCTTTGACTACGGAACGGGAGGCCGACTCCCAACAGTCAAGTAGCGATGTGATTTGTATTGACGACGGCCCTGATTGTGAGGAGTTTACAAGCAAAGATACTCAGGATAGTCCCTCTGTAAAGCTTCATTTGGGAGAGGAGAAAGGTAAAAATTACTATTTTATTTTTATTTCAGTGTATTGATTACATTTGTTCATTCAGAGCGAGGCACGGGAACAGTAGCGAGTATGAGGTAGCTTTGTTCTCAGGGTCATTAGGGGCGCTTATTGGACAGTAGGTTGATCACACGCTCAAGGCAGGGCATACTGATGAGATGAAAGATTTTATTCTGCTAATAAAAATTTTAGATTAACACCAAAGCTTGCGCTGTGATTTTTATGTGTGAAGAAAATAAGGTTCGTAGAGGTTCAGGTGGCCTGTTAGTGGTCTGCTGGCTTGGGAAGTGGTAGAATTGGGAAGTGAAGCTAAGCCTTTCTATTCTAATTCCTTAAAGGCTTGCTGCCACCTCATATTGCTGTGTAATGTGATCTGATTATGCTATTAAACATTATAAATTAGCCCTGGCTGGTGTAGCTCAGTGGATTGAGCACGGGCCTGCGAACCCAAAGGATCGTGGTTCGATTCCCAGTCAGGGCACATGCCTGGGTTGCAGGCCAGTTCCCAGCAGGGGACCCATGAGAGGCAACCATACATTGATATTTATCTCCCTCTCTCCTTTCCTTCCCCTTTAAAGATAAATAAATCTTTTAAAAAAATGTTATAAATTACATTCAAATTATTTTCTGTTTAGGTCTCATAGTTACTAGATGTCTAGAACTTAATAGCTAAGATTAGCTATATGTGGAAGTACCTTCCTTATGAAATAGTCATAAATATGAGGCTAAACTTTTTAAACCCCTGAATCCCATTAAGGTTTACCGTAGGATGAGAGAAGACCAAAAAGTGATTCATAATGAGCAGAACTATAGAGTCTAATCAGATGTGCTGCTGTTCATAAAGAGAAAATTTGGTAAAAGGTCAACTAAAGAGCAAGAATTTGGCATTGTGGTTTTTCTTATATTCAGGAGAGAAACACCATTTGGTAGACTGAAGTCACTAGGAAGCCTTTGTGATAAAGTAAAAGTAGTTTGTACAGAGAACAGTGTTTGTACAATGATCAGATTCATTTGTCTCACTTCACCTTTATTTAAATATGAGCCAAAAACAGAAAACAAACATGCTAATGCTAAGTGTGGGCTTCATTTCACTGGAGACAGCCATCCTTAAGCAGGTCTCTGGCCTCAGGCCAGCATTCACTGGACTGCTCCAGTTGACTCAGTGGTTTGTGAAGAGTTAAGCCACTGTTATGGTGGGAGAGGAGAGGACTCACGGGCGGTGTTACTGTTCAGGATGTGCCCGAGGCACTCACTTTTCAGTGCTCATACCCTGTTCTGTGTCATTAATTATTTAAGTAACCTATGTTTATCAACTGTGCACTTTAGATAATAGTGAGAAAAAAAACAACTTGGAAGAAACTGAGTTACATTCAGTTGAGAACTCTCCGTGTGTTGAACTCGAAGATGATTACAACACAGATTTTGTTCCACCTTCTCCAGAAGGGACGACTTCCGCCTCTTCTTCCTCTTTGAAGTGCTTTAGGTAAAACAGCTAACTAATTAGTAAGCATTATTGTTTGTTTCTGGAATATCTGAAATAACTTAATTATGTAATATTATTTCTGTATAATTTCATGTTCTGCACAGTTTATATCCAAATGAAAGCTTCAGAAAGTCCCTGATGATCCATTTTATTTAATTGGTGGTATTCTGAAACTGTAAAGTTCCAGCTTTACAGTTACTATCAAAGTTGTAATTACATGAGACCTCCAAACAGTTTTGTATAGTTGGTTTTAACATGTGGGATATGTTCCTAAAAATATTGTATTTCTTAACTCCTGGACCTAAAATGACACAAAGCTAATTCTTCTTGTGGAAAGTGACTTTTGGTAAGTGATATGTTTTTAATTTTACGGGATATAATTGCCTACTGTATTTGACATTCACTGAATTTTAGCAAATTAGGGGCATGGTTGTGGTTAGTTGGTAGTGTGATGGGAAAAAACACATTGTCCACACAGCTCATCAATAGTTTAAAACCCTAATAGTCATTGTTACCTTTGTGCTCACCCCAGCCTAAATCACAGTCCAGTTGGGTGGTGGAGCACATTCCATGCTATTAACTGAGATTTTGATGAGCTAGATCCCAAAAGTATATTACCTTAATGAGGGGAGGAAGGCAGGAAGGAGGCGTTTGTGTGCGTAATCTAGTTTCTCCGGTTTGTGTTTTAACAGGTGTGTTGGGGTGTTTGAAGAGGCAGGAGAGGTTGAAGCGTGATTACTATTTGATGACAGAACTAAAAAACTGTTAACAGCTGCCCACTCTTCTTCTCCCTTCCGATAGAAATTCAGACAGAATTGCACAAAGTAGAAAACTCAGCAGGAGTTCATGTAGAGTCTGGGTTCTAAGCCAGCATCATCACTTAGCAGGGGAGGCAGCCGAGGCCCAGGAAGGAGCAGGGGATAGCCCGAGAGGATAAAATTCATGACAGATGAACTAAGATGCAGCCAGGGCTATTTCCTGGCTTTTCTGTTTGTTTATTTTAAAAGTGTGCATTGCACAAATAACACTAACCACTTTACCGGTATTCTTAACTCGTAGTCTCAACATTCCAACAAACCAAACATTATTCAAGTTTGGTTTGGATTTTTTTACATGTATATAATTTTTGCATTGCTGTGATAAACATGTAACTATAATTTTTATTCTTTTCTCTGAGTATTATTTTTAAAATATTTTCCATATAGTTTTTATTTTTATTCCATTAATGGCTGTATAATATTGAGTTGTACCTAGCTGTACCTAGTTCTCCAGCACTTGGAAAATGGTTATTTCTGAGGTAGAGTCTCTCTGTATATTTTTCCATTGCAATCTTGTGTACATGTTTGTACGTGTTATAACACAAATAGAATTTTCTAGAATTTTTATGTGCAGAGTACACTTGAATTTTATTTTTCATTTTTGTTTTAAAATGCTGGTTGTGACTTCTGAATTGATTTCAGAGGTGTGATGGTCAGGTAGCATATAACAGAAGAGAGAACAAATGTGTTTTTATAGCTGGCCTTCAAAATCTTCCATCGTCGGGCCCCAGACTGCCTTTTAGCTTTATCGCCAGTTATGTCCTTTCTGTAACCTAGAGCTGCGATGAGCCCAGTGGGACAACTTGGGGAACACTGCTAAAAATGTGAGGCTCTTTCTTTGTTATAACACCATATCATTTTATAAAGCATAGTTTTATTCATCACTGTTTGATTTAGTTAGAAGATTGCATCCTAAAATCCTGTTTTAGAAAAGTAGTTGATTCTTGGGTATCGAGTGAATAGAATTGTCTTTTTATCTCTTCTTAGTCTCACTTCTCATATCCGTCCTTCAAGGCTTCTGCCAACTCCACCCCCTTTGCAAAGCCTTCTCAGGTTCTGGAAAGGGTTATCTTTCTTTGGATTACCACAGTACCCTCTCTTTAATGATTAGTACTGATTTTATTGCTTTCAAAGTATTTTTTGAAAGTATTTTATTACTTTTCAAAGTATATCCAGTCAGACTGACCGTGTTTACATATGTTAATCTGTTTTTGCATGATGTACATAAGTTAACTATGTACAGATATACACATTATATGTGCTGGTATAGGAGGAGCCTGAATAAAATGCTTTGGAATCTCAGAAGAGATCGAGGTTAACGACCACCTGCTGGAGAAATCAGAAGAGTAACACTTGGGCGGGGCCGAAGGGGGCAGGTGAGGTGGGCTGCCCTTGGAGCCTGGGATGATTGAAAGGACGCCAATGGAGGTAAAGTTGAAACGGTCTCTTGGGCCAGAAGATGAAAGACTCTGAGGGCCAGCTGAGAGGTTTTAGAATTGAGAAGGTAACAGAAACATGTTTCTCTTGTATGTTAAATGTTGTGGAGACATATCAGAGGAAAAAATGATGCATTTGATGCGCTCTACACTTTGACTGGTTGTATTTGTTCTAATTGGCAGTATGTTAAAGGAGCCTGACCCCTGTGACAGGAAGACGGACGACCTCACCTCGCCCGAGAACTTGTCCAAACTGGGGGAAATGCCCGCTTGGCCGTCACCCCGCAGAACCAGCACGCACTGTGACGGTACAACCAGTATTTTAGACCTATCATGTATTTTAACCACTTATTTTGATACAAGTGAGATTGTATCTTTACCTGTGACTGTATAGTATAAGACAGCAAAGTCATAGTTCCTTTTGCCCTAATGTAGAGTCATCCTTGTTCGTTGGTTAGCCAGCATTTGCTCGAACAACTTGTAAACTTGCGTTTAGCCCTGGCCGGTACGGCTCAGTTGGTTGGAGCTTCATTCCATAAACTGAAAGCTTGAGGGTTCAATTCCCAATTAGGGCACATGCCTAGGTTGTAGGTTTGGTCCCCAGCTGGGGTTCGTAGGAGGGCAAACCATCGATGTTTCTCTCTCACGCTGGTGTTTCTCTCCCTCCCTCTCCCTACCTTCCCCCTCTCTCCCTTCCCCCTCTCCAAAATCAATAACCATGTCCTTGGGTGAGGATAAAAAAGTAAATAATAAACTTTTCAAAAAAGAATCATATCATGTTCTTGCAAAGTAACTCATTCTCTATTTCGAAAACACTACTTGTTAGAAAATTATTTTCTGTATTGTAATGAACCAAAATTTGCCTTTTATAACTCAATTCTTATAAGGTAAGTCTAAAGCTTCCAGGAGTTGTTGAGGATTTTTTGTTGTCTACATATTAGTAGGTGTTTTAACTCCTTACAGACAGTGGTTTTTAGACAACCTCCTAGTTCTCCTTGTGCGGAGTGTGGGTGTGGATCTTAAAGTTTAATGCTTTTTAGTTTGTTGGATTTGTTTCTTAATTCCTTACTTTTTTTATATTAAATATCTAGTATAAATGATCTAATAATGTAGTGAGACTGAAAAACAAGAGTCTCCTTTCTCACTCTTCATTTCTTCTTCCTGGAGGCTCTTTCAGTCTAGACATTTCTGTCCTATTCTGGAAGCTTTTCTTGTGTTTCCTTCTTTTCTCTTTTATTCTTCCTGAAACTTCTGTTCTTTGGATATTAGGGTTCCATTAATTATCTTCCTATTTCCCAGCTCTTGCTTCTCTGCTTTCTGGGAAGTTGCCTCAATTTTATCTTTAACTCTTACATGGAATGTTACATTTTTTACCAGTCAGTTTCTCAGGGCTCTTTTTTTTTCTCCGACTGTTTCTGTAATACATCCTACTCTTGTTTGGTGGATGCTGTATATATGTGGGGGAGTTTTGCACACACATGTGCAGTGGTCTCTGTGTGTTATTCCTGTTTGTTCCAAATTTCTTTTTGTTTAGTAAGTGCCTTACAACATTAACCAATTTAATGCTCACAGTGGCCCCGTAAGGTAGCTTCTGTTATCCCCATTTTACAGTAAAGGAACAGATGCAGGAGAGTTAAGTAATGACACCTGGTCCTGGAATTAGACAGCAGCAGAGCTGGGATCCAAACCCAGCAGTCCTGAGGCTCTTGAGTTTACACCGATAGCCTCTGCACTGGAGCGTTTCTGCATCGCCAGGTTTGAAAGTGATGAGCTAGCACAGGGGCAAGAACAGAGTCCTACAGGATGTCGTTGGAGGCCTCCCTCCCAGCTGACATCAGTCCATTCATCGCCAGTTCCTGTTCAACTAGTTACAAATCTACTTTCACACCTTAGTTCTCTCCCTTATGCACGGGATGCCATAGTCTTGGTCATGTGACCCCAGAAGTTCAAGGCCTGAGGCAGCAAGAAGGATCCGACAGGACACTGGCTGTAGAGTGACAGCAGCCTGCAATACAAACCCGTCTCCTCCCACCCCTGGCCGTGTCACTATGGCAAATGGGTTAAGCCTCTCTGGATTTTGGTTTCTTCTATAAAACGGGGAGAATGATATTTAACTTGCTGGGTGGTTGTCAGGATTCAAGGTAAAGTACCTAGTGCACTGCAGGCCTTCAGTGAAGGGCGGCTGTTGTTACGCCAGCCCAGTAATCCTTTCAAAGAACGGAGTGCATTAAGATGGCTGGTTTATTTTCATGAACTCTTGCTAACTCTATAATTGTTTCCTCTGCTCCTTAGAGTTCACAAAGAAGCCATTTGATAACGTGTTCTAGAATTTTGCCTTGAATTAACATCAAGATCGCCAGCTTGTAGCTTTTGGCACTCCATACAATTTTTTTTGAAAATTAGAACAATGTTTGCCTGTCTTCACTCTTCCATCAACTCTACTATTCACAAGAGGCCTCGCGTATCATCGAAATCTGTTTGCAGGTTTCCTTTGTACTCGAGAGTGTAGTCTGTCTAGACAAGGAGACTTGAGCTCCTTTCCAGTAGCTGTATCTCTCTCTGAGCCTGTGTTGGCTTTCATTTCCTTCAGACCATTGTTTAGTCTCCTCTTTCCCATCTCGTGGCCATTCTCCTTGCAGAGAGGACAGCAATGAAGGAGGAGTTCAGCGGTTCCACGTTTCCCTCTCAGACCTCACGCGCCTGTTGACATCAGTCCCCAGTACAGCCCGCCATCTTCCACAGGGGCTTGCTCCCACACGGCTCCGCACACTGCCCACTCCGTTCTCTCTTCCTCTTCTTTCTGCCTGGGAGACCCCTCCACTGACTGCACTTGCTCGTTGCTTTCCCAGCAGCCTTGTTCTCTTCCCTGAACATTTTCTTCCCTTTATTTCTCTGATCGTGGCCTGAGAACACTATTTCCTCTGCGGCCCACCTTCACTGCTTGTTTCTCCTGTCTGCCTTGGGCCCTACGGGTGGTGTAGGCGTGTTCCTGGCTTCTCTGACCAATGTGTTTCCTTTCCTTCATCTGAAGCCTCTGCTCCTTTGGCATTTTATTTTCCAGTTACATGGGTTAGAGAAATAAATGAGGAGTGGACTGGCTGGATTCAGACACCCAAACACTGTTATCAGGAATGTCTCTGTCACTCCTCCATTTCTGTTTGTCTCTGTTTTCTGCTTAGTCTTATTTCCCCAGAGAGAAGCTGTGTTTCCTTCCATGGCGGCAGAGAGGGTCCTTAGCAGCCCGCCTGGCTCATTGGAAAGGGAGGGCCTTCTTTGCAGCCAGAGAGCTCGACCTCCTCCCCGAGCTCCCTTACATCAAGAGCCCATCGAGGGAGTGGGGCACGGGGTGGTCTTCGAGAAGAAGGTCAGGGCGCTGCACTGCGACCACTGACAGGAAGCCGCAGGCCAGAACAGTGGTGGTCGGAGGGGAGTTCCTGTGTAGCCCGTTGTGATAGACTTGGTGAGATTTACACCTAAAGTGAGTAAAAAAATTGTAGTACATTAATAAGACTTTTTTCCAACAACCTTGGTTACCCTTGGAGAGAAACATTAAGAACTAACATGAAATTAAGTGATAGCACAGCTACAAGCTCTTGTGGTTTAGAATGGAGACAATCTGATTTCAAAGTATTTCATAGGCAGTTAATACGGACAGTGCGAGGTTGTTTCTAGTCTTGTTTTTAAACTCGTTCATATTTTACATGCATGACTTTGAAATGTTAAGTCTTTTTTGTTTTCAAGGGAAAATATTAACACCATAATTACTTTATAGCGAGACAGATAAGTTTACAGCAGCAGCTTATTTGCGCGATGGTCCACATCTGTAACTTAGTCGACGCTGTTCCTGAAGACAAACTGAAAGCACTGGACTGTGGGGACGACCTGCTCCAGCAGCGGGACGTGAGGTATGTCGCGTTTTCTCCGTCTGGAGGGCACCCGAGTGCATGTCCATCGCTCCACATGAGATGGGTACAGGGCAAAAGTTTTAGGCATTCTGAGCAGGATAAATGGTCACTGTGTTTTAAATGTATTTATTTGCTTTTTCAAATCATTCCTTTAGCATTTGTATCCAGATTCTTTAAATTGGAAAACAGAGGGTATATTTTGCCGCAGTTTGGGATGAGAACTAAAGCTATGCTTGTGTGGCCTCCCATGGTAGACCACTCACACTTAATAGTGTGTTGTGCATTTTCTCTTCAGAAGAAAGCTTCTAGCTGAAGCGGGTTTTAACCCAGATGATGCCAGTGTTCTCGGCTCCGTGTGGAGGCGCTGGCCTGATGACATCGTTGGCCCCGCAGCGTACATGGCGTCTGGTTCCTCACTGTACACCTCCCCAAAGGGCGATTTCTGCCCTGCAGGGAATTCAGATAAAGAGTTCCATTTTCTCCCCATTTCCTCAAATTCCATTTTGTCTGGGGAATGTTCAGCGACCACTACCCCAGGAGAGACGGGATTCTCAGCCACCAAGAAGAATCTCTTCGAAAGGCCATCATTCAGTCCCCGTTTACAGAAGTCCTTTGTAAGTAGCAACTGGGCTGAAACCCCAGGGGCAGAAAAAAGAAACGAGAGCTGTCATGTCCTCGGAAATGCACTCACAAGCACCGCTGTGAAAGCTCATAACCATCGTGCTGCTTCAATGGATGACTCAGAGAGAGAAGTGCAGGCTTCCGGTGAGATGGATAATTTTGACATCGAGGACTTGGAGGATGATGATGATGAGTGGGAAAATATAATGCTTAACTTACCAGCCAGCAAACCATCCACGGCTGCCTATCAACCTATTAAAGAAGGTCGGCCTGTTAAATCAGCGTCAGAAAGGATCTCCCCAGCCACGGCAAACTCGCTTCCAGCGACATTCACTGCTCAAAATAAAAACTTCTCAGAGTCAATTCACAATTACCCTGGTAAGTTTAAAGTAAATTGAATGCTTATGTTTTGCATGAAAACAAGACTGTCCAGAATTGGAATTGTGGAAGAAAAACCGTAGCAAGTCATCACGGCCTGAAAACTACATTGTTCCTATGCAAATTTCTGCTGATAATATGAATTACAAATCACAGTTTCAAAAGCAAGTTGCTCTTTTGTCTGTAGCAGCTGTAGTTTCATAAAATGTGTAATTATAACCTATTATAATAAGGCTCTAAAGTCATTACAATGTGCTTTGCCTTTAAATTAACGTTTTCTTAAGTCCCTAAAGCAATAAAGCTCACGAGGACCAAGTTTTTAATATTCTTGGGGGATGGACAAAAGCAAAGCTAAATTTGTATGTTAAAAATGTAAGTGTATATTTTTAGAGTCCTGGGTTGATGAGAACTGATCAATTTATCAAGTAGAGAAATGTTTTATGTCTTAAAATATTAAAATACAGGGCAGTCGAAGAAAGATATGAAGTCAAATTTCTTAAATCAATCACATGATTTCTTTTGGCCTGAAATCTTTTAAATTCATTCAGCAGATAGTTCCTGTGTGCATGTTTTGCTGTAGATTCTGGTACCTGATAAATAATAGTTCCTGCCCTTGTGGAGCTCACAGTTTGGTCAGGGAAGTTTTTGGAGGAGTGAAATTAGCTTCCGTAAAGGGTGCAGATAAAAGCCAAAATTAATTTTAAAACCTTACATCAATGCTATAAAACTCTCACAAAGTGGGGTTTTTCTTTTCAGCTGAAACGAGTTCAGATGTGCAAAGTTCTGTAAACTACAGCTCTCCCTATTTTTGCTATTAATGACTTAATACCACCGAGGTTGTTCTTATAGTTATGCTGTTGACCTTTAAAACAGCCATTAATGGATTTATTTTTGTATCATGTTAGAATGTGTCATGCTTGACGTCCGCAATTATCTCGGAGACAGTTGAGTGTTGGGAATGGAGCGACTGCCAAAGCTGGCGTCTGAGCTCCGCTTGTTCCCCATTAACAGAAATGGAGTCAGTAGAGGGGCAGATTTGGAGAAAAGCAGAGGAGGACTGTTTCAGGATTTGTTGAACTTACAGTGTGGAGAAGTCATTCGGGTGGAAACGCCTTGCAGACAGTTGGAGATGCATATAGGACCGCAATGTGGGAGCAGGCCAGCGGGGTCTGAGGAGGGAGATGCAGGCTTTCTGTGCACTCAGGTGAGGCTTGGCATCCCAGGTCTGGGAGTGTTCCACAAAGGACAGCTGCGGCCCCAGCCCCGAGTGTCTGAAAGACGACCCAGTTTCAGGGGCAGGTGGGAGAAGTGGAGCCAAGAAAGCGAGTTTAAATACACAGTTGTCTGAAGGGGCAGTCAGAAGAGAAGAGGAAGGAGGGAATGAAGACCGGTGGCTCGGTGGGTTGGGCATTGATCCACAAAGAGACAGGTTGCTGGTTCAACTCCCAGTCAGGGCATGTGCCTGGATCGTGGGTTTGGTTCCAGTCGCGGCACGTACGGGAAGCAGCCAATCAATGTTTCTCACACCAATTTTCTTTTCCTCTTTCTCCAGCCCTTCCCCTTTTTCTAAAAATAAATAAATAAAATACCTTTTTAAGCAAAGACTAGTGGTAGTGCTGTAGAAAAAACAAGGAAAGACTTGAATTTGGCCTTTGGGAAGGCCAAATGCATGGGGGGATACTCGCGCAGGAGGGTATTCAGGGACTGGTTACAGACGGAGTTGGCTGCGGGGAAAGGCGTGCCAATGACCCTGCAGGGCAAAGGGCACGTGTGAAACTGACTTGTGACATTGATGCGCTGATCTTTTCCTTACCATTGATTATTTTCTTAGACCAGTCGGTGCAGAATTTAGCATCCAGATATCCGAAACATGAGCATTTCCGGAGTCTTGATTTTCCTCATACAAAAGAAATGATGAAGATTTTTCACAAAAAATTTGGCCTGCATAATTTTAGAACTAATCAGCTAGAGGCGATCAATGCTGCGCTGCTCGGCGAAGACTGTTTTATCTTAATGCCCACTGGTATGTATTTTTAGATATGAATTGGCAGGAATCCATGGCAGATGTGAAATGAGAGCCCTTTAATAGAAATAAAAAGAACGCCAACTCAGTATTTCCAGCATTTATGGGCCTCTGAGCCCCATGCCACAGGAAGAAAGTGTCTTACCTCATTGCCTCTGTGCTGGCTGTTGACGTGATAACATTTGTAAACCTTTAAGATGTTTACCTCCAAGCTCATTGTGTTGCACTGATCTAGAATTCTCTTTGTGAATTTTTCTTTTCTTCTTTTTTTTTTTGTAGTCTGCATTAGTCTGCTACATGAATAAAAATATAGGACTAGAATAGAGACATGACCATTTCCAGCCACGTGTTTGGTACAGTCTAGTGTTGCATGGTGGCTGAAGTCATCAGCTCTGGAGCGATGGCCGGGGCTTAAAGCACAGCCTTGCTGTTTCTTAGTGGTGCGACCTTGAGCAAGACACTTCCCTCCCTGAGCCCCGTGTGTGCAGTGGGGATGCTCATCAAGTTCCTGCTACACGGAGTGTCATGGGCTTTAAATGCAAAACACTTAGTGTAGCTCTTTCTTGGTCTGTTTCGAAGAGATCCAGGACTCTTCATTGTGCTATAAACATTTATAACAGCTGTTGGATGATTTATAGTCATCCAAGTCAGAATATTAAATAAGCCGTTAGATTAAGCAACTCAGGAGTTTGGAGTTTCACTACTTACACCTGTGGTCTCCTCTGTCCCTCATTCTCCTTGTTGTCACCTTAAGCAGTTAGGCATTGCCATCATAAATAGTGTTGCCTGGGCATCTGAATTTTTTCTAACTGATTTTAAAATTTGGTGATATTGGTTTAATAGTCATTTCTTATCTATTGCATTAACTTGTTACTCTTTGTGGACTCCAACTTGGTACTTCAGAACTAAAGCAGGAAGTGGCCCTGGCTAGTCCAGTGGGCCTTCCATGGTCCTTTAGGGTTCCCAGGGCGTGTTTTTAAGTGTCCTTCTGCACACTTTCAACCTCTTGACAAATATATATTCCAAATAGTTTCTTTTAGAGAAAAAAATTTATAAACCCCTGATCTAGTATATTATGTCATGGTAAGATTAAATGGCATGTGTAAGTCACATAACATATTACATGGTTGAGCAGAAACTAGGATTCAGCTTCCTGCTCTTGCCTTGGCATTTACACACACACACACACACACACACATATACCAAGTGAAATTTACTTAAACCACGTGTGCGGAAAAGATGGCATGTGTTGTTTTTAAAAAATGGAAGTCCTAGAGACTGCCTGGCACACGTTTCTACCCCCAGTAGACTGATGGAGTTGGAGACCGGGGCTTCACGTGGCGGTTCCCTTTCAGCGTGTGCTGGCTGTCTGGCTGTTTTGACGAGTCTCCCCACCCTTTTGTCTCTGTCAGTGCGCACAGATGCGGGCCCAGCCCCTTTATTCAAAGGAAGGTTGGGAACACGACCTTGTTAACAGGAGTACGGGGAGCAACAGCTCTACTTACTATTCACGCCAGAGGGTTAATGGCACTGAGATTCTAGACATGTACTCTGGGTCATCAGAGAAATATTAGACCATGTCAGCCTCGGGTCTGTAGTTGATCACCGTTTGACTCTAAAAATGAAATATTATATAAAATAACCATTTAAATCCTAGTGCCATAACTGGAGCACCTCTTGCACCATATGTGGATTTCCCAAGTAGACTTTTGGACAGTTCTGCTGCTTTTCATTTTCCTGCCCTGACTCTTGCTTTTGCTATCATATGTACCTACATGAGATGCCCTAAAAGGTCATCTTCACACACTTGAATGGCCTCAGTACGGTGTCTTGGCTCATTCGAATATGGCAGATCGTGGGCACGACAGGGAATATCGCTTGATGTTAATGAATTATCTTCAATATTGCATGTGGTATGCTGTGTGACTTTTGCCTTCATGCTCTCACACTGGAACCTGACAGCTGTGTTTTTGTTATTTCTCTTTCAGGGGGTGGTAAGAGTTTGTGTTACCAGCTCCCCGCCTGTGTGTCTCCTGGGGTCACTATTGTCATTTCTCCCTTGAGGTCACTCATAGTCGATCAAGTCCAAAAGCTGACTTCATTGGATGTAAGTTGAAAGCAAAACACTACCAACTATAATAAAAATACTAATAAAAACATAACATAAAAATAATTATATTTTAATACTCTGGGCTAACTTTTGTATTTGTTTATGGATTGTAAGAATAAAGTTCAGGAGTGGCATTAAGTTGTATCTTCAGCGCAAGCCTGAAAATTCTGATACAGATAACCATCTATAGTTCCATCTGATTTTACTCTAGGAGAATGTATTTTGCTGATTAAAACTTTTTTTTTTTACTAATATTAAAGGTTTTCTTTTTGTTATTGCTGTCAGGTCAGCGTAAGTTCTTGGCTTACTCCCCTCATTCCTTAAGGCGCACACGCATGCACACATCCACCCCCATGTCCTTTTCCTCCTGGTTGAGGCCGAGAACGTGTATGAAGGCCTCCCAGTAAATCCTGCATGTGGTGATCAAACAGAACTGTTCTCAGGGTGATGAGCCACCAGTGTTCAACAAGACCCCTGTTTGACTTTTGTTGCAAAGAATGTCTTAGTGCGGGCAGGGCGGCCATTGCCCAGCCGTGTGTGACGTTCCGGCGCTGACATCCGTCTTACACAGTAAAACCCCAGACATGCATTTGCCTTAAAGACAATGCAGCTGTACGGTAGGAGTGGATGTCTTTGATGCTGGATTCATATTTATCTTACTTACAAATGTGGATAGCAAAGGAAGTAAAGAGCAGAGGAAAAAAGAAAAGGTAAACAATGAGAACATTTTGAATTACAGTTAGTAAGGGTTTTTCTTAAATATATACTGATTGTTTCTTATTTTTATTACATTGAGATTATCTTTCCTTTGACAGATTTGACACACAACTTGTAAAATATTTATAGAAGTTAAGGGTAAAATATAAGCTTAAGTCTGATTAATGTATAAAATTTTAATTTACTACTTTTATGCTTAGATTCCAGCTACATATCTGACAGGCGATAAGACTGACTCAGAAGCTACAAGCATTTACCTCCAATTATCAAAAAAAGACCCAATTATAAAACTTCTCTATGTTACTCCAGAGAAGGTTTGTACATTATCATTATTTTCAAATACGATGTTAACTCTGTGTTGGAAAACAATTCAGTTCTCCCACCCGAGTAGGGAAAAACCTGGTATTATCCTCCTGTGTTTCTCTCCTTTACTACTCACTTAGAATTCTTCATTCTGATCACCAAACGTGTGGAGGTTTTTTCCTTACACCGAGCGATTCTCATGACACCAGCTGGGTGTCCTGAATTCACCTCAGTTCTGACCCTGCCTGTGCAGAGACGGTGTCAGACCCCACAGGTTAGGGGCTCTGTCCCGCAACGTGGTCCCCACCCCACTTTTGATGCCAGTCACAGGTAGGTCCCCAGGTCACCCGTAACTTCTGCCGGATTTGACTGCAAATCAGAAGTTCCTGTGATTCCCTTCTCAGGTTTGGTTCATTTGCCATGGAATTCAGAGCAGCACTTAAGTGTACTGGTTTATTAAAGAACGTGCCAGAGGGGTACAGATGAGCTGCCAGGTGAAGAGGTACATCGGGTGAGGTCTGAGGCGGTCCTGAACACAGGAGCTTCCATCCCCATGGATTTGGGGGTGTCCCCCTCCGGGGGTGGACGAGGTTGCCAGCCTGGAAACTGAGCCCCAACACTTTCAGGATTTTCCGGAGGCTTCCTCACGCAGGCGCGATCAGTTATCAACTTTATTTCCAGCCCCTCTCCCCTGTTGGAGGATGGGGGTGGGGGTGAAGGTCCCCGGCTTCCCACCATGGTCCTGACCAGCCCCGAGCAGCTGCCCACCGGGGTCTCCTGGACACAGTCGCAGGTGCTCCAGGGGCCCTCGGCCCTCAGGAACTTCCCGGGTTCCAGGAGCTTGGCGCCCGGAACTGGGGGTGGAAACCATTATATTTTTTCTGTTATCTCCTAAAAGCTGACTAGAATACATACATTTTTAAATTTTGACATATTTGTGATGTACAGTATAATGCAAAAAAATTCCTGTATGACTTTTATCCAGAAACTCCAAATGGTAACATTTTACTCTAATTGCTTTATCATTCTTTCTCTATATATTTTTCCCTTAAACATTTGAAAGTTGCAGATATGATATCTTTTTAATCCCAAATACTTAGCCATGCATTTCCTAAAAGTAAGGAATTCTCTGACCTCAGAAGAATTATCAAAGTCAGAAAATGGTCATTGATACCACACTGCCACTTAGTCTGTATACCTCATTTCAGTTTCACTAGTTGTCCTAATGGTGTCCTTTATAACAAAAGAAAATGCATGATCTAGGGATTATGCAATGCATTTAGTGGTCATGTGTCTTCAAACAATTTATCTCTATGTCTTTCATGGTTTTGGCAGTTTTGAAGAAAGAAGGCCAGTTATTTTGAGGACTGTCCCTCAGTTTGAGTTTATCTTATGTTTCCTCGTGATTCAAGTTAGTCAGCTCAGCAGGAATGTCCGAGTGGCGATAAGTTCTCCATGCAGCCCCATCGGGGGGCATCGGGATCCACTCGTTCTGTTAGGTGGTGTCAGCCGAGTTCTTCACTGTAAAATCATTTTTTTCCTCTTTTTTTTAATAATGTAAATTTTTTTGTGATTTTTTTCCCCCTTTGTGATAGTAGGTACTTTGTTGTCTGAGACTGACTATCATGTTACTCATCAGACTTCTACCTAACAGTGGCATCACCCATCAGTTACTATTACAGTGGACTCCAGAGAACCTTTCTCATTTAGTCGGTATTTTGTTATAACGAAGAGCTTTTCCTTTTGCCCACATGTTTATTTGTATTACTATGAAATGTGGATTTTTAATTTACGTAGTGGGCTCTGATCGGTTTTTGGGAAGTAACTTAATGTTCTAATCGTCCCAGATTTGGCCAGTGGAAGACTTCCATCAAACTGGCCTCTGTCCTTTTGACATGTCTTTTAAGATGTGTCACTGTTTCTAGACCCTGCCATGGACAGAGCTTCAAAATCTATACATACATACAAATATATGTATATACACACATATAAATCTGTGTGTGTGTTCCCCCCCCAAGTATCATGTATGCAAGTAAAATATCTGTAACACCGTCCCCAGTGTAAACATGGCCTTCAGGTGTATTGTGATCCAGGAAAAAGCTTTAGAACCACTGACCTGATATATAACTGTTTGCTAACCATTTTAAAATGTCTCTTATTTTCTGTTACTTCTGCTAATTCTCATCATAGGTTGGAATGAGAACTAATTTTCTCTGAAGGTTTTAATGCTGCTTAAATGGTAGTGGAACTTAAAGACAACAGAATCCTTGAGGTGACGTGGTGTTTAAATGTTTAATCCATTTCCGATCTAGGTCTGTGCAAGCAACAGACTAATTTCTACTCTGGAGAATCTGTACGAGAGGAGGCTCTTGGCACGGTTTGTTATTGACGAAGCACACTGTGTCAGTCAGGTAAATGCTGTTTTTGATGTCTCGAAATATTGATAAATATATACTACCGACTATATATATATTTTTTCAGAGTAGAAGGGAAAAAATCCCTGGGTGAGTTACTGTGCTGTCTCACTGAAGGATAGGTGGTTCGGAGTTCAGTGAGCGGTGTTTGCTTTGTTTGTATAGAGGAAAGATTCAAATAGTCTGAAAAGCAGTGTATTTTTCCCATCCAGTGGGGACATGATTTCCGTCAAGATTACAAAAGGATGAATATGCTGCGCCAGAAGTTTCCCTCTGTTCCGGTGATGGCTCTCACTGCCACAGCTAACCCCAGGGTGCAGAAGGACATCCTCACTCAGCTGAAGATTCTCCATCCTCAAGTGTAAGTGGTTGAAAGGCCTGAATTTAAAGCCCCGGGGCAGTGGTTCTCAGAAGGGCATCCATTACAGCCTTGTATGGAGCTTTACACATTCCAACGCCCAGGTTGTGCCTGGTGCCAGTTCGGTCAGATTTTGGGGGCTGGAAGTCAGTGTGTTTTTAAAAATCCCCTAGTGATTACAGTATGCAGCAAAATTTGGAAACCAGGGCCTTGGGGCTTTTCTTCTTTTACTGAAATGAAAGCTCTCTCCCGGCACCTATTTTGTAAGTAGGGACAAAGTGCATGCTGTCCCCGTCAGACCGGGGTCACCCCAGTAAGAAGTTCGCTTTCATTCATCGGACTTACTCCCGCCCATCTTAGCATGTATATCAGGACGTGAACCTGTGGCCCTGCTCTGTCCTTTCTCCCTGAGGCCCCAGTGACATCTAGAATGTTGAGAACAGTCCAGAAACTATGTATAACAGCTTCTTCACTTTGTTTCCATCTCAACAGTGAAGGGCTTCTTGTTGCCACCAAATCCATAATTGTTCAATAATAAAAACTATTCCTGGCTGGTGTGGTTCAGTGGATTGAGCACGGGCCTGTGAAGCAAAGGGTCGCCGGTTTGATTCCCATTCGGGGCACATGCTTGGGTTGCAGGCCAGGTCCCTGGTAGGGGACACATGAGAGGCAACCACACTTTGATGTTTCTCTCCTCCTCTCTCTAAAAATAAAAAATAAAATATTAAAAAATAATAAAAACTACAGCAGAGAACTATCCCACATGTATAGGTTGTACTGGATCCTTTTGTACCTCTGCGTGAGTTTGTGGACACAGGTGCATCCTCTGATAGGTTCGTTCACTCAGCACCTAATAGCTGTTGTCTACAGAATTTAAGATGTTTTCTCCTTCCAGTCTGTTAATGGTGCTTTGCGTTTGAGGAATGCCTGAAGGGATAATGGCTAAAATATTGGGGTGATTTTTAAAACACACCCTTTTGTTCATCTGGAAGTAAAGAGAATATGCTGGCTCTGTAAACACTGCAATCACTAAAAACAGTAACAGCCTCTCAGGGCATCATCGCCAGAAGAACTGGATGTGCAGCACGGAGGACATGGGGGTCACCAGAGTAAGGTGGCTACAGAGAGGCCTTTGCAGATTAAAATGGCGTCCTTGATTTGTGACCACTCAAGTGTGTGTGTGTGATCACAAAACTGAGAATGGAGTGTTTTACTCTCCCTTGCAGAGGGGTGTTTGTATCAAATATATGTGATGTTTAATGGATAAACATCACATATATTTAAGGTGTCATATTTTAGGTCTTAGTGAGTAACCTGCATGCTAGAAATTTGCTTCTGCAAATACTACATCAGTCTATGAAAGCTTTTCTTTTTTTAATAGGCAATGTTTTTAGCTTTTTTCCATCAATTTATGCCAGAAGCAATCTTCTGTTCTTTTAGATTAGAAAGATTAATTTGCCAAATACCCATAGTTAAAAAGAAAATTATGTAAGTTCGGTTCACCTTTTGCATAACTTCTTGTAAGTGTAAAATTTGTCATTTTTGGTTGAGTAAATGTTGCACATACACATTTAGAGGCAGACACCTGTAATATCTTTTCCTAGTAGTGTGGGGAGGAGATCTGCCTGCAAAAGCAATAGATGATCCATTTCCTGAGTGTAGCATGTGGTACCCTGTGCATACTTGGCACTAGGTAAGAATGAATAAATGAAACATATGGAGGAATTTTGGTAAATGTGGGTAAAATGTGAAAATTTGGGCAAGTCTTTAATATATTTGGCACTTCTATATTTGGGGAGGTTTAAATCTCTTAGCGGAAGTAAAAGGTTTTAACGAACACTTTTCTGGTACTTTTTTTTTTTTGTATCCTCTCTGCTGCCAGCAAGCCCCCGGTTTGGATGGAATGTGCCCGGGTGCGGGTGTGCCGTGGGTCTGGAGAAGCCAGGTGTCCCTGGGGATGGAGCCCTGGCCCCCCTGCTCCTCTCCTGATGCTGGTCTGTGATATTATTCTTCCTTTTGGGAAATACAAGGTGGATAATAAAATAGACTTTATTCCTTTTCCTTAGCATTTTAAAATATGAATTGGGGAAATGAGACAGACATATAGATAGTTAGCATAACCATAATAAGCCCTGGCTGGTGTTGCTCAGTAGATTGAGTGCTGGCCTGTAAGCAGAAAGGTCGCCAGTTCAGTTCCCGGTCAGGGCACATGCCTGGGTTGCAGGCCAGGTCCCCAGTGGGGGGCATGTGAGAAGCGGCCAGTCCGTTTGTCTCTCACACACCAATGTTTCCCTCTCCTTCTCTCTCCCTCCCCTTCTCTCTAAAAACAAATAAAATCTTAGGAAAACAAAAGGCAACATTAAAAACATGTACTTGCCTGTAGGACAACTCAGAAAAGTAAAGTGAATGGACGAAATCTACTCTATGATAAAAAAGCTATAAACATTTAGTTGCCATCAATAGGAAATTAACTTGGTTTTTACAAATCCAAACACTTGATTGTCCACAAAAATTTACCAGGTTTATTTATAGTTATTACAAAGTTGAGCTGCCGAAACTCGTTCAACTGAAACCTTTCGACTTGCTTTAATGCCGTATGTTCCTGCATTTACATTTAAAAAATCACAAAAATGGGAGAACTTAATACCTGATTTCTGTGCCCTGTTTTCCACTTGCAATCCTATGCTTAGGTACCTTTTAACCCCATGGGGGAAAAAGTCTAATGTTCAGAACTACCAATAACAGAAAGAAGAGAAAATCTTCTTGTGAATGAAATGTTTCTCTTCATAGTGGACTCTTAAGCACGTTCTCCATGCACACGGTGTGCCAGCTGGATGTCTTTGGGCATAATTGTTAGACATTTGGCACGGATAGGCTGGTGCTTCAAACACGCCAACCGCATAGGCCTCACTTGGCTCCTGCAGAGTGCCAGCAGCGGCTCTCTGGAGTCGCAGGGGCGATTTGAAGTCCTGAGCAGTGTCCTGCACCAGACACTGGAAGGGAAGTTTGCACCTCAGAAGTTCAGTGGGCCTCTGGTAAGGTCTAATTTCATGAAGTGCCACAGTGTTGGGCCTGTAATGATGAGGTTTCTTTACCCTTCCGACAGAGGGCGCGCTCTCTCCGGCGTGGCTTTGGTAGGCAGTTGCTCCCCAGATGCTGTGCCGTTTATTGGTTTGCAGGCGGTCCGCTCTCTGTAGGAGCCTGGCGCAGAGAGAGACCCGCCTCCTCACCCGCTCCCCGCCGGCCCAGCCAGTCGCGCTGGAGCTCAGCAGACTAGCGGCCGCACTGGTCGGAGGGCAGCGGCGTGGCTGTGGCTGTGGCTGCGGCTGCGCAAACAATTCAAGTATATTTTTAAAAAATAATTCATAAGCATAAATTTCTATTGGAAATGTGTAACTTATGGAGATAGGACTTTTTTTTTAATTGGTTTATATATCTACAAATGAATTCAGTCGGCTCAGATGTCTTTTATAGATGTAAAGCATTGAGAAACATTGCTCACATACTCATGGAGATGGGAATGGAAAGCATTTTTTTGTACTAATAGCACTCAGTTATTTGAATTCCTTCTGACGTATATGCCAAAATGACATAATGATCTGTCCTGAAAACTTATTTTTAATGATATTTCAGCTGAAAACTCAGGCCCTCCAATTTTGTTGAAAGCAAAGAATTATAAACCATCTGACTGGCAAAATAAGTCAGATCATCAGTTACTCACTTTTTCTGGGAATGATACCCTTTAAAAATGCTTAACCAGTGACTTAACCAGTGACTATTAAGTATTCTTGTTATTCTTCCACAGAAAGGAACATCGTATCCAATATATTCAGAAGAGTTGGGGAATCAAAATTCTTTAAGTTTCAGTACACCTCTCCTAATGTATTTTTGACATATTTTTTATTGTGATATGCTTTTAAATTACAGTTTTGTCCAAACTTTGTGGCTACTGATTAGCACTTTCAGATAATGGGACATGACTACCGTATTGCCGGATTGGGAAATCCAGTTTTCATTGCCACAGCAATCAGCCAAATCAGACTTCTTACATAGAAAAAAGAAAATTCTGACAGTTTTTCAATTCACATAAACTAGTCCATATCCTTGTGACAAGTACTTCAGTTCCAAAAGCAACAAGAGCTGAGTACAAATTGATTCCATTTCCTCCCTGTCACTTGAAATGACATGAGTTTGACACCCCGGACCTCACAATAGCCTCGATTTTTCATGGCCATCAATACTGTCAATGAAACACAGCTGAGTCCAACACTCCTTTTTGAAAACAAAATCTTAAGGTGTAATGGACACACCATAAAACTCACCCATGTAAAGGTTAGAGTTTAGTGCGTGGGTTTTTTTATTATTATTTCATTTTCACAGAGTTGTGCAGCCATATCCCCTATGCAGGGCATTCACGTTTTAGGTGCCCACTTATCAACTGATGGCGAGTGTCTGTGACTGGAACGTGTGGTAATTCGAAACATACCACTTTCCAGCAGGCTGAGTGAGATGTGTTCCGTGTCACCCACTCCGAGAGGCACCTCTCTCTCACCCTAACCAACTGTGGGTGCTGCTTCTGGTTCATGGCCCCATCTGCTGCAGTTTAGCGGTCCATTTGCTGTAGAGACACTTGTTTTGGTTTTAATTGGATCTCAGATCCACAACTTGATGTCCTAATATCATGTCATTTTATTATTTTTAGCAAAAGTAATTTGCCTGACTAAAGTAGTAAACATTTCAAAGTTTTCCTCAATTATGCTGCAAATCAAAAAACGTTCAGATTTTCATGTCAAATGTTTTCACATACCCATTTTTTTTTTTTAGATCTTACATACCGTACGATTCACCTGTTTGAAGTGTGCCAGGCAGTGGTTTGTGGTGTGGTCAGCTGTGCAGCCATCACCACAGTCCATTTTAGATCGTTTTCCTCGTCCTGCTAAAACACCCACAGCCAAGCCCTGGCCGGTGTAGTTCAGTGGACTGAGCGTGGGCTGGGAATCAGAGGGTTGCCAGTTCGATTCCCACTCAGGGCACATGCCTGGGTTGTGGGCCAGGTCCCCAGTGGGGGCCATGTGAGGCAACCACACATTGATCTTTCTGTCCCTCTTTTTCTCCCTCCCTTCCCCTCTCTCTACAAATAAGTAAAATCTAAAAAAAACAAACCCACCCATATCCATTGGTAGTGAATCCCCCTCTTCCCTCACACTCACTGCGGGACACAGGCAACCACTGATCTACCTTCTGTCTTTAGATGCGCCTGTTGTGCAACACCTTTTATAAATAGACTCATGGAACAGGTTGTCTTTTGTGAGTGGCTTCTTTTACTTCGCATAATGTTTTCAAAGCTTACTGTTGAATCGTATCCCACTGCATGGCTGTGGCCCATTTCATTCATTCATTGGTGAATATGGGGGGTTGTTGACCTTCTATGGGCTGTTATGGGTAAGGCTGCCGTGAACCTTCACGCACAAGCCTTTGTACGGACCTTTGCTTTCATTTCTCGTGGGTCCAGACCCTGGAGTGGAGTTGGCGGGGCGTGTGGCAGCGCTGTTTTTGACCTTTTGCAGAACTGCCAGGCGGTTTTCCAAAGTCGCTGCGTCGTTTTGTGTTCCCCCCGGCATCGCTGTTGTCTTGTCTTTGTCGCTGAGACTGTTTTTATTTTATTTTATTTAATGTATGAAGCGTTGTTCTGAAATTAAAGCGTGGTGTAAAATGTGGGAGAGGCAATGAGGCCGTTCTTGTGAGGAGCCATTTCAGCTTCCTGTTGGGAGGGAGACTCACACCAATCCCAGCTTAAGCCCAAATGAACTCAAATACGTTTTGAGATTATATACGTATGTCATTTGTGTTCCTGAGCAGTTCTTCTTATGCTATAATTGTGTCAGGATTGCAGTCCATCCCCGTTGCTGCGGCGGCGATTGTAAGTTTCAATGTAAGAAACATTCAAACGTATACACAATTGTGAGTGTATTTGAGTCAAACTGACAGCAATTGCTGGGAAGCAAAAATCTCAACAGATTGAGAAATGCTCAGGACAGTGGCACTTTAACACCTTATTTTATACGTTACAGTCAAAGGAGGAGGCGCGGGGGTTACCAGAAACCCGTTGGAAACAGGAGGGAGGCAGGAGAAAAGCAGAGTGGGGAAATCTCTGGGGCTGGATAAAAAGTAAAGTGGACAGACACATACTTCTACAGTGAGCCGCAGTTCACACCGAACGTTTGCAGCACACAGAGGTGGTGTGCAGGAGAGCAAGACAGCAGTGAGGGGCCCCGGTGACCCCTGCCCTGGAGGAAGACTGTGCTCGGAGGGGTCTGGAAAAAGGAGTTGATCTTGACCTCAGCGAAGGTCTGTTATCCTGGATGCAAACAAACAACAGACAGACTCAGTTAGGGAGGAGAGATAACAGCCTAGGACAGGACTGCCCGCCAGGAACTGCTGTCAGTTGGCCCCTGAAGTGGGCCCAAGTGGCCCCTGAAGCAATGAACTGAGAATGATCAAACAGGCCATGGACACTTATCAGTCTTTTATCTGCCGCCTTTTTTGCCACAATCTGCTACACCCTCTTCTGCCATTCCAAGCACTGGAAGAAGGTTCTGAGTGTTTTGCGTAGGTGATACCAGAGGAGGAGTGGTTTTAAAGTATCGGTGTACTTGGAGCGGCGCGTTCTGTGACAGTGACCGGGGTGGAGGAAGCCACGTCACACAGTCAAAATCACCTTCTCTCCCTGCACCTTGCTCAGTGTGTCTGAAACCGGAGCATCCCGATAGAGCCCCAAATACTTCCTTCCCGATGCCATGCCCTACCCTCAACGGAGATACGTGACGTGCTTAAAAACACGAAGGCCTACCAAGGGTTCCTGGTTCTTCGATTAAAGAAAGTTTCTCCCACACCCACACTGTGCGGTTTCTCTGGGTTGGTGTCCTAGAGGTTTCTACACCAGAACAGTGCGCGGCAGTGAAGTTCAGAATGGGCCAAAAGTAGGGCTTGTTGGTTTTTAGAAAGTGGGGGGACAGCTCAGCTGTAAAAGGGGGAAATGGGGCAGGAGTGACCGACAAGGTGTCTCTCCTAGAGGAGCATTTGTAGATCAGTCTTGTAGCAAAAAGTGCGTGTAAAAATGGAGGGTCTGCAAACTGATCCCTTCAAAACTGTCCTTGCTCCTGTGAGTTCGGAAAGCCCTTGTGACCCCCCCAGGGGCAGATTGTAAACTCTCACGTAAAAGGAAGTGGGGCTGTGGTTTAAGGACTAAGCTGGAGGCAAAAGTTGGGACTCCTGGGAGTGGTATGTCGGGACTATTTAAAGACAGGAAGAGGAGTTGAAGAGATCAGAGATAAAGGGAATATAAATTGAGAGAGCTAATGTGTTTTCAGTAAGGATAGCCAACCATGTGGTCTGATGGAGAAGTCAGAGAGGATAAGGCCTGAGAAAAGACCACACCCCCGGGAAGGTTACTGTGGCCTCCACATGCAAGGCATTCCTTAGTCCTGAAACTGAACCATTTATCCTACCATGGCTACAAAACCTGGACTAGTCTGGATTTAGATACAAAGAGAAAGAGCCAGTGGTTTGTAGTCCCCACACTTCCTCCCTCTGATCTCCATGCCCTGTACCAGCCGTGGCCTCACCATCAACCCAGGTGAGCGGAGGTGTCTGTGCTCTGAGTTTAACTGGTTCTTTCTGCAGAGATGGTGGGGCCTGGAGCGGTGGAGGGTCTCTCCAGGGCCAAGGACCCAGTCACAATTTTTAAAAGCTTTGAGAAAACAGTTTTGGTAGAATGGTAATGGGGAAAGCAAGAATGGGGGTGCCGAGACCGAATGGAATACGTGGTTAGTCGGCTGGGAGCATGAGTGTCTTCCGAGGAACTTGCCACTAGAGGGGAAGAACGGAGGGGTCAGCATTCCATCGTGTGAGCTCAGGCGACAACATTCAGTTTCACGCAACCTGAGAACTAGGTCTGCACTGTAGATCACTAGCATTTAATTTTTCAGGGTGGCTAAAATTGTATTTTCTCATAATTAAATCTCATCTTTGGGACTTCTTTTATTTAGGTTTACCATGAGCTTTAACAGACATAATCTGAAATACTATGTGTTACCCAAAAAGCCCAAAAAGGTGGCATACGACTGCTTAGAATGGATCAGAAAGCATCACCCACGTGAGTACAGCCGTGTGACGAATTGTGTCTGGAAGATAAATGTCTCTCTAGTAGCACAATAGAATATGTAAAATTGCACATTAAACGTTTCTCATTATGATAGCACCAACTTGCTATTTATAGAGCAGAATATCACCGCTCTCAGTTCTGGGCATTGTAAGATCTCATTTGGTTTGGTAACAATAAACCGTGACAAAGAAATACTAAGTGCTCCCTGCCCCAGCCCTGCGATGCCACTGGTGGCTTCAGTGTTTCTCCACCGACTGCTGCCGCTCCATGGCCGGGACAGGGTCTGCTTCTGTGCGTGCTTTTAGGCGTCCCTGCCTTTAAGCTGTGTTAACTAGAACGGGATTCTGAAATTCGCAGTGGTTTTCCACATAACCCACTTCTCAAAGGAGAGTTTTTGTGTTACGCGTATTTATTTCGTCTTTTCAAACTTAGTGCACAAATCGGTTTGAACAGCTCGAACAGTGCAGAGACAGGCCGTGAGGAAGTCAGCGATCTCCCTCCCCAGACAGCTGGTGTGGGCAGCTCAGTGCGTGCGCAGAGCTCTGCCTCTGGTTCTGCCCCAGAGAGATGGCTTTTTCTTAATACCTTTTAATTCCTGACTTTAAAAATAGCATAAACAAAACGGTAAATATAACACATGCTCTCCAACGAACATTTAGAAAGCAGCCGAAGACAGACCTCACCTCAAGGCAAGTCCCTGTTACGCTTTATACATACACTGTGTTTCTACCCTTCACCTGTTTTATCTCTTGAGCATTTTCCCGCATCTTTTTAAACACTTAGAAAATACTCAATAATTATACTATATTTTATTTCATAATTTTGTATCTTAATTAGCCCCCTAATGTTGGATCATTACAAGTTTTCTAATTCTAAACATTTAAATAAAACTTTTCGCATAAGTCCTTGTACTACTTTATTTTCTAGATTAGTCTTCTAGAAGGAAACCGAGTCAAAGGCAGAGGTGTCGCCCTGTGCTTCCTACAGGGTCCGTGTGAGAGCGTCCTCCCCTGTTACAGCCCAGGTGAAGCCCAGGGTCCGCCTGGGCTGAGGGGTTTGCAGGGGCAGGACTGAGGGTCAGATCTCACCATTTCCAATGCCCATCAGTCAGTTCCTCACTTCAGTTTTTCTACCTATGTGATCTTCCTCTGCTGTAGGAAAACCACGCAGGTCTGCTAGTGTTTCACACATTTCAAAGAACAACATGTGAATTGTGTTGTGACTTGTGCTACAAGCCCTCATTGCTTCACAGATGACTCGGGGATAATTTACTGCCTCTCCCGGCGGGAGTGCGACACAATGGCGGACACCTTGCAGAAGCACGGCCTCGCCGCTCTCGCCTACCACGCGGGGCTCAGTGATTCTGCCAGAGACGAGGTGCAGCACAAGTGGATCAACCAGGACGGCTGCCAGGTGAGCTCGGTTCAGACAAACAGATACGAGAAGTGACTTTGATAGTACGGAAGCAGACTCGCCTGTGTAGAATGAAAGTTGTTTTCCCCGTGAGTAGTGAGCATCAAAATAAGACTGAAATTGAAAAACATGTTTAAGACTTCTAAAATTGCTTCTTCTCTCTTAAATTAAAAAAAAACTTTAATGGAGATATAATTCACAGACCACAAAATTCAGCCTTTCAAAGTTTTTAAGTCATTGCCCTGACCAGTGCGACTCAGTGGGTTGAGTGCTGACCTGTGAACAGAAAGGTCGTGGGTTTGATTCCCCAGTCAGGGCACATGCCTAGGTTGCAGGCCGGTCCCCAGCTGGGGGCATGTGAGAGGCAACCACACATTGATGTGTCTCTACCCCTTTCTCTCCCTCTCTTCCTCTCTCTCTAAAAATAAATAAATAAAATCTTTAAAAATAAACACACACACAATGAAGAGCTTATAAAAATTTGAAAAGAAAGGCAGGAATCTTAATACATTACCCTATGGGCTACCAAGAGACTATTGGATAGAAAAAACTACAAAAGACTCAATTTAAATGTTTTAAAGTGCAACTTTGGTGATAATCGTAAGGATTGAAATTTGAAACAGTGAGAAACTATTTCCGCCTATCGTATTAGCAAGCCCTTACCAACTGTTGGGGACAGCGCTGTAAGAGGCAAACTCCTACAGGGAGCCCTCCTGGCAGGCAGTGTGGCGGTGGAGCCTCAGCCCTGCAGCGCGGGTGTGGAAGTGACAGCGGTGTTATCTTGAAGAGTAAATACCCTACAGCTATGCACTACTAACAGCCGAAGTGCCCTGAGAGAATGACTGGGGACATCATGGTACTACATTTCTGCCGTTAAAAATGGTTTGTGAAGTTTTTTAAGATGTGAAAATGTTCTGATGTTAATGACGGGTAAAGGTGGCGAAGAACAGAACTCAAAACCGTATAATCTCAACCATTAAAAGAGAGGATTGGGCAGGAACATAGACAAAAAAAAAAGGACGATTTTTTCAACTTCTAAATCTAAATACAGTATAAGTATTCTGCAATATATATGCATATATACATATAGATAAAGAACACTTTGATCAAAAATAGTTTTTTAAAATTGGTTAAAATTTTTTTTTTAATCTACAATAATTGCTTTTGTTTTCAGACCAGCTAATCCTTACAGTCAGGGTATAACAATATACTCAACTACACAGCCTTGATCTTGTTAGATTTGTGAGATAAAATAAAACTTGCTTGTTTTTCTTCACAAAGAAGTGATTGTCTTCTGAAGTTTTAAAACCAACACAGAAATAAAGAAGGAAGTAACAACTGAACAAAGCCAGTTTTCCCAGTTATAAGAAATAGGGCTTTCAGCCCTGGCTGCTGAGGTTCAGTGGTTTGAGCGCCGGCCTGCGCTCCAAAGGGTCGCCTGTTTGATTCCCAGACAGAGCACATGCCTGGGTTGTGAGCTAGGTCGGCCCCCGGTAGGGGACGCACGAGAGGCAACCATTCGGTGTTTCTCTCCCTCTTTTTCTCCTTCTCCTCCCCTCTCTAAAAATAAATAAGATAATTAGGAAAAGAAAAAGAAAGAAACAGGGCTTTCAGAAAGAGTTGACGTCATTGGTGTCCTGGAGTCCTGAGTCCTGCGCCTGTATGATCCACAGTTTCTTGGAATCCCATGGGCCGCCCCCCGCAGCCTGTGGGCGGTGACATCTTACTCCATAGCCCCTGCACCACCAGAGGCTACAGCAGACTTCCTCTTTCCAAGGAGACTTGCCATAAATGTGGATGGATGGCCGCTGCCAATCCCAGCATTGGCGGAGGCACCCGTTTGCCATCCAGGTGCCCCAGAGCTTGCCGTTCCTTTCTCTGGTTCTCACAGCTCCCCAAGTCATGGCAGTAGCCCCAGTCTGGCAGCCAGATAGTTCAGCGGCCTTTGAAATACTGTTATTGCAGTAGCAATTTATTTTTTTAAGTGCTAAAAAAAGATTTGCAGCTTTATTTGTATGATGCAATTTTGCCTACAGGTATAATGCTTCTGTCTGGGTTAAATAGGTCCTATATTCGTAACTGAAATGGATATTCTTAAAAATGACTTTTTACTAAAAACTGATGTATCAAGTTCCTGAAGTTGAGCTATCACTGTGCTCCCGTTAAGTAATGTGCGTAGGCCAAGATCAAGGGTCTCTGGCCTTTTTTTCTAGTATAAGCAACTCTCAGACTTTTACTCACATGAGTTCCAATAAGAATTTCACGTTTTGACTTTGAAATTCGCTGACAAACAAAAGGAGCTGGTGAGTGACGATCTGCTGTCACCAGGAGAATGGGCGGTACGGCACTGAAGCAGGTGAGAGCGCCGCCCTGCCTGACTCATTGGACAGGCTGGCAGCAGTGGCCCTGAGAGCCTCGAGTGGGAGCAACACCCCTCAGCCACCTCCATCTCAAACACGTGAGACCGCAAACAGGACGGCACATTGAGAGGTGACCGCTGTTGATTCTGGCTCCCGACCGTGACACCAAGTCACACAAGAACGTGCCTGCCACAACGAGCTTCTCTTTACCTTCCTGGGTCTAGATAAAGCTGCAGCTGGCCCATGTGGACATCTCACATTGGCCCTGCTAAATAAGGGGACCAGGTTAAGATGTGAGGTTGTCGTAGAAGGTGCATTTTACAGCAAAATAGAAGATATAAAGTGTTTAGGAGCAGCTTATTAGAATGGTTCTTTTAATGCATTGCAAGTCTAACGGGCTCTTGCTCCCACATCAGGTTATCTGTGCCACAGTGGCGTTTGGAATGGGGATTGACAAGCCCGATGTGCGATTTGTGATCCACGCTTCTCTCCCTAAGTCCGTGGAAGGCTACTACCAGGAATCCGGCAGAGCTGGAAGGGATGGGGAGGTATCTCACTGCCTGCTCTTCTATACCTATTACGACGTGACCAGACTGAAGAGGCTGATACTGAGTAAGTCCTCGTGATGCTGATACTGAGTTCAGACTCGTGGCAGTGGTGATCCGTGCCTGCTGCTGTGGTACTTTTGGTCCAGTTTTCCATAAATAGTCATAGGAAAATAGAGGTGCGTATAGAAATACAGAAATTATTCATTTTTATGATAAAAGTATTACCTGTTATTATATAAAACTCAAAGGAGCCATGCCCAGCGGCTGTGAACCAAAGGGTCACTGTTTCAATTCCCTGTTGGGACACATGCCTGGGTTGCGGGCCAGGTCCCTGGTGGGGGCATATGAGAGACAACACACATTGGGGAACAGACCTCAAAGGATACAGACTGTATTCGACGGGAGATTTCCAGACCATGCCGTTTCCTGCCCTAAGAAATGGCTCCAGTTATGGGTTTCCTTTCTCTTCTTCCGGACCTGGTTTCCGCACGCATCCTTGCATAGAACACATCTTCTAAACACGCAGAAGGGTTCAAGGGGAAAATAGCCACTTATGTGTCAACATCCAGGTTAGAAGCCAAAACCTTGTGTGTGTGTGTGTGTGTCCCATTTTGCCCCTCCGCCCCTCTTTAGGGACAGGCAATATCTTGTGTTTGGTATTTCCCTTTCCCAAATGCATGCATTTTACAGTGCTAATGGGGTCATGTTATGTGTGCATATGTTATATACATATATCTGATTTCAGTTAACACTAAGGTGTAATTATGACTCCAGTCACTATGCATAGCTTGACTGTATAGAATTCCGCTGTGTGGTTGTTCCATGTTTATGTAATCAGTCCCCTTTTAATAGATATTTTTATCGTTTCTTGTTTTTCACAGTTATCAACAGTACAATATTGAGTATCCTTGTACAGATATCTTCGGGTTTTAGTGCAATTATTTGTATAGGATAAATTTCTAGAGTTAGACTTGCTGAGTCAAAGGGAATACATATTTTAGAATCTTATTATGTTATTTTGCCCATTTTACTGGGTCAGGATTGTTAAGTAAATACATTTGCTAAGTAAATTTGCCTGCTCTGAGACCACTTTTGAATGAACTTTGATGGACGTACTGAGCCCGAGAAATGGCATTAAGCAAGCACTATGCTGAGAAATATATCTCCCTGTTTGCTCCTAACTACCGGCTTTTGGGGCAGAGCTAGTCCCATGGGAAAATGAGCTTCAGGGAGGTTCTCCGACTTGCCCCCAAGGGCGCAGGCGCAGCAGGAACAGCGGCAGCGGTGGTGGGCGGGTGGCGGTGCTATTTAGGGACACAGCACCTCTTCAGCACTTACCTTGTGCTCTGTCCTAAGTGCTGTACATGTATCACTTCATTTAATCTCCACAGCAACCCGAAAGGATGCCAGCCACTGGTACTCACTTATAGAGGAGGAAAGTGAGATACAGAGCTGGTGAGCGGCGTGAAGCCCGGGTTCGTCAGACTCCGTAGCCCATGACCCCAGCGCTGTGCCAAATGAAACTCTTCAGTCTAGTGTGTCTGTGTTTTTAAACAGAACCTATGTTAAGTTAGATTCAAACAATTTAATAAGTATTTAAGTCCTAAACACGCAGAGCCATTTGAAAAAAGATAGGTTAGAAGAGAAATGTCTTTTTACATCATTCTTAGCTAACCACACTTCTTACAAATGGAAAGGATGTACATGTTGTTCTCAAACCTTGGAATCAGATTGGACACTGCCGCCCTCGTTCATTTTCTGCCTCTCGGTCATTTTCTGGAGGTACTTGTGTTTGATAGCGCTGCCAGAAATTCACTGTCACAAATAATGTCATCAAAAGGAACGTAGCCTACCGTGAACTTCCCAGACTGGTAGCTCGTGTGGTGTTCAGCAGTCGTCGGGCGTCGCCGTTTCCTTAAAATTTGAAATGCCCGGCCGGTGCCCGGTGAGTTCACCGCAGCGCCCCGGACTCGCTGGCACACGCTTTCAGGGCCTCTGGACTACCCACTCTGGCCCCGGACACTCAGTGGGGCGCACAGCCCACTGCCGAAGCCCCGTGCGCTGCTTTCTTTGGCCGTTCAGTTCAGTGCATGCTTGTCTGATAAATACAGTGAATCGCGTGCAGGTCCTCATCATTGGGAATAATGAAGATCTGCAAAAAAACTTACCCATTCCCAACAATCTGCTCTTATACCTGTGCAACTAGTATCTTATGGGATTAACATAAACACTCAGTTAACTATGTAGAATGATGTCATGTTGATATAAGTGCTGTCGACAGTTTCGTATCATTTAGTATTTAAAGTTCCATAATTCTATTTTAAATATTTCTGTGACATTGTCCACTATTCTTCAACACTAATGATTATGTTTTGCTATGTTCTTTGTTTCTTTTAGTGGAAAAAGATGGAAACCATCATACAAGAGAGACTCACTTCAATAACTTGTATAGTATGGTACATTACTGTGAAAATATCACAGAATGCAGGCGAATACAGCTTTTGGCTTACTTTGGCGAAATTGGATTTAATCCTGGTTTTTGTAAGAAGCACCCAGATGTTTCTTGCGATAACTGCTGTAATACAAAGGTAAAATAAGAAAAAAAATATTTTTCTCTTATCTTAAAAAAGTTAGATGAGAGATGGATTTGAGAATTCGTTCTCTCATCTCCTGTAGCTAGGCCTTCTCGATCAATAAACCTTTCTTTGCTAAAAAAGAAAAGTTAGACAAAAATAACAGACCCTAAGGAATTAAACAAGGAAGATTGTTTCCTCCCCACAGTAATTTGGAAGAGAAACATTTTAATATTAATTCCAAAGAGTATCTTTAGAATTAGAAGCCCATAAAAATATTCTGGGCCTATCCAAAATACATTATATATACACACTGATAATTATAGGATATTTTAGAAATATCATAAATCTGTAAATATAAAAAAAATCTAGCATAAGCAGGTAAAATATTTTCAATTCAACTCTATATTTAGAGAGCCTGTTTTCAAAAGAGTTGTAATAACTGGACTGCTGTGTGTGTGAATGATTACTCTATAAATTGGGTTTGTTTGTTTGTTTGAAACTGAGAAATAATGGCAATAACTTCTGGATGAGTTTGCTGTCATCTGTTCTAAAAATAACTTTGGGAGGTTGTTAAATTGGACACTTCATTGTGCCTATTATGGTAATTCTATGTTTTAATGTCCACAGTTTACAGAGCATTTTCATTTTTGATATATTATGTGAAATGTCTGTGTAAGGTGCTGGGGACTCACAGACGAGCGTGGTGTGGGCCAGGTCATAGACTGGGCTGCAAGAGAGGCAGACAGACGTACATGTGGTCAGCACCACTACAGGACACGCAGCACCCGCCAGAGCAGAGGTCACTGAGTGTCTCTGGGCGGAATCTGTGGGTTTATGGCCGTCTCCACCCACCGCACCCAGCACGCAGGCATTGCTAACCAGGTCACTCACTGAGCACATATTTGCTGAGTGCCTGCTCTGTGGCCCACGGCTCCGTTCTAGGAGTTTTGGGTATTTCACTGAACAAAATACATAGATTCCTCGAGGATCTTACATTCTAGCAGGGGGAGGCTGAGTACAGACAGTGTACACAGTGAGCTTATGCTGCAGGGTAAGAGCTGGTGAAAAACAGAGCAGAGTAAGGAGGCAGGACAAAGGATGGGATGCAGGACTCAGGGTTCAGTGAGGTGGCCCAGGACAATGTTATTGTACGGGTGACGGTGTAGCAAAACCTTGAAGAGGTTAACTGAGCAGCTGTCTGGGTGTGGGCATTCCAGGCTGAAGCCATAGTTTGCCGCCTCCTGTTCTAAGAGCCGGAGGATGCATGGAGATTAGCAGGCAGTGTCAAGGGCCCCCTTGAGGTCTGTAACCATGTTTTGAAAGTGCGAACAGTCAGCGTGGTTGTGCGTGTTTCTGCAGCCAAGGATAGCCGCAAAGGTGCAGGCATGGGTGCTGGAGAACCGCACCTAATGTGTCTGTCAGGCAGCGTGACAAAGTGGCTTCTCAGGGCAGGGGAGCTGAGGGCGTGTGGAAGGCAGCGATGTGATGGTCGACTGTCTGTGGAACTGCAGCGGAGTGAGTGGATGTCTGAGGCTGAGCGCCGCTGGCAGCCCAGTGGATTGTTGGAGTCAGAGTACTAGATGGTGCAGGTTAGAAAGGTAGGAAGTGGTGGCCGGAGGGTGAAGGGTCAGGATTAGTGCCACAGAAGTAGTGGGTGTGGCCACAGGAGTGAGTCCCCGGTGTGCTGGAGGACAGGATGCTGGAGCAGAGATTGACGTGCTCACAGCCAAGGGGTAGGGGGGCCCCTGTCTGTGAACCGAGTCACCAAGAAGCACAGGAGGAATGATGCGCGAGAGAGACGGGACTTCTTCCTGATGATTCCAGACAGAGCCTCGGAATCACGACCCACTGTTCGTAAAAGACAAGAACCCTGTTAGTCTCTGGGTTGTTGAAATGTGGCAGAAGAACAGGGATTAGAAGACGGTCGGGGAGCTGCACGTGCAGAGGCGCCAGGGCGTGGTGCCGCTTCGGAGAAGCGCAGGCGGTGACTGCCGCTAGTTTGCAGAACTGGGACAGATGACAGCGGAGATCATACAGTAATGGGGGCTTAGAAAATAGGCAGTTTGGAGGCAGGCGAGGGGGAATGAGAGAGGGAAGTGACAGGAGACAGTAAAAATTAGGCTAGACCACATGTGGCACCAAAGACCCGAAAGAGATGGGGAACTGGTAAATTTGCGTGTTTTTCATCCGTAAGTCACCAGCCAGTACGTGACAGATGCCGTTGTAGGAGGTATGGAGGATTTTTTTGGTGATAATGTTCTTACCTACGGAGGACCATCAAGGCATGGAAAGATACGATCTGCGTCTGCGAAACGGCAGTCAAGGAAGTAAAATAGAGAGCTCATTGTTCCAGACACAAGGTTAAAGTAAGAACTGAGAAAAGAACGAACATTGGAAACTTCCTTGGCTTTTGGTCTGGAAACAGTTTATTATGACAGGAATGTTAGTAAACCTAGCAATCTGGGTATCATTTTAGTTATCACAGAAGGTAATCTTTTTTTATTCATAGGCTTATAAGACACGAGATGTGACTGACGATGTAAAAAGTATTGTAAGATTTGTTCAAGAACATAGTTCATCACAAGGGATGAGAAATACAAAACATGTAGGCCCTTGTGGGAGATTCACTATGAATATGCTGGTCGACATTTTCTTGGGTAAGTCATCTGTTCTACTAATTTGCCTTATATCCGTTGAAGTTGAACATCTAAAGAATTCTTTTGTCTATTTTCTTATGGAGGTGAAGGGTTTTAGAATAAACCCCTTTTTTTTTTTAACAAGAAAATCAGTTTTTATAAATTATGCCAATTATTTTTATAGAACGTACATAAGTCACTAAGATGAGTTTTCACATGCAAAAAAATAAAACAAGAAAGCTTATACAGTTTCACCTGAGTGAGTGGAATATAACTTGCTCAGAGCATTATCTTTTGACTGACTTTCAGTTCAAAATGGCAGCCTGAGCATTAAGGATCTGTGTCTTCTTTTTTTTTGTCTTGACGTCCTGTTACAATAATAAAGGAAATAAAATGAGGAATTAAATCTATAATGGCACAGAGAACCAGAAAGAGACCATCATCAGACTGAGGAAATGGACAGAAGCAGTTGACGAATGGAATGAAATGCAGTAAAACCCTGATAGAAAATAAATGTAGGAGGGTTAAAGCGGAGGAATGCCCATCAGCCAGGCAAAGCCTTGTTATCAGGAGGCCTCAGGCTGGACGCCTAAAAGCCCAGGGAGTGGGAGTGAAAGCAAGGAAGCCCAAAACAGGAGGGGCAGTTAATAGTCTGTGCACAGAAGAACTGCATCAAATACCGGCCTGGCATTGATTCTGGATCAAAAAGAAACAAACTGCCTAAGGACTGGAAAGACAGCTGGGTGAGGGGCCAGAGTCCGGAGGTGGCATGTGGCTGGCACTCAGCCCACCTGAAATCTTGTCCTACCTACCTACTCAAAAGCAAACGGATGGCTGGGTTTCCCCGCTCAGGGGAGGAATCTGGGGGCGTAGACGTAGATTTGATATAACAGCAGCTTCACCTGGTTTCCGATGGTTAACTGTAAATGGGCAACCAAGAAAAAGACTAAATAAGTGCAGTGCATGACCCTGGGGACTGAGATAACTTAGGAAAGAGGCAGTAGCTCTGGAGAAGGGGAAGAGGAAACTTCACCAACGTTTTTGAAAAGAAAAAAAAAATGAATGAGAAAGAATTATTATTTAAAAATTTAAATGAGCCCTGGCTGATGTGGCTCAGTGGATTGAGTGCCGGTCTGCTAACCAAAAGATCACCAATTTGATTCCCAGTCAAGGAATCATGCACATTCCTGGGTTGGCCAGGTCCCCAGTTGGGGGCATGCAAGAGGCAACCAATCAGTATTCCTCTCACATGTCCATGTTTCTCTCCCCGTCTTTCTCCTTTTCTCCTCCCTCTAAACTTAAATAAATAACATCTTTAAAAGTAAATAAGTAAATTTTAATGATTGACAAAGTAAATTTAGTGAAATGGTTGGAAGATAGAATCTAGAAACTCTTCTAAGACCTGAGCAAAGAATATATGGAAAATATGAGAGAAAAAATATAGAAGATCAATTCTTAGGAGATATGAAATCTGACAAATAACATTTTTGAAATGGAAAATAGGGAATTATCAAATCAACAGTATAAGAAAATTTCCCAGAAGGACAGAGAAAAAGGCTTTCATATTAAAATGCCCACTGAATGCCAATCACATGCTGTATAAGATTTAAGAATACCATACCAAGAGTAAGAAATTTAAAAAGAAAGGCAACTAAGAAACAAAATAAAAAAAAAAATAAAACAGTTCCAGGACTGTTAGGGAGGAAAGAGTTCCTCTATCCTGTCAGGGTTCCTCTATCCTACTAGGGAGCCTGCAAATTAAACAGTCAAAAGACAGGTTTAATCGTGTGTGTAAGGGAATTCATAGAAAAATGTAACTCAAAGGGTCAGTTAGATTTGGGGCCCTAAACACCATCTTAAGAAAAAGGGAGAGGGAAGAGGACGCTTCTGGGAAAATATGATTTTGGGGAGGCTAAACGGTCCCTGAGGAAAGTGGATGGGAGGGAGAAAGGACTCCCTTTGCGACAATGTCTAGTTATCATCATCTAGTTCCGAGGATGGGTCAGTCAGCCCTCCCTGCTTGCTCCCAAGGTGGGGATTTATGACGATGGATTTGAGATTTCAGGAACTCAGGTGCCTTCTGTTCAATAATTTTTATGTCAAGTGGCATATTCTGGACCCCTCCGAGATAGTCCCGAAACCAAAACTGAACCGGTCCGAGGTTAACGTCAGCAGCTGTGGAGACTAGAAGGCAAAGAAAGTGAGCGCACACGGCAGGATACTGTCAACAGAGGGACTGACCGAGGGCTTCGGGGAGGAGGAGGCCCTGAGCCTGGCTCTGTGGCTGGTCTCGGAAGCGCCTGTGGGGACTGCAACAACGGCAAAGAAAGTGGGTCCAAGCCATGGAGAGTAAGGATAGGAAACAAAATATCTTATTGATGACAGCAAGGAACACAAATGTTACTTCTCAACAAAAAAAGGAGAAAGCACTTAGAAACTCGAGGAGAAAGAGAGCCAATGTCAGAAGTAAAAGGAAACTGCTACACGATTTTGTGTACTTGATAAAACCTACAAAAAACCCATCCATTTGGTTCCAGTAAACACCCTCCTTAGGGCTGCTCCAAGTGGGGAAGGAAGCTTGTCCTCCGCGCTGTTGGTCCACGACAGCCGTCGGAGTCAACAGAGACTTAACACGGCTAGGGAACAGGACAGGCTGTGGGTGTTAATCTTCATGATATAAAAATAAACGTGCAGTCAATAAAAATAAAAGAAGGGAATGCACAGAAGGATCGGGGTGCTAATAATACACCTGGGGGGGACAGGGGTCTGAAGTTCTATCTAAAGTTACAAAAATATCAAAGTGGTGAACCAGTATTACAGCAAAATTCAGAGCAGGGTAAAGAGGAGGGGGTGGCTCCTGGGAGGACGGCAAGGGTTTGGGTTGGTTGTGGAGGTAACCGCAGAGCTGAAAAGAGGCTGCTTAAAAAGCCATCGCCTAGAAAAGGGAAGTGGGACTGGGGAGGGGAAGGGTGGGACAGAGGCACGTGGCCTCCCATTGCACACCCTTCCGTGCTGTTCTGTTCCCTTCTCCCTGCCCCCCCCCCCCCGTGTGTTACATTAATTAAATATATAAAGCAATAGCGGGTTCATTCATTTCTTAAAAAATAGCCTGGATTGGAGCAGGAGGATGGGTTGCTTGGTTTCTCCACTGTTTCCTCTGAGTCTGCTCCTTTCTCAAGGCAAAAAAGCAGCTTTTAGTGCTGGTCTTCCCCGAGCTGGATTCTCGCCTTGTCGTCAGGACCTTTTTCAGGGAGAACAAAGGGTTGCAGATAAAATAATTTCTTAAGAGAGTGAGATGTGCTCACTCTACACTGCAATACACAGACAACCGAGGTGCAAACAGCTTCAGAAGATGCTGATGTTTTTGTGTCTGCTCACAGTCACACGTCTGTCAATTGTGCATCTAATTTATGTTGTTTGGTGTAACAGTATGTAAGCATTTTCTTAATGTTTTTATTCTAAAGTAGTTTTTAATAATTTACGTTTTACCATGTTGATGAAATGTATCTAAGTGGTCTTGTTTTAGGATGTATTTTTCTATCGTAAATAATGGTGTGTTAAATAGCCTTCCAAATACACCTTCAGCTACATCTCTGCTTTTACCTTTCATTTAAATTCCTTAAAAAATACTAAAATATTTTCTGATGCATTCTTCAGTTTTTCATTAAGTTCTTTTATGTCTTCAAGAAAATAATTTCTATTTCATCCAGCTTTCCTAGTTACCCTCAGCCCGAAGGTTGGTCTCCAACTCCCAGCTCACCCTTGCCAGAGCAGTTGTCCTGATCCCATGTGACATTTCCAGGGTACAAATCCCTCGAACAAAGTAAAACGTAAATCATTCGAAATATGTGGCCAGAAGTCATCTGGCATTTATAATAATGTAATTATTTGGAACTATTAAAATAGTGCTAAAGCTTTACGAAGTAACTGTTAATTCTGATTCCAATCAGTGTCACAAGGCTTCCTAAGTAGATTTATGATGATAAAATGGTATTTACATGGAAGACATGAGTAATGACAGCAGCTGGATATGAAACCGAGAACCCAGCACAGTGGGGTGCCCTTGGCCAGCGGGAGATGGGGAAGTGTGCGGTCTTGTGGAGTGGGGTGCCTTTGGATTGAAAATCGTATAGACTCCATTTGTGAGGGTAACAGAAAGGACAGACTTAAGTACTCCTAGATTGTAAAAGATAGTGATTTCAATAGAGTACCCGAGATAGGATTTCTAAAACTGACTGTCAAAAATTTCTTGTAACCAGAAAAATAATGCAGTTATCCTAACAGAACACAGGATGTGAAGCTACTCAAGTTTACAAAGACTCTGTCTTTGATTTCCTTGCTCTGATACAATTTTATAGGCTATGCAACACTCTAAATGATGAACTTTGGTTGTTTTTTCTAACAACACGTGTTAGAAAAAGATGAGGAAAGGGACAGAGAACCGTGGAAACTTCAGAGTTCCGCAGAAATATCAGCATTTCATGGGATCGAGTGTCCCTGCCGTGGTTTTCCCGTGGAGGCTACTTGTCCCCCTCCGGCAGGCCTGCCGTGAATGGCCTTCTCAGTCTCTTCTGTCAGAGGTGTGGCGTACCTGCATTTCACCACTCTGACTTCTTTTACTTTCTCACCAGGGACCAAGAATGCAAAGATTCAGTCGGGGATGTTCGGGAAGGGGTCTGCGTACTCACGGCACAATGCCGAGAGACTGTTCAAAAAGCTGATACTGGACAAGATCCTGGATGAGGACTTGTTTATTAACGCTGTTGACCAGCCCATTGCCTATGTGATGCCCGGCAGTAAGGCCCAAACGTTACTGAATGGGCATTTAAAGGTATGGTGTTCTAAAAGCTTATTTCATTTTATTATTACCCAGTGAGTGGACAAACACATATTACTGAAAATTAAACTGTCTTTTCCAAAACTTAGGGACACTGAGTTTATTTATACTGTCCTATATGAACATATTCTTTACTGTTAATTTGCTAAGAGATCTTAAAAATGAACTCGAGTAATGTAATACCTATCAAACTGAATTTAATGGGTTATCAGATCACTCAATCATCATACGTTTACCAGTGAACACTTACCAAGAAGCAGTTCTATACTAGGTACTGGGGATGCAAAGATGGAGAACGCACAGTTCCTCTTCCCAAGGGGCTTATTATCTACTGGGCATAACAGAAATATCCCCCAAAATGCAGTTATATATTAAATAAATGTGCCCACACCCACTCCTATGTTCCCTCTCTCTCTCTGTCTCTCACACACACAAAGGTAGACTTTATGGAAACGGAAAATTCCAGCCATTTGAAGAAACAAAAAGCCTTAGTGACAAAGACATCTCAGAGGGAAGAGGTGGTTAAGAAATGCCTCGGAGAACTTACAGAAGTCTGCAAATCTCTGGGGAAGGTTTTTGGAGTCCATTACTTTAACATCTTTAACACGGCCACTCTCAAGAAGCTTGCAGGTAGGTGTGCGTGAGTCCTCCGTTGTGCGGCACACACTTACAGGCTGAAAGTTAATCTTGCTAAGATGCGTAAATATATAGCTCAGTCTTTTGCATTTTTATTTAATCGCTAAATTGAAAGCTCAGAAAAACAGTTTAAACTTATTCCTGAGATAAAATATGCTCTATGAGATACATGTAGTACTTAGGCGTAAGTTTAATTTGCTGGTCTCCTCGTGCTGGATGGTAGACGTGGGTCATTGCCGTCGCTGACACCAGACGGTACCTAGTGGTTCTTCTGTCCACTCCCGGCCTGCCTGTGTGATGTGCAGCTGTGCTCTGTGTGGATGTCTGTGCAGCGAGAAGCTAAGTTCCTCATGGAAAGAGGAGGTGTCCCCTGCTTCTTTGAATCTGGGTCTAGCGCTCTTCTGTGTCCTCAGTCCACACATGCCTGCCGTCCTGAGTTATGTCCTGGTACAGCTTCAGGCAGCTGGACCAGAATTCTAGTAGGAAAGTCCCTGGAAAACAAGTTGTGACGGAGGTGATTGACTAGTAATGTCCATTACCTTCCCTGTTCTTCCTTGGTAAATCTGACGATCGTTACCTTCTCTTTCCTCCATTTCCACCCCTGCCACCATAGGTCCTTACAGTAGTTCGTCAGTACTAAGACACCATCTATTTTATGACACTGTTATTTCATGAACTATTAAGAAAAAAAATTTGGCTGGTGTGGCTCAGCAGGCTGAGTGCTGGCCTGTGACCCGACAGGTCACTGGTTTGATTCCCAGTCAGGGAAAAAGCCCGGCCAGGGCTTGCTGGCCAGGTCCCCAGCTGGGGTTGTGCAGGAGGCAACTGATCGATGTTTCTCTCTCTCTCTTCCTCCCTTCCCCTCGCTGGAAATTAATAAATTCTTTTTAAAAAAGAAAAAAATTTTTACTAAACAGTGATTTTGTTGCAGATTATTTTGACTTATTTATACTTTGCATGCATGAAAAAATGCATAAAATTAAAGGGAGTTGCCAAATTTTTTCCCTATCTCTACGTTTCTGTGGTTTCCTGCATTCACATGCTAATCAGTCTTTCTGTAGGCATTTTATGTGGCAGTTAAGCTCAACACGTGAGGACCCGGCACTGCCATCACGCTGTGGACGTGCCGGCAGTGCTAATAGCTGTGACTGAGTTCTCACGTGCACGGGCAGCGGCAGCCGCAGCGCAGCTGCCGTCCCAGCGTCAGCACTTGTGAGACCCTTTGACCTCTGGGAGGTCAAACCGTGAGTGAGTGTGTCTTAGAGTTGATGAAATGCAGTATCTTGTTCCTAGGCTATTAGTGAGGTTTTCTCACTGGTCTTAACTCCAGATATGAGCATGGTATACATTTTAATCTTTCAGAACTTCTGCTGAAGCTCCAACAGTTCTCCAGATAAAGTACAAAGTCTAATAAGGATTTGCATTTCCACTGCCTTTCCCACTTTATCTTCCACTGACTCCCTCCATAAACCTTCTAGTCTCTCCCAAAGGCCTGTTGCTTTTCCTCTACACACAGAGACGATGAGGAAATCACAGATTGGAAATCCATGCTTTGTGCAAGTCAAATGCAGAGGGATTATCACTCCCTCACCCCCCATAGCCAGTATATCGATGGCTCCTCCAAACCAGCCTCCCAGTGTGTCCCAGCCCCTCTCTCCTTCTCTCCACAGCTGCGTCCTGATTCACTGCATCCTCACTTAGCCCTCAGTGGCTCCCACTGGGCTCCCAGTTTTTACTCTTTCCCTCATAATCCATTCTCCATACAGCAGCCAGAATGATCTGTAAAAGGACAGGCTTATCCAGCTACAAGACTGATGTGCCGTCTGCATGCAGAGGACTCAGCAGCCTGATTGTTGAAGTCAGATTACCCACTTCACCCTACAGGCAGGCAGATCGGAGGAGGAACAGGTGTGGGTTGGGGGAGTGTAAGAATTCACTTACCGTCTTTTTGTTTTGTGCCCCGTTCCTGGAAGTACTGCAATACCGGGTCAATGTGCGGAGTGGATGGAGCCAGCTCCTGTCCCATCTCCCGGCTCCCCAAATCCATTTAATCTAATGTCCTCAGATATGTCTTTGTTGTGAGAACAGGGCGAAGTCTGGTTAAATTCTGAGGCACAGTGCGCGGGTTTTCCGTTTCTTCCATGTCCCTTCCTCTCCCCCCCTCCTTTCCTCTGTCACCGTCGCTGCCCTGACTTAACGCACCTCAGCCGCTGGAACTGGATGGTGGGTCCCTACCCCTGGGCCTGTCTGCTGCCTCCGTTGGCACCAGCTGCCTTGTAGAAAGCTGGCTCAGGTGCCCAGTGCTCTGCAGTTGGTCGGCACTTAACAAACATGCTGAATGGGTGAGTGACCATGAATGCAGTGGGTTTTCTATTGGTGGTAATTTAAATTCCTGATTTTATGTTCACGCACAGAATCTTTATCTTCTGATCCTGAGGTTTTGCTTCAAATTGATGGTGTCACTGAAGACAAACTGGAAAAATATGGTGCAGAAGTGATTCCAATATTACAGAAATACTCTGAGTGGACGTTGCCAGGTTCAGTATACAGCCAAATATGTGTTTTCTAAAAGCCTGTTTTAACGTTAAGCGATGCATCTCACTAGGTTATGATTCCGGGGTTTCTGGGTTGTGTGCATGCTTCCTACACCTTGTCACACGGATGCTCCAGTGCTCAGGGCAGCCCTCAGTGATGTGCCAGCCCCCTCGTACAAGACAGTGGTTGGTGCTTAGGCCCCCTGGGGGGTGCCGGCTGCTGAACCCGCTGACCTCTGAGCCCAGAAGTTGCTGATGCTCTTCAGGTAAATGCCCGATCGAACAGGACTGTGGGATGCAGTTCGCTGCTCTGTCCCCCTCAAGCTCTGTGGTCCTTGGCAGGCCACAAATAACCTCTTTGTGCTTCAGCCTCCTTATCTGAGGAAGGAACATGTTATCTGAAAAGCATTTCTAAAGATAAAATTTAAAAGAGGAGATTAAGCATTTTGAGAAAAGGAACATGGAGTTGTAATGCTAGAAAATCTTACTGTCATTAGCATTGAAAGAATCTGCCCAACCGAGTGCGTCTTAGCAGATGTTCCCAGAGGTTACATTAGGCCGGTCACAAAGCACTTCTAATCATGAGCCTCCTCACTGAGCTGGAGAAAGCACCGACTAAGAGAGAACTGAGAACACAGAAAGATGTGGGAGACAGGACGGACGCAGAAGTCTTTAGGGCCTCTTCTAACGTCCTGCCACGGGATAAAACACAACCGGCAGGCCACGTTCAGCGGTTTTCATTTCCGTGAGGAATCATGGGAGGGGTCTCTTCTCGAGGCTAATGGAAATGATAAGCAGGCTGAGAAATGAGTGTTCACGCATTTCAAGTTCTGTCTGTGTGTAATTGTTTTTTGTCCATTAACAAAACGCCGAAAAGTAGGGTTTTCATCTCGGCCTCTGTGTGGTCACCATGTCACTGAACGCCTCGCTGTGACTATGCTGACAGTCGTGGTGGGAACTTCGTGTGTGTTCAGTGTGGGAACTGCTGGGAGGGTTTCCCCACATCAGACAGGGACGCTCCGTGGGGACAGCCAGGGTGGCGGCGATTGCTGCCCCTGTGAGGGACACTCTGTCTATTTTGTGTCACTCGATTCCCACAGCACCCATTTTACAGGCAGACGTGGTGAGGCCCTTTCATCTCCCTGACGTCCCACAACTGGGATGACAGCGCTCCTCGCCCCTGCTGTAGTGCCTCCCCGGAGAGCCAGTGCTGGGGGGACAAGGCCCTTCCTACCAGGCAGCAGGGTGGCCTGAGTGTGAACCAGACCAGCCAGGAAATACAGTCCCTCACAAAACAGAGCGGGGCCACTGTGGGCCTGTGAGGCCGAGGCTCCGTGTTCTCTGGGTGGGTGGGGACGCAGACGCTTGTGGAAATTGACAGCTTTGCCAGCGTGTGCTTCATACAGGCCCACGGCCTGCGTGGCACCTGAGATGTTCACAACCATTATGCACAGAGACCTGTTAGTCTTTGAAGAGTGTGTGGAATTTTCTAACCCTCATTTACTAAGTAATATTGTTCACAAGTGAGGTGTTGAGCATAGTTCTCTTATATTGGGTCGTTTTTTCAGCATGCGTAAAATGATAAATTAAATTATCTTTTGTATAGGACTTTATACTTTTCAAAGGGTGTAACAGGATTAATTGCCCAAGCAGTAAAGGGTGTAGGCCACACACAACATAGTGGGAGCAAAACCTGAGGTCTCTAGTTAAGTTAAAGAGTATCACAGATTTTTAAATGAATTCTGATCCTCTTTCTTCAAATAAATGGCCATTGAGCACTCTGGGGCTTTATTAAAGAAACAAACAAAGGTTCTGCTCTTGAGGCATTGTCAGACACATGTGGCAAGGAGACACCAGGGGAGCAGGCAGGGGAGCAGGCAGGTGCCCGCCGAGCTGCCCCGTGCCGTGCTGCTCCACGTCACGGACCTGCAGCACCGGCCGGCGGGCGTCCCCGGCAAACGTCTGCATTGTCTGTTCGTAGCCGAGGACCCTTCCCCACGGCCGAGCCCGTGCAGCGGCAGAGGCAGAGGCACTGGGAGAAATGACTCTGAGGGCTTCGATGAGGAAACACCTGTGTCTTCTCACTACTTTGCAAATAAAACCAAAAATGAAAGAAAGAGGAAAAGGGCACCAGCCTGCCAAAGGACCAAAAGGAGAAAAACTGGTGATTTCAAGACAAAAGTGTAAGTTCTGCATCATGTTCCGCAATGTAGGGTGTGAGGGAGAAAAGTCTGAAAGTATAACGGCTCTGGTTTCCTTTGAGGCATTTTTAAAAATAAGCCATTATTTTTTTTAAGATTTTATTTATTTATCTTTAGAGGGGAAGGGAAGGAGAGAGGGAAAGAAAGATCGATGTACGGTTGCCTCTCATGCATCCCCTGCTGGGAACTGCTTTGCAACCCAGGCATGTGCCCTGACTGGGAATCGAACTGCGATCCTTTGGTTCGTAGGCCTGTGCTCTATCCACTGAGCTACACCAGCCAGGGCTAAAAATAAGCTATTATTAAATGTTATCTCTGTAATTACTGGAGTGAAGCTTAAAGTTGTATCCAAAACATTTACTTCAGATTTTTAAACTATCTACTCCTAAGCCAACTATCATTAAAATTTTCCAGTTTGCAAAAACTCCAATGTTGACCTTAGGAAGAAAAACAATTTTTTATAATTGCTCTTCTTAAGAGACTTTTCCACCTAAAATACTGTAAATCATACACTAGCTGAATAAATACAGGGTTTTGTTTCCTCATTGCTGTGTGATTCTGTCAGTTCTTGCTGCACAGCTTTCATTCAGGCAGAGTCTGCGGGTCTCCACCTGGACGCCCCTGTGGTTCACTCATACCTGGGGAGGCCACCCCCCAGGCTCCTCAGGGCAGCAGAGGGGAGGCCCCGGCAGGAAAAGCAGAAGGTCAGGCAGTGCAGGCCTCTGGGTGTTACTGGGGGCAATGCATCCTGGCCTCCTGAGGGGCTCATCTGCACATGAAAGGGGAACAAAGTATTGTCAGGTGTGGGCGATGCTCTGGGCAGGATCTGGACAGCATCAGCCTTCCGGCAAAACTGCCAAAACTGCACTGCAGCCCCTTTCCCGTCTTCGGCAAGGACACCCTCCGTCCTCACCATGTAGATAAGGCCTGGCAGGGTTGTGACCATCCCATCAGTCTGGGCAGTGTGGCCCCCAGATAACTGCGGATTGCCACGGAAATGCTTGCAGAAAGGGGAAGCAAGTCCTCAGGACGTTTCTGCAAGCTGTCGTGTTTTCTTTTGCAGTTTTTATACCTCTTTTCCTTCTGGGTAATGAAAAATTGAGTGGAGGAAGAGAGGGAAAGACACATGTTACCAAATTTCATTTTCTTGCTAATTCCATAAACAAACATCTTGTATGTGCTAATCCTTCTGCCAGGGCACAGAAATTAAAGGCATTAGTAAATGCTAGTTTAATTTTGTGGTTTTTAATGTGCAAGTGACCGGCAGATGTTCTTCTGCGGGGACATTTTATTTTCTTCATTTATTCCTCCTCCGTTTCGGGAAATACTTATTTCCTCAGGAGCCCACACAGAGTAAGAGTCCTTAAAAGGCATCTGGTCCAGCCCTCTGGGGTTTATGGCGAGGAAGCTGAGGCCTGGCCTCGTGCGAGGCTCATGCCAGCTCACACCCAGCCGGGTGTCAATTTTGCAGGTAGGGCTGGACACTAGCTTGCCCGCTCCCCACTAAGCACTTTCCTTTCTCCACATTGTCCTTAAAAACAATTATGATCTTGTGTTTACTTGTTAGGACAAAGCAAACCATATTTCAGTGCTCCTTGCCAGTTGATCCCTTACTCAGTTTTCACAACTTTTGTTTATGAGTGAAGCACTTCGCCTTCTGGCCCGGAGTCTGGGCTCACACTGGTCTCAGAGCCAGTCCCAGTTGTGATGCTGGTTTTTCCTTAGCCTGTGCGTCTAAGAGGGGATTCTTCTCCGATCCCTGCTGGCCAAGACCAGTCAGTGGTATCACTTTCTTGTACCTTTGTAACAGCCTCTTTGTGTCTGTGCTTCATTCTCCTCGTTCCTACCGAGCCACTGCGAGAGAGAGTCCCCACAGTTTCCACTCTGCTCACCTGGCTGAGAGGCTCTGCCCAGTGACAGAGTAAATGTGGCTCCTTGCCAAGGCCCCCAGCGCCCCACCCTACCCCCAGAGCTTTCCATCCTCAGGATAACACACAATGAGGGAACTGTGTCTGGGCTCTCTAAGTGGGAGGAAAATGGATGGCCGGGTGAGATGGAGGCTACTGTTGGCAGATCCATTCTATAAATCAGCATAAACAGCAGGTTTTTGCTCGGGGCTTAATTTCTCGGCAGGAAATCAGTGTAGGGAAACGCAGGGCTGCTTCTCTATTCGTTTAGCTCATCTTTGCCAGTCCTATGGTGACACTGCCTTGGAGCAAAGGTTGAGCAGTGTTGAAAATCACTCTTCACCCAGCCCCACCAGAATGTCATTTCCACACACTGGGGGCCCCTGACTTCAGACACGAGAGGTCACTGGCTTGCCCTGATGCTCTGGAACTAGCATTGGGCATGAACTCAGCCTGGTTACAAAGCAGCAAGAAATACTTGTGTAAGAAAAGTCTTCTTTAGAGAATGCAGCCAGCTGTTTTTCTTATAAACATGCAGCCCTGTGATTTTTTTTACTTTGGAGGAAGGAGAAAGAATAGCCATTATCTTAGGCCAGTGAGGGAAGTGAAGTTCTGGAAGGGCTTTGTAATAAGCTGTGGCGGGGGCTTCTTTCCTAGCTTTAAAGGCAGTGAGTAGGAGGTGCGAGCACACAGATCTGGGAGTGTAGGCAATCCAGCAAGCTGCCGGTGACGTGGCCGTGACAGAGACGTGCCAGGCCCCAGCAGCCACTCGCAGGCCCCCGGGGAACCACATCGGCAGCCGATTCCTGGCTGGGGCTGGGCGGAAAGAGGCCAGGCTCAGCCTTCTCTCTCTGGACTGTGCAAGCACAGTCATTCCAGAGTGTTTGTAGTCTGAGCATCCGGGTCTTTAAAACCTGGTTCCCGGGCTCCCTTTATTCGGTCGGGATAGATCTGGGATGCGGATCAGGGCTGCTGTCTGCCAGGAGAGGTGTGGGCGGAGAAGAGGCACATGGGTTGGCCTCGAGTCACAGAACTCAGAAAGAATCCTCGACATTTTAGGGAGACACATGTGTCTGAAGAACAGTGCTCCTTTCCTCCTTGACTTGTAAAAGGCACTGACCTTATGGAGGGGTCCAGAGGCAGAGAGACTCGTAAGACCACAGGGAATCGTGGGTTGTACAGCTCTTTCAGGCTGAGAGAAAAGACTGCTCACTTGAGGTTTTATTTAACATTCCAATTTTCTTTTTTGCATTTTAGGGCCTCCACCACATGCAGAAGGACATCTTCTAAAACTAAACCCTCCGGCATAGTTGGGCCGAGGTCAGCTGTGCACAGTTCTCAGGTGGCACCAGGAGCCGGTAGAAAACTGGGGATTATGGCCCCACCCAAGCCTGTGAACAGAGCGTTCCTCCGGCCTGTGTACGCACTCTCGTAACAGCCAGACCTCAGGGTACCGAGACCCCGTGTCTTGTTTTTCGTCATCTGACCATCTGTGAACATAAAGTTGTTAGTTTCGTTATTCCATTTGTAATTTTTACCCATATCTATTAATATTTAAATAAATGCTTGGGGTGACGGTTCCGTTTTTGAAATAACCACTTTCTTTTGAATAAGCAAGATTTGCTGCCTCTGCAAGCCTTGTGGCTGTTGTTTCTGAGAACATCTGAAGTAGCAGCTGAATCATCTCAGTCAGAGAAATTCTAAGCAGGACATGAAACAGAAGCTGAAGGAAAAGACATGCGTGCGACATTGTAAAAGGGTAAAACTCTGTATAGAAGATGTAAGCAAAATTGGAAGACAAACAGGAAAGATACATGACAAAGGATTTGTATTCGCAATATACAAAGAGTACCCATAAGCCATTAAAGACCAGTAGAAAAAAGGGATGTGAATAGGCTCTTTTCAGAAGAAGTAAAAATGGCCCACAATACTTGGAAGATACTCAGTCTGCCTAGTTAAAAATATAAAATAAAACAACAAACTGCCTTTTTTTTTTTTTTTGGCCTATAAAACTGTCAACACTAATATCTCCAAATCTAGGAACAACGAGAGACTGGCTGCTCTGGTGGTGAGAATAGATTAAATGTTGTGTAGTCCTTCCAGGTTAAGTGCCTTTCTTTTCAAGACCCTTCATTAATAGGCTGATTGGCCAGAAAGTCTTAATGTGGAATTTTGGTACCTCTTTTCGGAACTCCAGTACCCCATTTTTGGAGACATTTTGTTGGGTAGCTCTAAGTAACTTTGGTGACCTGTTTGGTTCCCTACTTCTTGACCCCAGTCAAGAGGATAGAGCTGGTGTGGCCCGGACTGAAGCAAAGTTGTTAAGAGCAGAGTTGGCTAGGAGCCTTGTGGCCTCTGCCAGGAAGGTGAGTGCTGAGGTGGACGCCACCCTGGGAGCAACTGACCGCCACATGGGCCCTTGAGTTCTGCATTTGATGGAGTCAGCTGGCTCGGCAGGAGGCTGCTGAGGCTGGGCACTGCAACCTCCCATGCCTTTTGGAGCTGACATTTTTCAAGAAGCCATCTTTCCAGCAAGTCCTGATTCAGTGACCAGAAGCACCTTCTTGGAGTGAGGAAAGGAGATGGAGGACAAAGTAGCCAGGAGTTGAGGCTGCTGAGCTAATGTCCCCAGCAGGAGGTCACCTTTGCAGAGTTGCCAGTGCACAAGGGCATCTTGCAGATCACACTTTCCGCCTACCATGGTCTGGCTTTGAGGGATTGGGGCAGCTTCTGCGCAAAGCTGGTGCTGCGGATACTGGGTCACTTTCCAGCTCTGACCTCATTCATTTATTCCTTTACTGGGGACCTCATCTGCCCAGACACTGGAGACTACTGTCCCCTCAGGGGTGTCCACTCTGCCTCCGGGGCCCCCAGGCAGCAGTGAAGATGGATGAAGGGAGTGCAGGGGAGTGAAGGGGAGCCCTCCGGATGGAGTGTAGAAGCTGTGAACAGCTAGCACTGTGCATGGCACTGCCACCTGTGTCTCACCACAGCCCTGAGGACAGGGCAGGAATCAGACCTGGAGACGTTGGAGTAGTGCAGGATCAAATCACAGAGCCAAAGCCCCACCCCCAGCTCTTTTGAACAATCCTGGGTTCCATTCCACAGGCCCAGAGCAGGCACAGAAAATGCAGTGGCCTCATCCACCTCAGCCTCCAGCCTTCCCAGCATGCCCGTCCCCCACCAACGACCCTGGAGAATGTGGCTGCATCCACATGGGGCAATCTTGGGAGAACAGAAGAGTGTGGACTTGCCCTAACCAAAACTGGGTACTCCCGCAGCCACACAGAGCTAGTGACAGCAAAGCTGCTCCAGGCTGGGTCCTGGTTGGGGCCCTCCATGGGCACAGAAGTCACCACCACCTGGGAGGAGGGGAGGCGACCAGTCCACCAGGGACTTCCAGCCTAGGATGCTTCACTGGCCCACTATCCCCATCAGCCTCTGGAGGACACTGAAAGGACTGGAATCTGACTCTTCAACTGTACATGTGCACCTTCCCACCATGGGAACTCAAGAGAGCTGAGAGGTTCTTGCTTTTACCTCCTGGGACAGGGAACCCACTACCTCACAGGAAGAGAAGAAACGTGGAGAGCCTGCCCTATGCCAAGGGCTGTTCTAGGAAGTTTCACAGAATTTACTCCTTTAATCCCCCTGAACAGCCCTAGGAGGCAGGCACATGATATTAGCTTTTTTTATGCAGAAACTAGAATTGAGAGCGGTTATGTAATTGCTCAAATCTACACAGCTAGGAATTGGTGGTAAGTAGGGTAGCACACATCCTGGTTTGCCCTGCAGAGGCCCGGCTTACGTGTGCTGCCCTGGTGCGATAGTCAGGACAGCACCCTTTCATTCTCGAAAGTGCTCCAGGATGGACCATACAGTATAAGGAATCCAGGTTTCTGCTCTTTCCCTGGACAATCCAGCCTCCTCTCCCTACCCTGTTTTTTCCATTCAGAGCCTCAGGGGCCATCTGCCTCCACCTGCTCAAAACTTTAAGCCCCTGGAGCAGGCTCCAAGGACAGAAGCTCCAGAATTAGCCAACACAGCTGAGCCGCAGTTTTTTTCTCCAGAAGAGGAAGCAGAGGCTGTGGTCCAGGCCCCCTTGCTCTCCCTAAGAAACCGCTGCTTCTCCTCCCACAGCTTGGAGCTGCTTGGGGCCCACCCTGTCCTTGGAAGGCTCCCAGAGTCCCAGCCGGCCTCAACAGGGGCTTTTGGGCAGAGGGTAGTGGCCTGTGGACCCTTTACGGAGGCCAGGACAGAGTCTCCAAGAGGCTCCAGCAGCCACAGCCTCCATGTGGCCTCACAGACGTGCAGAGGGGCAGGCTGGCAGGATGTGACCCGCCAGGAGCCAGTCCCTGACTGGACCCTGCCAGGCGTCAGCTCTCAGTTGCTATGAGGCAAGGACTCTATTTCTACATCTGTGCAGGGCACCACCAACGCTGCCAGGACAAGCACCCTTGGCCTTTAGAAGGCTCCAGCTTTCTGCAACACTCATGTTCCTGTTCTTCTCAGACCCAGAATGGTTTTTCTCAGCCAGACCCATGTTCTCTGCTGGCCGTTGAGGAAGGAAGGAGGAAACAGGTCCCTGTTCTCCTGGTCACTGCAGAAAGGACAGGACAAGATGGTAGGCAGAGCCCCCAGGAGAGGAGGTACTCCTGCAGGCAGGGACGAGGGCCTGAGGCTGTGTCTCTGTAGCCTGCAGGTGTGGGAGATGGGGTTTCAGTGTCACCCCAGCATGACTCTACCACCCCACAGAAGATGTGGTGACTCGGGTGGCCCCTGGGCCTAGGCCTCCTCAGGATGCACTTCACCCCAGCTGTGTCCCCATGGGCCCTGTACTCATGCCGCAGGTACCAGTCAACCTGCCAGGAGCCTTGAGGCTCCATGATGATCAGACCCAGGGGGAGCTCACAGGTCCTCGCCTCCCATGGGGACACTCTGTACAGCAGAGAACGGAACCATGAGGCTTGGTGGTGACCTTCGCTGCAGTCAGGAAGGGTCTGAAGAACCTCCTTTAACAGACTTCCAACTCTCCATCTGGAAGGAAATGCTTCTGAGAACTAGACCTATGGCTAGAGTCTTGCTTGCACCCAGCACCCTCAGGCCTCCTCCCCAGTGGGAGGCCGTGGGCCTCTCGTGACCCGGGAGGCAGTAACCCTGCTAACCTCAAGGCAGAAGCGTGAGTGTCTGCGGCGGCCGTGGTTTAGCAGTTCGTGCCAGACAGAAGGCCACCCACGTGAGCCCCGCTGCAACTCGCCGCCTACACGTCTCCACGTGCACTGTGAGCGGAGACCACACTCTGTCTTCAGCGAACCTGTTTCTTCCAAACTGGCTGAGTGACCTTTGCACGCTCTGGGGCCTCTCTGAGCCTCAACTTTTCATTGGCACGGTGCATGCAATGCCAGGTCCCTTCCTCCCAAAGTGGTTGTGGGCACCATTTTGGTCAGATACTCCACAAACATTTGGTGGCCAGGACCTGAAGACCCAGGTGTGGCCCCAGTCCTCGGTGAGGTCACAGTCAGTGAGGGAAATAGCACTCTTAACACCCCAGGAGACGAGCAGAAGCAGTATTGGGGTGTTGAAGGTGCTATGGGAGCCCCAAGGTGAGCCCTAGTCCAGTCTGGGGGTCACAAGAAGTGAACTTGGAACTTTGAAGGTTGGGGAGGAGCTGAGAACAAGAGGAGAAGACTCCAGGTGAAAGGGAAGCACAGAGGTAAAGGGCTGGAGGGGGGACGGAGCAGGGCCTGTGAGGAGTTACCCCCAGGGCCCAGGACAGACTGCGGAATCGGTCCTGGCTGAAGAGTGTGGACTTGTCCTCAGGGAAGACACTGAAACAGGAGAGAAACAAGATCTTTTTGGAGAGGGAAGGCCGGACACCTGCAGAGAGGCAGGAGACTCTTGTTTGTCCAGTGAGAAACATAGCAGCTTTTGGGGTAACAGGTGACAGGAGTGGACAGATCCCACTGGCCAGGGAGGGGACAAGGGGCAGGGTTGGGGCTGTCAGCATGCTTTGAAGACATCCCAGAGAGACCCACAGTCCCAGCCCTCCCGGTCAGGAGAATGCTCCGTTGCCTGAAGGGTCACTTGGGGGCCCCTGGACAGGAGGATCTCCTGCAGCATGTGAAGCACATACGTGCGGGTATTCTCTCCCGCTGCACTGCCCCCAAGCTTGGCAAGTAATTCCTCAAAGGACACACGTCCCCACACACACGAAATGCTGTCCGTAATGATTTGTTTTTTACTTAAGAGCATGTGATGAATGTGGACGACCTTGAAAGTCATCCATGCATGTTGTTGAGCAGGACGCCATGTTACTGGCCCACTGCTGCCATGGTTCCCAGCCTGGGACCCCATTCCCACAGGGGCTGTGGGCAGGGCTGGACACACAGCGTGCTCAGCAGTCTGCATGTCTTGTAAAAGACAGCTCTTTTTTTATCTTTTGCTTTTTTTTTAAAAGCAGGCTACAGACAATATGACTAGTAAAGATTTTATTTGCAACTTTACGTGTGTGTGTGTGTGTGTGTGTGTGTGTAAGACAGAGGTTGCTCTTCAAAATATTAACACGTGATTTTCACTTTTCTGAATGATTTGGGGTTTTTTGTTTACAATAAGCTGTGTATCGTTTGCCATTTTTATCATCAATACAGTGAGGGGACAACCACTTGACTACCTTGAGGACCCCATTCCTTGAGAAGAAAGCAGGGCTTCCCCACCTGGCCACCCTCTTCCCTCTGAGGATAGAAGGGCCTGGGCTGGGTCACCTGCCTGGTGACAGTAGGGAGCACAGTGGGAATTCTGGCTAAAGGAAGACTGCCCAGGGCTGGGGGCAGCTGGCTTGCAAGGCCCTGGCACACAGCAGAGCCCAACAACCTTGCTGGACGGTCGTCAGCCCCTTAGCCCCTCGGATGAGACTTGCACAGTTCTCAGCTTCTATTTTCAGTTCCCTGGTTTCCACTCTCACGTAGGGAAGGCTGTGTGGGGGACCAGGATGCCTGCTGGGGTGAATCCAAATCCTAGTCATCCCTACCTGTGCAGAGTTTGAGGTTCCCAGCTGAGAGGACAGAGGCCCCAGGCAGTGGTTTTACAGCTTCAGCTTGACAGGAGGGCCTGTAAAATCGGAGTCAGCGGGTCTGGGGTGGGGCCCACCGGTCTGTGTTTCCAACTGAGCTCCCTGGTGATGCTGCTGCTGCCTGCCTCCTCAGCCCAGGTGTCAGCCCTCAGGTGAGTGCAGACCTCAGCTTCTGGGAATGTTAGCTTTGAGCCTTGGGTAAGGTGTCCTCTCTCATTCTTGGTTTCCCATGAAGGCTAAGCTACTCCCATCTGCAGTCGCATGAGTTGGAACTGTCTGAAAGGTGTTTAAGAATGAGGAATAGCCCTGTTTGGTGGGAGCCATCTGCAGGCAAGGGCCTGGTGTCGAGAGAAAGCCAAGGCTCTAAAGCCACTTCCTGCACCAAAGGGCATCTGAAAGGGAGACCCAGCCACAGGAAGTAGATGCAGAACCGCCATTCCCGGTGGGCGCTCTGCTGAGTAAACTGGAGGCAAAGGAGCCTCCTTTAAATCAGCGGGAATGAGTGTAAGCTGACATTTTCCAGGACTGGCCAGCCTGTGCCGTCAAATGGGGTCACATTACCCCCAAACTTGCCTGAGAGTGTTCTGTCTCCCTGCCGGGCCAGGCAAATGCCACTTCATGATGTGATCTTTTGAGGGCTCCTCCACAGGGGGCCTGAGCCGCCAGTGTGTTTCGGAGGCTTTCCAGAAAAACACCATTTCTGTGTGTACTTAGAGCCTGCCCTCCACCTGGACCCAATGGGACTAAGCTGCCAAACTGGGAACAAAGTCCCTGAACAGGCTGGGGCCGGCCTCCCCCGGCTCTGAGCTCTACCAGTGCATAAGCAGAAAGACTGTGGCCCTGGAGTCAGAGGGCTTGAGGTTAAAGGCCAGTGGAGTCGACTCCCTGTGTGAGCCTGGGTAAGTGACTTACCTTCTATGTGCCTCAGAGTGATAATCATAGCACAGCCCTATAGAACTGATTGGTATGAGGATTGGACGACATGACATGTGGTCAGCAGGTGGCACCATGCCCGGCAGTCACTGGATACGAGCTGCTGCTGTTGGAGCATAGTCCACGTGTGTTTGTTTGGTGTATACATTTGTACAGAAGGGGACTGCCTAGCTCTCTCCCTTAGTGGGTTTGGCCATCCTCAAATTCATCCTTTGGAAAGATCTCTCAGAAAAAGAAGCCTCCTTCAGGCATGGCTATACCCAGCTATCCAACCATCATTAAGCATCCAGATTCTGGGGTTCTGGAGCTTGGCAGATGGCACCCCATAGTATAGGAGGTCCACACCCACACCCCTGGGAGATCAAGATACGGACATGAGAGGGTGTATAAACCCTTAAATTTAATGTACTGATTTTGTGTATCTATGCAGATTTCTGGAAGGGCAGCCATGACTTTGGAGAGTGCCGCGGCTCCCAGGCATACTGGGGCCTCTCTGAAACCAAGACGCCAGGACAGAGGGGAGCAGTTCCCACCCGCCTCTCCTTTCATGAGAGGCGGGCCTACTCCAAAGTGAGGCGAGGACTCAACACAGTAACACGGTGAGAGGAAATCAGGAAATGCAAAGCCCCTGGCAAAAATACGGTGACAATTAGCCATAACAACAAACTGTCTGCAATCTTGTCAGGGAGATAGTGTCGTGGAACAGTGAGCAGACCTGCCCCAGCACAGGCCGAGCAGATGGGCTGCTCCACAGGGCGGCCGTGGATGCCAAGAATCAACCGTGGACTCGAAGAGCATGTGGGGTCCACGGTGTGGCTCCCGCAGAAATAGCCCAAGCTGCTGCCGAATGGGTGAGTCCGGGCTCTGTTGCTAATCGGCCACAGGAGCCCTCAGCTTCTCTCAGCTTCATCTCCTCTTCTGAGAAATGGGATTCTGTGGGTCATGGTGGCCGCCGGGCCTGTCTGCCCCCAGGGTTGCTGTGAAGCCCATGAGTGCGGGTGGTGTGTGGAGGGCCTGCTGCAGAAGCAGCGGGCCCGGGCTTCCTAAGGAGGTGACCGGAGTCGGCTCTGTCTCCCTACTCTCTGAGTCGCCTCAAGGTCGCTTCGAGTACTTCCCAGAGCATGGTAATCGCTACTCGAGCTATAGCCACCGTCATGATTTGCACACTCCCAGGACACACTTGGGGGCCCCTGTCAACCTGTCATTGGTTAGGTCCTGGGACTGAACAAAAGAAGGGCCTCCAGGGACAGGTAGGGTGGGAGAAGAGGTACAGGGGGGATTTAGCAGGGACAGAAATGTCCCAGAGAGAAATTAAATTGCAGCGCTATGGCAATTTGTGAGGCTTCCTTTCTCATCTCCTCACGAAAAATCCCCAGCGAACTATTTCTTGGCACCTTGTAGAGTGGATCTATTTTGAGCTCAGTGCCTCTGTTACCAAGAGCGGGTGCCGCTTCCTGGCCTTTACAGGACGTGGTCCGCACCGCAACCTGTGGAGGGGCCCCTGCTAGTCGCCTCAGGCAGCTGAGGCGTGGAGGGCCCTGAAATCAGTCAGAGGTGAGCCCATTAAGGAGTTGTTTTGGGCTCCCTGATGCCTGTCACCAGGCTAGGACACAGCCGGAGGCTGACGATACCCAGGCCACCCCCAGCAGTGTGTCTCAATAGCCCTGAACGTCCCGGCCCAGTTCTCTTCTCAGAGGGTCAGGCTGCACTGTCCAATCATGGCCCAGTCTGCTCTGCAGCCCCGCCCCCGGGGAGATGGGGGCCTTCCCAGAAAGGCCTGCCTGGTGTACCCACTCTGCAGTGCTAATCCCGTATCCCCCACTTTTCTGATGCTGCTTCCTCAGGTGGATGGCCCCATTTGCCACCTGGCCCAAGGTCATTCCCAGGCCCTCCTCATGCTGAGATCAGGGCTGCCGGGCAGTGGGTGAACAGGGTGAGACAGGCATGAGGGGACGTGGGGTCACTCTTCCTGGGAGGGCTGAAATTGATGGCTGCCTCCTGTCTGACCGCCAGCCCCTGGCGAAGCTCAGAGTCCCCAGGGGTAGGGCTAGAGCTGTGTCCTCTCTTCAAGGTAGAAGGTCCTCATGCCAGGGGCAGAGGCTGCTACCCTGATGCCCAGTCCCTGGCTCTGGAGTTGGCATTCCTAATTCTTCATGCCTTTCTGTTGCTGGTTTGCTGTGTGACCTTGAGCAAGTCACTTCCCCTCTCTGTGCCTCATCAGTAGAATGAATGTTCCCATTTGCCCACCCACTCCGACATTCCAAAACTGTGAAATGTTCAGAGGTATGACCTTTTACATAATCAGAACAGCATTCCTTTAATTTGACAAAAATGCAAATGGCTCTGGTGGATGACTCAGCGGTCCTCAACCCCGGGCCTGCACACCCACATTGCTCTGGCCACGGAGGCACAGGTCCCATCCAGAAGCACGAAGTCAGAGTCGCCCTGGGCCTCTGGGTGGGCAGCGCGTGGAGATGTGTATCTGTAAGGCCGCCTGGGAGAGGAGTCCAGAATGTAGAAGGCAGAATCCCCCTGTCCCAGTGGGACCGTGGGGCAATCATCTCTACCCCAATACCTGGCACAATGAGCCACAATGACAATGTGTCTGTGAAAAGAATGTGTTTGCCAATAGCCCTGGCTGGTGGCTTAGTTGATGGGGGCATGGTTCCGATACACCCAGTTTGCAGGTTTGTTGCCTGGTCACCGCACATGCTTAGAATCAACCTGTGAACGCATAAGTGGAAAAACAGATCAGTGTTTCTCTGGTTCCCTTCCAGTTTCTCTCTCTCTAAAGTCAATCAATAGCCTTGACTGGTGTGGCTCAGTGGGTTGGGCGACATCCCACAAATCAAAAGGTTGATGGTTTGATTCCCGGCTGGGGCACGCGCCTGGGTCGTGGTCCGGGACCCCAGCTGGGGGTGTGCGAGAGGCAACAATTGGTGTTTTCCTCCCTCTCCTTCTCCCTCCCTTCCTCTTTCTCTAAAAATTAAATAAGTGAAATCTTTTTTTAAAAACCAATCAATAAATAAATGACATGGAAACTTTACCAAAAAAAAAAAAAAAGAATGTGCCGACAAACCAAGAGACAATTTCCACAGCCGTGGCCTCCCAGGCTCTCCATCCTCACAGTCCCGGCCACGCTGCGTGTGCGGGCAGGGGCCTCAGGTGCAGAGTGTTTCGTGGGTGGCAGGGAAGAGAAGACCTGCAGGCCCCCAGGAGAGTGGCCTCCGGGGGTGACCCTCTCCCCTCCCCCGTGTACACTCAAGGGGAAGGCGGTGTGGTTTCTGTGTTACAATGAGCAGAAGATCTGCCGGAGTCGCCAAATGAACTGAGCAAGATGGAAAGGACACTCGAGGCCCCCCCACCAACTGCCAGGAAGGGGAAGGAAATCACACGAGGGCACAGCCCGAATGGGATCAAAGGCAGCTTCCCCGAAACTAATGGCTTCGGGATAGAGAAAAGTTAATGAGAGTACGAAATTGGATGTAAGAAGAGACAATTAAAACATAACATCGGAAGATATGAAGAGACCTTGCAGAGGGGACAACACACACCAAGGACAAGCACAGGACCGTCACACTTCTGATACTGAATCACAATGCCGTGCACACATCCGAAAAGCAAGTTAATGGCATGGAGAGGAACTTGCATTAATCACGATGAATTCAGAGAAAAAGGACAAACACAATCAAACAGTGTGAGAGAAGACGGTCATGGAACCCAGACCTTCCAACATAAAAGGGACTGGAGTCCCCGAAGTGGATTCTCCAACAGCTCAAGCAAAAGAACGGTTAGAGAAACTCTCCCTGGAGCAAAGGAAGAACCAAGTGTACCGACTGAGGCCACAGAGACGGATCAACATCGGGAACAGGCTGAGCCGGGCTGTTACTGAGCCCGAAGATAAAACAACTCTCCAGGCTCCAGGGGAAAATACCACGTCACCAACAAGGAGAGAAAAGTCGGTCTGGCTCCAGACTTGTCCACAGCAACAGTCGATACCAGAAGACAAAGGAGCTGAGTCTTCAAAGTTGTGTGGAATAGGGGAAACCCAGACTATTGCACCCAGGGAGCTTGTTCCCCTCTACAGACAACGAGCAAAGGGTCAGGGGAAATAGCACCCACAAGCCTTTTGAAAATAAAATCACTGCCCTGGCCGGTGTGACTCAGTTGGTTGAAGCGCTGTCCTGTAACCGAAAGGTCACCAGTTGGATTGTCAGTCAGGGCACGTGCCCAGGTTGCGGGCTCCATCCCCCGGTGGCTCATGTGCAGGAGGCAGCTGACCGGTGTCTCTCCCTCACACTTCTGTCTCTCTCATTCTCCCTTCCCCTTTCTCTCGAATGAGAATAAAATAAATCTTTAAGAAAATTACTCAGCAATGAAATCTAGCTGACCACTAAAAGGGTCAATTTTTTAAAGGTAAAGCCGTGATTCATGCAGGAGTCTTTTTTTTTTTTTTGTCCATTTCAAAGTCATTCCAGTTTTTCCTGATATGAACACGAGATGACTCCAAATGCAAAACTCAGGGACAAAATGTGCTTTAAAAATGCAGTGGGATCAGTTTTATTAACCAATATTACCCCAATAAACTCAATAAAAATGTTTTTTTTTTAAGCAATGGAATCTAATGAAATACAGGGCTAAGATGACAAACTGGGAGAGTCATGGTTGCAGAACAGGGTGGGAGTGTTCTAAACGCTGACCAAGTGAACACACTGGAGTCAAAGTCAGGAGCTGGGGGGAGAAAGGGGGTGTCTGAGGGCAGCGGTCACGTTCTTCATCTCGAGAAGTGATGGAACCCGCCCCAAGCGAAGCAATTCTTCTTCATCCCCAGGACTCCAGCCTCTTAATGAGCTTCATAATGTTTTTTTTCTTAACATTAGGGAAATTCATTACAAACTAGTCTCTCTTGTGGAAAGGAAAAATTTATCTAAGATTCGGCAATTTTACAGGTTTTTCTTTCCTGTGAAACTCAAGAAAAATTAAATACTTTCAGTGTAGCATATAGCAGATGAGATACAATCCCATCTCTCAAAATTATTCGGACCTACTTACCTTTCTCTCTTAGCTACAGCTCTTTATCTCGCCGCCTAATTCTCCGTGTGTGGATGGCGTTCCCTGAATGTTCACGCGGTGCGGCAGGTGCTGTCTGTGGGCCAGGGCAGCCTGGGTGCCGGGACCACACAGAGAGCAGCGCCTAAAACTCCTGTCTCAGGAAGTAGCTTTCCTAAAGCAGGGCGGAGGGGACCTGTGGCTTCCTTCTCTGTACTTTTCTGTACTGCCTGTTTTATTTTGTTTTGTTTTGTTTGGGACGTGTACCATATTCATAAAAACAATGGCCTTTCCCTGCGCACACACACGCCTAGGACCAAGACCACTACATTTGAAGCCGTATGAGTTTTTAGCACCTTAGCGTAAGGAAGGTTTTTCGGAAGGACCCAGAGTCTCTGCAGGCCCCAACCTGGGCAGCTGAATGCTGGCAAGGACCGAAGAGGGAACTCAGCGCCTCCCAGCTGGGAGAACCACTGAGCTTCCCTTCCGAGCCCCTGTTGCCCGAGGCTCCTGTCCCATGAGACAGATGCCCTTTCTAGCCGGCCCTGGATCCAGGCAGCTGGGGGCCCAGCCCGGCCTTGATAAGCATCTGGGACGTGCCTGGCAAGGCTCCGCTTCCTGGAGGCTTGGCTCCTAATCCCCGTCTGATTCCATTATCCTTATCCCCCTCTCCCACCTCTTGAGCAGAACCTGAACTCTGGCCCTTCTCTGTTTGCACCCCCATTCTAGCCACACTGACCTAAGCTTTTCTTTCCCTCACCACCTCACCTTGGCACATGCTTTTTCGTCCGCCAGAATCCCTTTCCCACCCTCCTTCCTTCACCCGAGACTCCCAGGCTCCTCCTCTGTAAGCCTTCCCTGACATCCCTCCCAACCCCCCAGGTCAGGCCCCTGCCTCTGGCCGGGAGCCCCCACGGGCCAGCCTGGCTCTGCTCATCCCTGTGGCCCAGGGCCCAGCTCAGGCCTGGAAGTCACGTGGGTGAGCCTGGGCCTTGGCCTCTTACCAGTGGGGCCACCTCAGCCAAGTCCCTTGTCCTCCATGACTGTGTCTTCCTCCAAAAAACAGGAATGTGTGAACTCTCCCCCTGGGGTTCTTGAAAGGAATAAAGGAGATGATGTATATATTTATTTTGAAGCTTGTTATAAAAGAATGACAGTGAGATATGAGCTTAAGGGAAAGAGGGAAATCAAGTCAGTTAGGGAAGAAAAGTGATGAAAAGTGTAATTGGAAAAAAGTCTGAATTTTCAGGGAGAACAGATGCTCCCTCCGGAGCCAGCAGAGGGTCTGTGGGCACCAAGGGGTCAAGGCCGTTGATGGTTCTGGACAGGGCTGGGCCTGCAGCCCCGGTGGAGACTCCCTTCTCGGCCCGTCTCCTCCAGCTCAGCCCCACCCACCCCACAGAGCCGCAGGAACTGCTGTCCTACTCGGTGTCCACCCGCAGTTCCCCGCCAAGGTGTCCTGTATTCATGTAACAACCTTGTGGCTAAAGAGCAAACACAGCTTCTGAGCACGTGCCCAGCCTCGGTGGGTTACCTGAGGTCACCCTCGCCGCTGGGACTATTGGGTGACTGCGAGAGCACGTGTGAACGAGGGCCTGGGTGTCACCCCTGTGTCTCCCGATGTGACTCCACCTCCCTCAGGAAATGGTGGCGTCAACTCTCGGGGCAGCCTGGAGAGCTGCATTTCAGTGTCCTCTCACACACACACAGCAGTCGACAGCCAGTGCTGCCCCCGCACCTCCCCGTCCCGGGCTGGCCTCGGATGTTCCTGCCAGGCACAACTTAAATCGAGGTTACCTTTATTGGACACCCACTCTGTACCAGGTGTGCTTCTCATCGGTGAGGGAGGTCATTCGTCCCCAACTGACAGATGAGGAAACTGAGACCAAGAGCAGTGGAACAATGAGTAGAAGCTCAGGGCCACACACTTGGAGTTGACAAGCCAGCTGGGCAGTCCTCTGCCCCAGCGCTAGTGCCAGGCCGGGAACAGAGCAGTGCCGAGCAGGGCACTGAGTGAGGAGTCCGGGGGCCTGGGCGGGGGGGTCTCAGGGACCAGATCCTCCCCTGCCAGGCACTTGTAGCTGCCCACTCCCCCACGAAGACACCACACTTGAACAGGCAAACTGGTTCTAGTCTTTTGCTAAGCCCAGCAGCGTGGAGACCGCCCTCGTCCTGCAGCCCTCCGTGTGCGGGTGTGTGTAGGAAAAATCCTTCAAGGGCCAGGCTCTGACAGGCCCCAAGACGGGACGCTGGGCTCCAGGCCAGCAGGGCCCCTCACCCGGGACTGACCCGAGCTCACACTAGCGCATTCAGTCTCCAGGGAGTCTGTGTGAGCTCAGAATCCAGTCTGAACAGGTACTGAGGTGGGGTGGCTGTTTCCCTTCCCTTCGCCAGCTCTGGCCTCCCAGCTGCCCACACAGCTTCCCACAGGGATGCAGGGCCCTCCTCTGTGTCCACAGCGCCTTGGGTGCCCATCCCAGCCCTGGCTCCTCCCCATGGGCACAGCCCCCTCACCACGAGCTCCGTGAAGCAGAGTTGGGTCCAGGTCGCCGTTGCGCACACTGACGTGCGCAGCTCCACTGGGCACACTGTGGATGCCCTGTGTCCTGCTCCACGGCATGCCCAGCAGTGCCGCACGGCAGTGAGCTGGGGACAGAGCAGTGCCGGCCTGGCTGAGGCCCCAAGCAGGGTTTGTCCTCGGGGGTGACAAGAGAGGGGGCTCCACCATTAGACTCCAGCTAGAGCTTCCAGCAGCAAGAGAGCCAGGAGAGAAATGAAGAGATCCCTCTCCTGCCCACACCCACCGCACCGCCCTTCCAGAGCTTGAGGCTGACCGGCCTACAGGCCACTCCAGGCAAGGCTGGAGGAGCCCCAGCCAGCTTCCCTGAGGTGCCGCACGCATTACCCCGCCTTCCTAGAGAGTCCAGTTTCTCTTGCCTCCTTCACAGGAGTTTTTAGCTAAATTCATGTATGGTCTCTGGTGCCTAGGAGTAATGATTCTAAAAACCATTGATAGAATCTCCCTGGTGTCAGTCACAAGGCTTCATGTATCCCCCATTACCTCTGCTCTTGGTGAGTTTTGCCTGCATTTGTGCACAGAGTGAGCTCATGGAACAGAGCGGCCCACGCCCAGGGCCCACTCCTTGGCCAGCGAGGAATCACTGCTCCGAAGGCAGTGCCGGGGAGTCGGCGGGTTCCGCCGCGGAAATGCACTCGGCTCCCCTGCAAACACGCTGGTCAAGGGAACACTGGGCTGGCAACCCATGGCGGTGCAGGTGCTCAGCCCTGTCACTCGATCGCCAGCATGTCTTCCCTTTGCTCCCCCTGTCCCCTGCATGAGTAGCAGCTGACAACCAGCCCTTTTCAGCAGCTCCCAGCGTTCTGCTCTAGTGAGGATCGGGGGCAGGCCACCTGTTGCTCAGGGGCCATGCCGAGAGCAGGCCTTCCTGCCTCTGCACACACGCAGTCCGCCTGGGGGGGCCTCTCACTGCCGTCCCGGAAGCAGTTCTTAGACTCCGACGTGGGTCAGGGGACCACGCGGATAGCATCGCCAAAGAGAACGTGAAGCACGGACATATTGATTGACCAGGAAATATTGACATAAATGTGCCAACGGGGGCAAAACTGGGGAGGGGGAAGTCGGTTGCGTTCCACAGGGCAGCTCCGAATCTGCAGTCTTCAGAGGAGAATGATTTAGCGTCACTATCGGTTCCCCGAAATCTCCGCAGTTCGTAGAACACAGTGAGATAATCCAAGCAGTGTCCTGCAGAGTCCAGATAAGACGTCGCTCTTGCGCAAATGTACAAATATTTTCCTACAGCCCCGGCCATGAGTTCTTCACCTGGCCCCGGTCACGCTCAGCTCATCCAGGAATCCTGGCTCCAGACAGAGCTGGGGGCCACCCACAGGGCTCCCCCCGCCCCCGGTCCCTCGAACTTCTGATCACCATTCTGTCTCCCCCACCAGCCTTACGGGATTCTTAAAACAAGAGGTTGTGTCTTCTCCACCTCTCGGGGTGCCTGTGAAGACTCAAGAGATATATATATTTTTAATTTATTGATTTTAGAGAAAGAGAAAGGGAGAGAAACCTCGATTTGTTGTTCTACTTACTGACGCACTCACTGGTTGATTCTTATTTCTGCTCTGACTGGGGGTCGAACCCACAACCTTGACGTGTTGGGAGGGCATTCTAACCAACTGAGCTACTCAGCCAGGGCTCAAGAGACATCTGTTGGATGGATTAGAGAACAAAGGGGCAATACAGGGTCCTAAAACCAGGGGGGTTCATGGTGGGCCTCCATAAAGCAGCAGAACACCTGGGAGGCAGCCCTGGAAGGTCGGCAACACCCCCTGAACGTGCTTAGGTCTCGGGCTGGAGCTCCATCGGGGCCCCTCAGGCAAAGGGCTCCGGGGCCCGGCCGGCTGGGGAGTGCTGGGTGAGGCCCAAGCGTGCCGTTTGTGTTTTTCCCATTAGCCAACAGGACTTCTGGGAGCCTTTAATACATCAAAGTGACCTGCGAATCTCTAAGAAGGAGAATGCCGTGTTCCAGCGTTCTCCATGCTTATCTGATGGGGAGACATTTATTTTTTTTAACGGGGCGAAGGTGAAGGTTCTGGAGAGTTTACATTGAGAGCCACCAATTCAGTCCAACCTGCCCGATTCCCTCCACACAGACATTGGTACGGCCTGGGTCAGCACGCCGGCCCCCGCGTCAGTGATCCGGTGGCCTCGGACATGTTCCTTAATGTCTGCGTCTGTGACACGGAGCCGGAGCCGGAGCGACCTCGCCTCAAAGCTGCCGGGAGGGTTCAGTGAGGTGCCGCGGGGGGGGGGGGAGACACTCAGCGCAGAGCCTGGTACAGCGTGTGCCCAATAAACGTTAACCATGTCATCGGCGTTCGTGAAAACACGAGGCACCATTTATTGACTGCGTGCCTGTGCCTCGTCTCGCTTGACCCTCACCCCAGCCCTGAGGCCAGAGGAGACAGGACTCTTCAGGAGGTGAAGGCCTTGCAGCCGGCAGGTTCTTGAACTAGACGCGAGGCCCTAAGAACGAGCTATAGCCGAGGCCTTGGCACAAACTAGGTGCTTAGTAAGGATTGTTGCTTTTTCTGTTCTCCCTCCTTCCCTTCCAGCCAGGAGTCACGCTCGGCCCGTCTGAGAGTCGCTCCCGGCCCGAGTTCGGCAGTGCTTCGGCCAAGGGCTCCCACGTGCTCCGGCAGGACGGGACCTTGGCTGAGCCTGCTCTTCCCTCCACTGCTGCTGAGCTCCTCCTTTCTCTTCTCTTCCTCATCTTCCTCACACACCCCCCTCCACATACTCCCTCAGTTATTTGGGGATTTGAGGATCAAGGGTCCCTCCTCTTGAGTCATCCTGGTGACAGAGCTCAGGGCTCCACTCTCAAAAGGCAGAAGGGGCTTAAAACGAGACTGACTCTGGGAGCAAGTGAAGGAGGAGTGGGCCTGCCACGTCACCTGAGGCTGTCCACAGGATAAACACAGGTTTCGCATGGAGCCCCACCCAGGCCTGGCCAAAAATGCTGCCCCAGCAGAAGTCTTGCTCAATGAAATGACTCAGCTCCAGTGCTCAGATGCAGTTTCTGTGTTTTATAAACTGAAGGTGTTTTCATAATAACGGGGGTGGGGGGAGGATGGGCCAGCATCAGTCTGAAAAAAACAGAGCCATCACCTGCTAGAAAACTCTGGGTCTGAGCCCCCGCCCACAGGCAGGGCCACTGAGCCTGTAAGTTCCAGGTGGGTCGTCCTTCACTCCCAGCCGTCGCCAGCTCCTTGCTTCAGCTGACAAATAGCACAGCCCCCCAAAGTGACACACAGATCACCCAGGCCACTTCCTTCCCTTGGAGGGAGGTAAGTGACAGAGGCAGCCTTGGGGGCCCCGGTTCTGCTCTCCCCAGATCCTCCCAGCCTGCTGTGGGACTACAAACCTTCCATGACCCAGGGTCCTGGGACCAAGGACCTGGGGGCCCAGCGCTGAGCCAGGGAGCAGGGCGGGGAGGAGCCACCACGCAGGCAGCGATGATGTCCTCCCTCCCAGCAATGACAGTCATGCTTAGGGATCGTGACACAGATGCAGCTAATGGTGTGAAACAAGGACCGCGGTTCTTAATCCTCCCTGAGGACTCCACGCGAAGGAGGTGGGGTGGCAGCGCCCGCTCGCTCACCCCCCGCTGACCCCCACTCTCCGTTCATCCTTCCAGCCATTTAGTGGGCGCTTTCTAAGGCCCCACCTGTCGGCTTGACCCCAGGCTTCCTCATCTCAGCAAATGGCGCCACCACCCTCCCAGCTAACACGACCAAAACCAAGGAGTCATCTTTGGTCCCAGGTTTTCTGATCCATCAGCAAACCCAGTGTCCTTTACCTCCCCTTTGCTCCCGATGTCAGCCCACTTCCCAGCCACCGCCGTGGCCAGCCTCTCGCCCCTCGCTTGGACACCGCAGCGGCCACCTTGACCCCTGGGCCTTGGCCTCTAAAACCCACGTCCAGCTCATCACGGTGACCTTGTCACAGCATCCCTCTACTACATTTCCTGTCTTCAAGTCCTCCCGTGAGTCCTGCCAAATAGTAAAACCTTTTGAAGACAGACCTGCTTTGGACTGAGGCTATAAAGAGAGGAGAGGGACAGAAGAGGGGCCCAGAGGCAGAACCGAGCGTCGACGAGACCTGACTCTATGACGGAGAGTCGTCACCCGCCCGTGGGGAGAAGCCTGGCTCTGACAAGTGGAGCTGAGACGGGTGGCGATCCATATGGAAAAGGTAAAATTAGATCCCCAGCTACCTCCACACGCGCACCTCCAGGTGGGTTCAAGGCTTACATGTGAAGAGCAAAGTTTTAACACGTTTAAAAGGAAATCTAGGAGAACCGTTTTATGGCCTCAGAATAAGGAATGATTTTTAAATTAAAAAATGTCTGTGAATTCTAATGTGCGTAGTGAGACATACGCATCCTAAGTGTGCAGCCTGATAAAACCTCGCAGTCTGAGGAGAGGGTGCCAGTGCAGTGCATACAACCCGCAGGAGGTTGGTTTGCAGAGCATGTAAGAACTTCTGCAAATCAAGAAGACAAAGGACCCAGGAGAAAAGTCAGCATACGCTGTGAATGAGGGCCTTGCCGAAGAAGAAACCTGGGCAGCCAATAATTGTATCAGAAGAGGGTCTACCTGGCAGGTGTCAGAGAAATGGACATTAACAGGACAACGCGGTATTATGTCCCCCCCACAGAGAGACAGGCATGTCTTTGAAAAGCTGATGTGACCCCACTTGGACCCCAGCCTCAAACACAGCAAGCGGAGGAGTCGACTGGTAAGGCCGCATGGCAGTGGCGGAAGGTGGCGTCTCGCCAGGTTGAAGGGGGGCATGTCTGTGACCGGCCCTTCCTCCCCCGGGTACAGACTCTGCAGAGGCGCTCACGTGAGTGTGGCCACAGGGAAACCGGAAATGTCACCGATTTATGCTGCAGTCGCCGTCACGCAGTGGCGATGGGCTGGCAATGAGTGGAAGTGAGAGTGTCGGGGAGATCAGCCAGGACTCGTGCGCCAGGCAGGACATGGGATGGGAAGGGGACTTTGGGAAAGGCAAACACAGGCTGGGCCTTGAGCACCGGAGGGGATTTATGCACCAGGAAGTGGGAGCAATGACCACCATTTGTTTGTTTCTGCCTCACTCGTTTTATAGGTGATAGAGCTAAGCCCCAAAAAGGGGACGGCCATATTGGTGCCGGAGCGGAGGCGATCACTGGGCCTCACCTGCAACTCTGTCTCCTTTCTGCTGCCCCCTGCCCCCTCCTCCTTGCCCCATGGTCCCTCCTCACAAAGGCCCGGACTGTGCAGTGGCCCTGTCGGTGGCCTCCCTGCTTTGTGCTCTCCTCTCTGTACGTGGTCAGAGAGGCTTTCTTAGCCCAGCACCACGGCCACCCCACGCCCTGCTCAAAAGCATCCAGCAGCTTCCCACGGTGCCTGAAGTGAAGCCCAAACTCATAGCGTGCTCCCCTTCAAGGGGAGAGAACACCCGTTCCTAGGCTCACGGGTTCTGTGGGCCAGGGACGTGGACAGGTCCCAGAAGGTACAGCTTGTGTCTGCTCCACGACATCCGGGGCCTGGGAGACTCGACAGCTGGGGGCTGGAGCCCTGAAGGCTCCTTTACTCACAGGGGAAAACGATCGGCAGAGGTCTTAGCCTGGCACCACTCACTGGCCACCACTTCTACATGTGGCTCAGCCGTGGGTCCTGGGCTCCAGTGCGGTGGGTGGACTCAGAGAGAGAGAAAGAGAGACTTTTATTACCGTTCGTGGTCTAGGAGTGTTATTCATCAAGGCATCCACAAAGTCCCGCTCCATTTCAAAGAGAGGGAAAGAAACACTGATTGGTTGCCTCCGACACGCCCCAGCCGGGGACCCTGCCCACAACCCACGCATGTGCCCTGGCCGGGAAACGAGCCAGCAACCCTTTGGTTCGCAGGCGGGCACTCAACCCACTGAGCCACACCAGCCAGGGCCGTGTGCTTTGCTTTTCCTCGGACCTTGTTATTTCTCTTTGAAGCCTTCCTGTTACTCGGGGGCTGCCCAGTGTGTCCTGCCACTTCCCTCCGTCAGTCCCCAGAGGGACCTTGACTCAGCAGGCACAGCGGGGCAGGTAAGAGGAAGTGGGGGGAAACGTCACTGTCGCCTGTCACCACGTCCGTCCATCTGGCCTAGTTCCCGGCAGGCAGGAGTCATTCGGGCCCCCGGTGGGTGTGGACCGGAGCCGCAGCGCTGCCAGTGGGCTAGCCAGGAGGCTGCCAGGCCTCTGCCGCCTTCAGGACTTGGAGACGGGAGAGGTTTGGAGGTGACCTCCAGCCCGATGGGACGTCTGGGCTGCTCCTCAAAGAGAGAGCACCCTCATCCCTTTTGCCCTTCCCCACGTTCAGGAGAAACTGATTCCCTCCCCTCCAGACTTGGCCGGGGTATTTCGGTTCTGGTGACTCCAAGTCAGTGGGAGCTGGGCGATTCCCACGGCTGGGCTCCTGGAGCTGGGAAGTGCTCGGCGATACCGGCTGCCCTCCACGGGCACCTGCTGCACATGGGGCGCCGTGCCAGGCATTTTATACAATGAGTTCATCCCATGCTTATGCCATGTTAGCAAGGGAGGTATTATTATCCACATGTAATGAATGAGGAAACTGAGGCCCAACAAAGTTAAGTCACAGGTCAGCTTCCTCATTGATGGGTCAGGCATCTGAGGCCAAGCGAGAGATGACCCACCCAGAGCGGGGACCGACCTAAAGCAAGCTTGTCTTCCTGGGCTGGGCCTGGCCGCTTCGTCGGAGGGTCTTTGTTCCGGACACAGGCCAGGGACTAAAGCTCAAATGGACATGTCGGGCCAGCAGCCAGGTTCCCGACACCAGGCCTCCCAACATCTGCCCATTGCTGCCACACTGACTCACGGAGCCCAGAAAGGCCAGTTTTTATAAGGTCAACCCAAGCACCCTGGGACTTTGTAGTCCGTGCTTGTTGACATGCAGGACTGGAACGGCCTCTTCAGTTGAATGTGTGGGCATGGGACACCCCCCCCAGGCTCTCCGTGTCCTGGGCCAACATCCGGTGACTGGTGCCGGCACCCAGGCCGGGAGCGGGGAGACAAGGGCTCCAGACCCCTCTCCCCCATCAAGCTCGATCTCCCTGCACCTCAGTGCCATGTGAGGAGTCCTAACCTGATCCTCAGTGGGCAGGGATGGTGCAGACACCTCCTTTCAACCCATCCTCAGAGATGTCTCTCCCACCAGAAAGAGCTGTTGCGTTCCACCTCCTATGTGAATTCTGGTAGGTCAGCAGTGACCGCGTAGACCGCTGCGTGGTAATGGATGTGCACCGTCTGCCCTGGGCCAGGGCTAGGACGCGGTGGTACGTGTGCTGTGTGTTTACCGAAATTGTGATCCCCACCAGGAGTGCTGCCCCAGGTGACCCCTCAGGGAGTTCCCCACATGCGCCCCAGAGGTGAGGTGCCCCAATAACCCCATTTCTGTGAAGGCCGATTCCCTGGAGAAATTACGCAGCGGTTGAGAGGGGATTTTGCATTGGTTCGTGCTTCTCTTAGCCACTTCCTGTCCCAGATAACCGGCTCCTGCGCCTGCTCTGGGGTTTATCTCTAAGGTCGCAACTGCTGCCTTGAGGCCTTCAAGTCTCCTATCACGGAGAACAGCGCTGTCAGGCTGCCTGCTTTCCCGGCAGCGCCCCTGCTTTTAAATGCCCCCATTACCAAAACTCACACCCCCTCATGACCCATTCCCGGCTGACATGCAAATTTAGACCTGGTTTATGTGGCTGAGGTGGCAGCTGCCCAGCTCTCCCAGGAGTGCGTTCTAAAAGCAGAAACTGAACTCTCTCTAATGATGGAATTCCAGACATTGTGGCAGGTCAGTGGGGACACATTCGAGGGGGTGGGGGTGGCCTGACATTCCTCAAATCAGCCAGTCCGGTGAGTGTCCAGATCAGTTCGACCCCACCTGTTACTATCTGCGGAGCCCGCCTGATAATCCGCCCCACCCTTTCTGGGTTGGAGGGCTCCCCACCCAGTCCTGAGGCCTGAGGGAAGGGCTCTACATTGCAGAGAATGACTTGCGGTGCTAGGGAGTGTTTTGCAGGATCCCAGTATTTTCCTGAGAGGAGCAAGCCCCCACCTCCACCCATCGCTCCTCTCCATTGCACAACCCCTGGCCAAATGGATGCTCAGCTTCCACTTGAATGCCTCCAGAGACAGGGAGCTCAGTTGGAAGGGCTGGAGATTCTAGGCATCTTTTATTTTTTGTGTGTGTCTTTATGTAGACTCAAATTTTCCACCGTGAAACTATTCACTCAACAAGCATTTACAGACCACCTACTATGTACCAGGCACTGTGGAAGCCACTGGGGATACAGCAGTGAGCAAAGCAGACAAACACGTTTACCCACCTAGAGCTCACATGCTATGGTGAAGCGTTAAGAGGAAAACTGAAGCAAGGAAGGGGGCCGGGGAGCGCTCTGTTTGCATGTTTGCATGCTGCAGGAGGCAAAGGCGTCGTGCCAGCAGTCAGCCCTGCAACGGAAGAGTGGGCTGAGGCGTACGCGTGCTCTGGAAGGGGCGTCCGGAGAGCAGGAGCCACCAGGGCAAAGGCCCTGAGGTAGGAATGCGGCTGGACAGAGAGAGCGGAACAACAGGGAGGCCGGGGCTCAGGTGGGGACTGTGGAAGATGGGACGGTGTCAGGAGGGTTTGGGGGGGGGGCGCTTGCATAAGCATGGCATTTATAACGCAAGAAGCCACACTGTTTCCACGGGAAAGGGTTAGAGTCCAGTAGAAGCTCCAACCCAGAACAAGAGAACACCCCAGGCCTGTAATGGGGAGCTCGGAGAAGACCACAGCGGGCACCGCTTGATGAGGTCAGCATTTCTGGAGCTCTGACAGTGCCCAGCATGTCATGTGGGACCAACGGGAGGGGGTAGCTTCGTTTTTTTACTATCAATTCTATTGATCTAGGAAAACGGAAACCAACTTACTTTGTTGGGTAAGAGGCTTAACGGAAAGGGCTGGGTTTCCTGGGGCGCAGTGGGGGCAGGGGAGGGTGTTAGTGTTCTCTGACCTGGGTCTGAGCAAGGGTGCGGAGGTGGGCTCCCTCGGGGCCGTGCCTCCCGGGGCTCTCCCCAATCTCCGGCAGGCGGGGGAGTCCCCGGCCAGTGCTTGGGTCCAGGCGTTTGGCTTTGCGACCCTCAGTGTGAGTCAGCCCCAGCAGCCTGGGCATTCAGACCCCTGAGGGCCAAACCCCCACCCTGGGGTGGCCCTTCAGGAGGCCAGCTCCCAGAGGACTCCGCTGGGTCCTCATCTTCCTCGCCAAACTGCCTGTCGCCCAGGAAGTGTCTGCCGCTCAGGTGCGCTTGGTGACGTGGCAGCTAAGCCTGGGCCGAGGGCTTCGGTTTTGGGCCTCCCAGACCGCCCTGTCTCTCCTGGAATTAGCTGGGGCTTTGACAGGGAACAAGGACAAGCCGAGACAAGGAATGAACCACAGGCAGTGACAGGAGAGAGGGTGGGAGAGGGCGTGAGGCGGGGTTTGGGGAGAGGGCGGTGCAAGGCCACAGCCCTGCCGGCCCAGGACCACGCAGGGACATTCAGAACTCAGCCCTCCACCGGCCCTCACAGAAGTCATTGTTCCCGTCACGGACACAGATCATTATCTCCTAGGTGGTGTTTTTGGCATGTGTGTGTTTGTTCGCTGTGATAGTCCGGGCAGGGCTTGGTGCACTTTCACCGGGGACTCAGGGAGCGGCTTCCCAGGGAGTCCAGCCCCTAACAGGGACTGCACCCCCCACACCTGCTTTTCACCCGCTGCCCGAGGCCCCAACTCACCTGCCCAGCCCAGCCCAGCAGGGCATAGCCGCAGTGAGGACCTGATGGCAAACAGAACAGGAAGTTCCCTGCCCCAGCCACCAGCCCTTCCAGCGGTCACTGGGGTCAGCCGGACGGGCACAGGTTCAAGTTCCAACTGTACCGCTTCCTGTACATGTGACCTTGGACAAGCTCTTTAACCCCACTAAGACTGAATGTCCTCATGTGTGCAGCGGGGTGTGCTTTGGGGGGTTCTCGGGAGGATTCCAGACGACCCTGCCGGCGAAACAGCTAGTGCAGCTCCGCCCCACAGCAAGTTCCCCGTGAATGTGACCATGGCGATTATTTCCATCATCATCCCTGTCGGCATGACCACCTCGCAATCTCCCGTTGACACGAGATTTCACCGCCCGAGCGTGCGTTTGTGTTTGTGATTGTGTTGGCACCAGGCAGCCCTTTTTAATTGCTGCTGGCTAACGAGAAAAGAGCAGAGGCGGATTTAATGCACAAATGATGCGTTGAAGCCAGGAGAAGGCCAAGTGATGTAACAGTCCTCTGTGCAAACAGACGTGTGGCAGTGGCCGAGGGAGAGATGAGTCGTGGGAGAACCGAGTCACCCCCGCACAGGGCAGCACCCCCAGGCACGCCGCATTCCAAAGGGGGCCTGCTCTCTGCTCAGCCCCACGTCTCCGCGGGCGGCGGTTTGCTTTCAGCCAAACAGCATCGTCCTTGCCATGGAGCCAGTGTTCAATGAATTGTGTTGGGTTTGTAGTTTTGTTCATATGTATCGTGTAAATTCCTCTAGCTTGTATTGCTAAGTAAAAAGGCAAGGTGTACTAGGCTACCTTCTGATAAAAAATGGGGGCACTCTAACACCAGAGAGATGTATATGGATATAGGATCCTTTTTCTTTTTCTGCAGAGAACACTGGAAAGATCCACCAGATCGAGTAAAAATTGGCACCCGGGTACGGAGGGGACCACACAGAAGGAGCAGAGGTAGGAGCAAGATTGCTTTGCGTGTAGTTTTTCTATACAGTTTGGACCTTTGGGTCGTGTTGGGTGGGTGTTTGCATGAGCACTGAAGGCGGAATGTGTACCTAACACAAGAGAGACCACGTGCCGCGGTCAGTGTGGGGGAGGCTGTGGGGGTGGGTCCTTTTCCCTGAAGGGGGGCGAACCGGGCTCAGGTCGGAGACCCGCTGCCAGAGACAAAGAGGCCTGTTGCTTCCCAGGAGAACATCTTCCTAGAATGTTATCTGGAAAGTGTTTCTTCTCCCGAAAAACGAGAAGGTCAGGGAGGCCAGCCCAGCCCAGACTCTCTGAGAAGAAACTTCACCGACGCAAAGATGGGGCCAGCACTGGGGGACGCTTGGAAAGTACTGCCTGCTAGTGTGTCTGGAATGGGTTCCAGAGCCTCCAAGCCCCAAGCAGGCATCAGAGGGTGGGGGTGGCCCTCCCAGCGCCCCTCATCCTGGCTCACTTGGCCCCCGCTGGCTGCCCGCACACAGTCTGCATGTCACAAGGTGAACAGGTTGGGAAACCCTGCCTCAGAAGCCTAGGTGCTGACCCCTGACCTTAGAAGCAAGAGGTCAAAGGAGCGGCCCACTTGCAACATAGGTACAAGGCGCCTCATGGGCCCCACCAAAGGCCCCTCTGAGCACAAACAGCAGCGTGGGAGGCCGGTAGGTCTCCTCACTAGGAAAAAACAATAGCCTAACAGCACCGCAGGGAGAGCCACAGTGGGGACAGAGGATAAGTCCGCGAGAGCCTGGGTTCAGGCCGATGTGTGGAAGGGTTCGAAGAGCCTCCATGGCCAGCCCCCAGAAGAGCGCTCCTGCCTCGGGAGGAGGGAGCGTGTGACTTGATCACAGTGGCCCTTGAGACAGGCCAGGCGCTGGGCTGAGCCCTGCAGAGGTGTCACCTGATGAGCTGGGTAGCTTGTACCCCATTTTACAGATGGGGAAACTGAGGCCCCACGAGGCTAAGTAATTTGCACAGGGGGCATTAAGCGAGTTTCGGAGCTGCAGTTGAGCCCAGGGCCGGGCTGGGAACCAACACACTGGACCGCTGCCCTCAAGGTTTGCGTGGGAAAGGGCAGGTCTGGCCCACGCATTAGAGACATAGCAACCGGGACTACTGGCAGGATGCAGGTGAACAGGCTTTTCCAAGCAAATGCCAGATGTGAACCAGAGCAGAGCCACCCACGTCACGACGTCTAAGGGAACTCGTGGCTGATTCAGCTCCAGTCCTCCCTCTTCTAGAGGCAGGAAGCTTTCCCTGCTCTCTCCACAGGTTGGATCTTCCGAGTTCCCAGCAAGCGCTCTAGGCCTCGGTTCCTTAATCTATAAAATGGGGATAACAACAGTGCCTGCATCAGTGTTGTTAGTGGCCATAAAGGAGTGTAACGTATTCGGCCGAGTGCCTGAGATGGGATGAGCGAGTCAGCTCTCTGCGAGTTTGAACTGTGAACTCAAAGCATCCCTTAATGCCAACTTTCCTGAGAAAGATGCCCACGTAGGTGTGGTTTAGGGAGAAGCATGTGAGCCCGCCCGAGCACTTGGGCAGTGGGACCCCAGGCCTGGCCGGCCATCTCTCAGCCTGAGGAGGCTCCAGCTTCCCAGGGCGCTGTGTGGCACCCCATGCTTCGCAGGATGGCACCCCATCCTTCCCAGGCCCGCTCAAGAGCTCACAGACTCACTCACTGTGTTGTGAAAGTCACAGTGTTTCCCCAAGCTGGTCCCCCACCCAGCAGGTAACTTAGGAGGGTCACTAATAGTGACTCCTGCGTCGGGCTGTTGGGGAGCTTCCACTATTACCCCCTACATGTCTCCTCACCATAGTAGCCCGAGGGGCCTCTTAAAAGGATAAATTAGTGAAATTCTCCCAGACTGCCCACTGCTCTGAGAATTTAATTCAACATCCGGACCAGGCTGCCCCACGCTCCAGGATCTCGCTCTTGCCTCCCCCCTGCTCTCATCACTCCTCACCTTCCCCCCCTCTCCCCACGCTCTGAGGAGTGTCTGCTCTCAAGTGCATGAGCTCACACGCCAGGCCTGTCCTCCTGGTTTCCTGCGCCTTGGGAGCCCTCTCTTCGCACCTCAGATCTGCACACCTTTGCCTCTTTCTGGAGCCTCTGCTCAAACATCACCTCCTCCCGGAGGCCCTCCTTGACCTCCCCAGGAACTTCCACATCACCCTCTTATGATTTTTTCCCCCCAGAGTACTGACGATGACCTGAACTTCTCTTACGCTCTGGCCAGTTTGGCTGCCGTCTGCGTCTGCGGCCACAACTGGAACACACACCGAAGGAGCCCGTGCACCCCCAGGTACTCAATCCGTGTCTGCCAGTGAATGACTGGAATGCCCGGTGTGCCGTCAGCCCTCCACACGTAACTTATCCCCAACGCAAGCCCTGTCCTTGCTCCCAAGCCTCCCTCGGGCGCTCTCGCGGGCTCTGGGGAGGTCCCCTTCAGCTCAGAAGCACTCCTCCCGTCAGGGAGAGGCGCCCAGCCCTCTCACCTGGCGTGTCTGGCACCCTCTATGCCAAGCGCAGCCCCTTGGGCATGGGTGGCCTGCTCCCCAGGTGGAGGTTCCATTGCCCCACTAAGGGATGCCCCCCCTCCAGGTATTGACTGACTCTCCCCCGCAATATTTGTTTTAGGGATTAAAGTTAACTGGAGGAGCCTGTAATTTGCAGAATCATTTGTTCCTCTACTGGCAGCCAACAGCACATTTGTTATTTTATTTTCCTGAGCCCCCTTGGTACGGGCCCAGACACACTGGTCTGATAGCAGCACCCAGTGGGAAAACTCCCCGGCGCCGCCCCACGCCTCGGTAGACTTGCCGCCTTCACGGTGGGAGGCTGGGCCGAGCGGCGCGGTCCCTGCTTTCTCCAGCAGCCCCGAGGCCCACGTCACCCTCTCCTGTTTGCCTCTGGAGTCCTGCAGCCGTCTCCCCGGATGCACTGCCCCTCTCTGGCACAGTCCAGAAATGGGCCACCTCACACTCGTCAATTTTCAAAAATAATGTCTTTCAGGCACCACAACTTTGAACAAATATATTTTAAAACCACCTTTGTCGAGTGTGACCAACACAGCGCATTTAAAGTGTAGGGCTTGGTCTGTGTCGCTGTTCGTTTATACCCGTGAGACCAGCACCGCTGTCTAGATAATAATGAGCATCCCCATCGCTCCCCAAAAGTCCCCCGCCCCCTGCTCCTGGCCCCCCTCCCCGGCAGCCACCGATCTGCCTTCCGAACACACAGTCAACTCGAAGCTGTCTCACCCACCGCCCCGCCCTGGAAACAGAGTGCCATCACCACGATTGTTCCTCTCCTTGGCTCGGCACGATCATTAACGCTGCTGAAAGCCATGTCCTCAGATGTCGTGGAGAGACGTAGGACTGCTTGCCCTGAACACTAAATGGCCTCATTGTTGCATTGCCCTGCCCGGCGGTTTGGGGTTTGGGAGTTTCTCCCCCGCTGCCGGCTGTCTCGGCGCGGAGCTCCCCGCAGACCTTCCCGGGGCCTCGCAGGCGGCAGGCACACCGCCCGCCTCCACACCGTGCCTCTTCCTCGCTCTGGAGCAGTGGTTCTCAGCTGGGGGCGACTCGGCAGCCCAGGGGCCATCTGGCAATGTCTAGCAGCGTTTTTGGTTGTCATAACGGGGGTGGGGGGGTGTCACTGGCACCCACCTAACTAGTGTTTAGAGGCTGGGGATGTTGCTAAACACTCCGGGTATTGGACAGCCCCATGAAAACCAGTGATCCAGCCCAGGACGTCGGTGTGCTGAGGCTGAGAAACCCCTTCCCGATGCCAGGACTAATTGGAAAAGGCAACGAGAATTCACGATTGTCTGTTTTACTTCTCCGGATCAAGAGGGAGAAGGAAAGGCAGAGGCGCGTGGAAGCTGCAAGACCACGTCGTCGTCGGACACAGGTTCGGGGAGGTCCTGGCCGTCCACCTCGGGCACCGCCTTCCTGCCACACCCGATGCGGCTGCTGACTTCCAAGGACAAGCTGTAAGCAACTCAGCTCCAGGCAGCAGGGCCCAATGCTCAGTAGGTGCTCAATGAATGTCTGTCCGCTTAGATTGCAGCCCACACACCCATTCAGTACCCGGTTGCAGGTAGCGCTGGCTGGACATTGAAGGCAAGGCAGAAGGCACAGAAGGGGGACCCTACACCCACCAGAGAGTTTGGGGTTCGGCAGACGCACCCCGATGACTAGGAACCTAAGGAGGGCTGGCCATGCTGGGATCCTGTCCCAGCAGAACCAGCTATTTCACCACCAAATCACTTCTGGCTCCTCCCCACCACCCACAGACACCCCGCTTGCCTGTCATATAAAGGAGGTTTTTCCCAAAGTGGTTTAGCCAGACCTGGCAGGGCCCTGCCCTGCGTTGGGATAGGAGGAGCCTGGCTGTTGCCCAGCAGTGTCCAGGAGCGACCCAGGTGTGCTGGAACTGCATGGTGAAGTATGGACATGCTTTATTCCCTTTCGCGTGACTTTAAGGCTTGGTTAGTTTATTGCAAAAGTTACTGGAGACATACCTGAAAAACGCGGGGAAGAGAAAAAGAGAACAGAGAGCTTGCAAAATCCCACCCTCTTAGAGAAAACAATTCAATTTTGTTGTGTGAACTTCTATGCATGTATGAATGTGGTGTACACACTTTGATGAGAACCAGGTGTGGGTTTTGCTGCCGAAGGCTTTGTTTGAGGAGCCTGAGAGTGGAGAGGAGGTTCTAAGAGGAGACCCCCCGAGGGCACTCCACAGGGACACTGCCAGGGCCTGTGATGAGGGTGACCAGGTGGATTTAACTGGGTGCTGGCTCTGCGGCGCCTCCCGGGTTAGCCCCGAGTCCCGGGGTGGAGACCTAGCCAGCTGACTCCTCTCTCCAGGACTCACAGCCCCTTCCTCCCTCACACCTCGTTCCCCCCCACAGGGTGACACCCTTCCTGTCGCCAGGTTACTTTCACCCGGTGCCCCACCTGTTGAGGGCTGTGTAAAACTGGTCAATTGTGATCCAGAGATCAATGGGGCTCCAGCAGCAGTTTAACTCCCTCGGGCCTTGAGGCCTCTTGTGTGGACATGGATATCCGTGGGGAGGGACAGAGAAAACACCACCTGCCCACAGGCCTTGTGCCAGTGAGAGAAAGAACCGGGTCGGCTAGCAGTCACTGACCGGACTCTCCAGAAGGGGCACTCCCCCAGAGAGGTCTCAAGGAGAGTGGCTTCCACATTCTTCTCAGCCACAGAATTGCAGTAAAATACAACTGCATGTGAAACCCTAAAACAGGACCAGGACCAAGGTGGAGAAGCTCTGGGCGAAGCAGACAGGTGCTCACTTGCTCAGCTCTCTCCTCCCGGTGATGCACCTCTGAGCAACACAGTGTCAAGGTTTCCACATTCTGCCCAGGGCCGGATCGGAGGGCCCGGCCTGGAGAAACTGGGAAGTTCTCCTCCCAGGGCCGCCTCCTGCTCCTCCTCGGCTCCCCTGGGACCCACTTCCAGGATGGGAGGGGCACCTAGAGGCAGCCAGCATTGCTCTCTGGCTGGCTGGACCTTTTTCTTCTAGGTTACAGGATAAGTGGGAAGAGACTCCAAGGCTAGACGGGGGCAGCCCTGTCCCAGTTTCCCCTCAGTGGGTTCTCTTGCTCACACACAGAGGAAGAACCGTGACTCACTTCCTGCCTCCCTGGGTCTGACTGCAGAAGTATTGTTCTCCCCGTGGTGACTGCATTGGTGGGGCTACCCCTGGGGGGCCCCCACGAGTCAGCCTCTTGTTGGAAAACGTTCCCGCTCCCAGACTTGTCACAGACTCAGCTTTCGGGCCCCTGTTCTCCCCCAAGTTTCTGGTGTCCGCAGTACGTGTAAAGGTGTCCGAATGGCACAATGAGTATTACCTCCATTTTAGAGGGGTATATGGGGGCTCGGATATCAAGCTATGCGTCTTAAGGTGGCATAAAATAGTGCGGCAGGGATTTGAACCCAGGTTTGCCGGTTGACTTGTCACATAGTGAGTCCTCAGGAGTATCCCCTCACACCTGCCTGTGTTTCATCCCGTGTCAGACGCAGAGTGACACAGGAAAGGTGCCTAAAGAAAAACAAATGGATGGCACCCACCTCAGGGGGCTGGCGGCGAGGAAGGAAGGAGTTCCCTGGGAAGAGCTTAGCACAGCTCCTGGCTCCCAGGAAGCAGCCGCTGCCTTTGTTTTTGTCCTTATCCCCGAGTTGAGAAGGCCACAGGCTAATACTGTGCAGCCAGGTTATCTCCCAGTGAACAGGAAGGGATGGGCAGGGACCGCTCTGCGACCTTCGAATAACCTAGCCCGGGGAGCTCTTGGCCACATTTCCTCTCATGTCTTTCACAGCTCGGGCTTGGGCATCCTCGCCAAGTAGCACAGACGTTTTCTAGGGCAGGGACCCAGGGAGGGAGCCGAGCTGGTTGGCATATTGCAAGGACTGGGATCCAGGCTCTGCTGAAGCCCCACGCACGTCTTCCTGGCTCTGAGGCCTGCTACTTTGGGATCTAGGGCAAATTATTTAAACTTCGTGCGCCTCAGTTTCCTTATCTGGAAAATGGGATTAACGTCATCTTGAAAGGATTATGTGGATTAAATAATGTACATAAGAAGGAGGTAATGCAAAGTGACTGGTATGCTGCCCGCCGGTAAGTTAAATGCAGAGGCGGGGGCTTCTTCTGTTTATCCACCCGTCTGCATAGATACACACACAAATGAGATCCTGGCTCCTCCGACGGTAGGTCTCCAGGTTTGCCCGCCGCTGTGAAGTTCGATCACAGGTGGGGTGCCCCAGATCAGTTATCCAGAGCCCTAACCCAGTCGTGCCCAAACCACGGCTTAGGAGTGGGAAGTCAGGGAGAGGACCAGCTGCCCCAGGATCCAGCCGAGACGGGGCTCCGAGCGGCTCCTCCAGCTCTTCCCAACTCAGGCCCACGGTTCCGAGTTCGGGTCCCTGCGCCTCCCGCCGGGGGAGCTCGCGGAGCCGAAGAGCCGAGCCCGGGGCGCGGGCAGTGGGGCCTGGGGGACGCGCCCGCGAGGGCTTTGAGATCGCCGGCCCAGCTTCCTGTTCGCCCCGAGCAGGAGCGGCAGGAGCCCCGGAAGGCCGTGGGGCCGCCGCTGGGGGCCCTGCGCTGCTGGAACGCGGGCCGGGACGGCATGGGCGGCGCGGCGGCGGGGCGGCGGGACGGAGACGGCGGCCGGGAGCGCGGAGGTGGCGCCGCGCGGGGGAGGGGCGCGGCGGCGGAGGAGGAGGAGCCCGGGCCGCCGCGGCTGACAGCGGCCGGAGTAAACAAGCCGCGCCGCCGCGGCCCGGCCGCTGCCCCCGCCCGCGCCGGAGCCCGAACCCAGGCCGCTCCCTGCCCTGGTACCGGGCCGGGCCGAGGCTGCGCCGCCGCGCCGCCCGCCTCCGCGCAGTGACGCTGCTGCCGGGCGCGGGGAGCGCGCGGAGCTCAGGCCCCGCCGCCGGGCTCTGTGCTCGGCCGAGGGGGGCCCGAGCCGCCGCGGCGCTCGCCTGGAAAAGTTTCCCTGGGTTCCCCAAGGTAAGAGGCGAGGGCGCGTGGCCTGGGGAGCGGGACTTGGGCCCCGGGGAGCCGCCGGGCTGGGCCCTCTGCCGGGGGAACCCACCTGAGCGCGCGCCCGCGTCGGCCCCGGCCCTGCTCGCGCCGGTACTTTTCCGCTGGGGACCCGGCGAGCCCTCTGACCTCAGGAAGCGCCGCGGGGCCCCGCAGAGGGCGGGATGGGGAGAGAATTCCAGAGGCATGGGCGCTCCCGCCCCCCCGCCGTCCCCCGAGGGTCGCCGCCGGCTCGCCTCCTCCGCGTCTGGGGAGGGAGGACCTGCAGTTGTAGGGGGCGCGCGGGGTGGTTCCCAGCGGGGGCCTCAGCCTCGCCCGCACACCTGGGCGGTCGGAGACCCAGGTGCGGGACCGGCGGCGTTGGGAGGCCGGCTCAGGTAGGTGCTGGGACCGTCTTCCAGGGAGGCCTGGCGGAGGCCCCCGCCGCTCGCGCGGGGTGGCTAGACTGAGGGGCGGCCTGCTCGCCACACAGGTCTGACAGCAGTCCGTCAGATGAAAACCTGCTTACCCTCCGTCCCCTGCTTCCTTGACCCTGGGGCGAGGGGGCAGACCTTTCTCTGGGGAGTGCCGGGGTCTCTGTGGCTTGGGAGTGCGTTAGGAGTCGGCGATGGGGCCTAGTGAGGGCTGGCCAGCTGCCGGCCAGGTGTGTACAGGGCTCAGCACAGCAGTCAAGCCTGAGCCTACGCGACCACAGTGGCCCCAGTGTTACTATTTACTATAACTGGGCTTCCACATAAGATTGGATTTCTTTTTTTTTTTTTTAAGTATTCTGTGGCTTAAAAAAAAAACAAACCCAAAACTTTGAAAACCTCTGGTTAGCAGTTTTTACCACCAAGGAAACTGAGGCTCAGAGAGGAAGTGACTTGTCTAAGATCACTCAGCAAGTGTGAGTGGAGTGGGAACTAGAGGTCACAATTTCAGGAGAGCCTGTAAGTGTCTGTAACTGGACCTGACTTGGTAGGAGAGACCGGAAGGAGAGACCAGATCGGGTTTCCTAGGCAGCCCTGGCCACGCCAGACCCCAGGGCCTGGGAAGCAGCAGCCAGACCTTGGGGTAGATTCTCTGTGGGTGCCTTGGAAAGGCGGTCTGTGTCCGGAGCTTCCTGAGGCTGGGAAAAGGGAGGAAGACACAGCCATGAAGAGCGCCCACAGCCCTCTCTGGCCACAGCCGGGAGCTGAGGCCCGTGTGAGAGGGCATCACGGAAAGCTAGAAATACAGCGAGAACTGGGACTCAGAGGGTGAGTCAGAGTCTGGGATGGGGGTGGGGAGAAGCCCATTCATTCATTGTTCTCAGCATCTGCTCTTTTGGGACATGGGGGTCCTCACTCCTTCCAAGCTGCTGAGGCAGCGCTGTCTGGGGGGAGCATCTCGGCTTTGGGGAGGCCATATCCTCCCTGCCACAGCCGGGAACGCGGGTGTAGTGAGCGCGCCCTTGTTTGGGGGGTTGTTCGGTTGTGCCTGAAGCCAGCTTTCTTTCCGGGTGCTGCAAGGTCATTAAATAGTTGGTTAATCACCTTTAACGCCAAGCAGCTGCCGCTCCACCCACAGTCAGCCGGAACCCAGGCCAGGCCCAGAGGAACCAAGTCTTAGTTTGGTGGTTCCATCGGGTGCACCACCCTGTCTGTGGTCGGGGGGTGACTTTGCATGACATCTGGACCCGAGGCAGCTATCGTGGTGGCAAGGAGGGGAGAAGAGGCCTCTTTCCCTTCTGTCTCTGCCCCCAGGGCCCCAATATCTTCTGTTAACTGAGGAGCTTTGGGTTCCATCACCCCCTAAGGCCAGAGGTCTGGCTGCCCAGCCATTGCTTGGGCCAGCTTTCTGGAACTTGGCCACAGGAGGCGTCCTGGGGCTATGGCTTCCCGGCCGGCCCCAAGGAACCCTGTGGACTCTGCCCCTCGGGGGTGAGGAACTCTGCCTGTGGATGCCTCCTGCCGTCAGCTGTCAGGTTATTTTGGTGTAAACTGAAAATACTCCAGGAACAGTGTGTTGAGTCCCCCCCGGCCTGCACGGTGGGGCTGCAGCCAGAGCAGAAGTGTCGCTGGGGAGGCTGGTGGTGACTGCGGGCAGCCCCAGAGAAGTGAAGGGTTCCCGGGGTGAGCCGCTGGAGGGGGCGTGGGGGCACCCTGGGCACTGTGAGCAGCCCCTGGCACTGGGATGGGGTAGCCCCTGCAGCCCAGCCAGGGTCTCCCCTAGCATGTCCCCACCCCAGGAGCTTGGCTTCTGGCTAGCTAGGGGCACTTTGTGGGGACAGTTATGTGGCCCCCGGTAGAGAGGTCCTGCCGTGTGTTTGCTGAAGGAGGAAAAACAACACGAGGGCTATTGATTCAGCCTCACCTTGGCGCTCCTGGCTCAGCAGCCGGTGTTTGCCCTGGCTTCCCCGCCCACTAGGATTACGCAAGGCGGGTGGGTGTGTGGGGATCAGGGGGGCGGCTGGGGGGCTGCCGGGGGGCCTCCCGGCCTGGCTGGAGAGGGCCGGCCGGCCCCAGCGTTCTCCAGGAAACAGTGACAAAGAACCTGGGCCCCTGACTCTGGTGGTGGCCCAGGGTCCCGGCCGTAGAGGGAGGGGAAGCCACCGCGACCCCTGGGCTGAGCCCCCAAAGCCCCCATCCCGGCCAGGGTCACCCCGTTTTCCTTCTCAGGGGCTGCAGATACCTCTGGGGCCTGGTCAGCTTGGCTGAACCAGGAAAACCCTCATGAGCCGCATAGAGGCCACCTACGAAGGAACTTTAGAAACCCAACATTAATTTATTCCTTTATCAAATACGCCCGGGTCATTTGGAAAACACGCAATGACACAAAGAGGAGAGTAAAAGCACTCGTAGTTCTCACCATCTTGAGAGAATCATTGTCAGCGTTTCAGTGTGTGTCCGTCCAGACCTGGTTTTGCGGTTACATATAAACATACGTGTATAAATAGTGTTTGGAAAACAAAACTGGTTTTTGTTTTGTAATAGAAGCCAGTGCACATTACTGGTTTATAGCCCATTTTTTCACTCTGATTCTGGTGAGCATTTATTCGGTGATTCAAGCCTTGATGTATACTTTTTAAAGGTTTTACTTATTCATTTTTAGAGAGAGGGGGAAAGGGAGGGGAAGGAGAGGGAGAGAAGCCTCGATGTGTGAGAGCTCCATCCGTCAGTTGCCTCTCACACATCAGCTGGGCGCCTGGCCCGCAACCCAGGCGTGTGCCCTGACTGGGAATGGAACCGGCGACCCTTGGGTTCACAGGCTGGCTCTCAGTCCACTGAGCCACACCAGCCGGGGCCTGCCTTGATATTCTTCATCCCGTGTTCTTGTGTGGGGAGGGGTCCCCCTGCCCATCCATCCAGCTGACCTTGGGGGTGCTGGGCCTTCCCCCCTCTCCCCCAGAGCCCCTTTCTGGCCCGTTCACAGGCACCCATGGGTGGGAAGGCAGCTTCAGCGCGTGACTGAGGGACTGACTCTCCTCTCCGCCTTTTCCTCCCTTGCCCCTCCCAGAGCCGGCGGCCCTCGTCCTCCCGCCACAGCCCTGCCCGCTGCGGCCCCATGCCCCCGCCCGTCAGCCCCGGGCCGCAGGCAGTGTGTGGGCACGTGGGAGCCGAGGCCCTGTGACCAGGCCAAGGAGACGCGGGCTCCTCGGTCCCAGCCTCCTCTACCCCCCATGGAGCTGAGGCCCTGGTTGCTATGGGTGGTAGCAGCAACGGTACCCTTGGCCCTGCTGGTGGCCAGTGCCCATGGCCAGCAGGTCTTCACCAACACCTGGGCTGTGCACATCTCTGGAGGCCCGGCTGTGGCTGACCGCCTGGCGCGCAAGCATGGCTTCCTCAACCACGGCCAGGTAGGTGCTCTTACTGCCTGCTGGCCTGGGCCCGGGGCACAGCTGGGGGAGGGTGGGGGTTCTGGCACTGGGGACAGGAGCTGTGGGGCTCATGTTCTCCGGGGCATGTCCCGGGCGGCCAGGGGGTGTGGGCAGTGGCTTGGCCTGTCCTGGGGCTTTTCGGTGGGTCGCTCAGAGGACCAGTGGGACCCCGGAAGGGGCAGCCCCCCTCGGTTCCCTGCGCCTTCCTGCTGCGCCCTGAGGGGAACAGGTACCCACCAGCCCCTGCCATTGTGTGCCTCCCCTGCCACCTGCCGTCCACCTCGGTCCCCCACCTCCCTGGGGACTGACAGATGGAAAGCCCAGCGTAGCTCTCCTGCTCTGTTACAGATCTTTGGTGACTATTACCACTTCTGGCATCGAGCTGTGACAAAGCGGTCCCTGTCGCCTCACCGCCTGCGGCACAGCCAGCTGCAGAGAGAGCCTCAGGTGAGGGAGCCCCGGCTCCTCCCACTCCACCCTTCCCTTGTTCCCTTCCTCTCTCAGGAGTGCTGCTCTCCTCCTCTCCCTCCCCACCCACACCGTCTCCCTCCCCCCTCGCAGGTCCGGTGGCTGCAGCAACAGGTGGCGAAACGACGGACCAAACGGGATGTGTACCAGGAGCCCACGGACCCCAAGTTTCCCCAGCAGTGGTACCTGGTGCGTTGCCTCCTGGGGCCCTGGGTGCTCCCCTTCAGGTGCAGCCGTCCGTCCACTGAGGGGCCCCGTAGCTGGGCGAGGCCGACTTCGAGGCCTGCCTCTCCACGTCTGCGGAGCAGTCACTCCCTAGCCCATCCTTCGAAGCCTGGAGCAGGGGAGGGGGTGCCTGTCCAGAGTTCTCGACATGCCCTCGGAGCCCAGACTGCCAGGGGCAGCCTGTCAGGAGCAGCTGCGGGGGGAGAAGGCTTGGGGAAGGTGAAGGGGTTCTTTCAGGTACCCTAACCTCGCACAGCCAACCCCGTCTCCTAAGTGCCGGGTGTGTGTCTTGCAGTCTGGGGCCGCCCAGCGGGACCTGAATGTGAAGGAGGCCTGGGCCCAGGGCTACACAGGACGCGGCATCGTGGTCTCCATCCTGGACGACGGCATCGAGAAGAACCACCCGGACTTGGCAGGCAATTATGTGAGCGGGCCTGGGGGGCAGTGGGGGTCCCCGGTGAGGACGTCTGGGGGCGGTTCCCTTCCACCAGCACGACCAGGCTGCCCCTGACAACAACCACGTCCCTTCCAGGATCCTGGGGCCAGTTTCGATGTCAACGACCAGGACCCTGACCCACAGCCTCGGTACACACAGATGAACGACAACAGGTGAGGAACCCCGGCCCCAGCCCTTGCCTCCCTCCAGCTCTTCCCCCAGGAGGCAGGGCTGAGCCTGGGTGTGGACTCCTGCTGCCTGCGAGGCTGCCGTCTGTGCTGTGGTCCTGGCCCCACTGGGGCTCTGAGGGAGGGTTTGGCCAGAGCCAAGGTGGCCACACACGAAGTGGAACGTGCGGGAGGGGACTGCACTCAGACGTAGGATGCAGGTCACATGTGAAGGGGCTTCGTCAGCTGCACCTGCTGGGCCCTGCCCACCACTCATGTGCTCTTGGCTCTGCAGGCACGGTACCCGGTGTGCAGGTGAAGTGGCCGCGGTGGCCAACAACGGCGTCTGTGGCGTGGGTGTGGCCTACAATGCCCGCATTGGAGGTGGGTGTGGGCCTGGGCCGCCGCCTTGGGGAGGGCCCTTTGGGTGGGGTTTGCTCTGCCCCCTCCTCATCCTCCCAGTGCCCACCGCTCTCCCACTGAGGGTGCTTCTGACGCACGGGCTGTTCCACAGAAGGTTCTCGGTACCTCGGGGAGCTGAACCAGCAGCGCTGGTGGCCCCGGGCCGGGGGTGGGTGCGTGTTTCTCGGCGAGAGCCTCTCTCCACCCTCACCACCCATCCAAGTCGCTGTGTGGCAGGCCCTGAGCACCACGCTGCTTCGGGAGCCCAGAGACGTGTTCCGTCTCGAACGTGCGGTTGAGGGCAGCAGGGCTCTGCCCGGCTCCCCAGGTCTCGCCTGTGGGAGGAAGAGGCAAGCTGGGGAGGGAGGGCTCTGGGTTTCCCAGAGAGCACCGGCCTCTCTCCCCCTCCCCTGCGCATCCTCTGGGTGCCGGCCGGGTGTGTATGCTCCAGAGGGAGCCCCTGGCAGCTGGGCCCGTGCGCACCCTTCACCCCGCCCCCCTCCGTGGCCAGGGGTGCGCATGCTGGACGGCGAGGTGACGGACGCGGTCGAGGCACGCTCCCTGGGCCTGAACCCCAACCACATCCACATCTACAGCGCCAGCTGGGGCCCCGAGGACGACGGCAAGACCGTGGACGGGCCAGCCCGCCTCGCCGAGGAGGCCTTCTTCCGGGGGGTCAGCCAGGTGAGGTGGAGGCCGGCCGGCGGGGCACTCTCTTCCCGTGGCTTTTCTCCCTTGTGTTTTTTTGTTCCTGTTGATTTACTCTCGTATTTAATGTTAACTTTACACAAAGCATGTTTGTTAAAATGGGAAGGGACCAGGCAGGTAGAGAAAGAGAAAACTAGATCGAAATCACCCATCACCCCGCCCTCTGGAGTCACCACCCTGGACGTCCCTGTGGCGGCCCAGGTCTGGGTTTTCGTGCCTAGACAGACGTGTGTGCCTGACCCCCCCCCTCCCCCGGGGGCTGGAGGGCGGACCGAGGGTCTGCGAGAACGAGGCCCCAGCCTCCCCACTCTGCCGCGGTGTCTCATCCCGTCAGGCCTCCCCCCGAGTCCCGCTCTCGAGTGACCCCGGCCCGCTCTGTCCACAGGGCCGCGGGGGGCTGGGCTCCATCTTTGTCTGGGCCTCGGGGAACGGGGGCCGGGAGCATGACAGCTGCAACTGCGACGGCTACACCAACAGCATCTACACGCTGTCCATCAGCAGCGCCACGCAGCTCGGCAACGTGCCCTGGTACAGCGAGGCCTGCTCCTCTACGCTGGCCACGACCTACAGCAGCGGCAACCAGAACGAGAAGCAGATTGTGAGTCTGGCCCCGGGTGGGGGCGGGGGACGGGCGCGCCGGCTGGCTCCGTGCAGCCCCATCTGCCGCCCACATGCACGGGGCCGGGTGACGCGGGCCCAGCGGCGGCGTGGGGTGGGAGCTGGGGGGCGTGGAGCGGTCTGTGGGGCCCCCTGGGAAGGGTAGACCCTCCCTAAAAACAGACGTGGCTCTTAATGACATCCAGCCTTGAGCGTGGTTCTCTTGTTCCTCGGGAAACTGAGGCCCAGAAAGGGCCAGACACCGGCCCGACCCTCGGGAGGCGGCCCTGGGACCTGGGTGTCCTGGCCACCGCCCGCCATCCCACCTGTGGTGCTCAGGGTCTGTAGGCAGAGGGAGGGCAGCCCGATGGCCTCTCGGGTCCCCTGCACTCACCCCAGGCTCCACCCTGTGTCCTCCCCACAGGTGACCACAGATTTGCGGCAGAAGTGCACCGAATCTCACACAGGCACCTCGGCCTCTGCCCCGCTGGCCGCTGGCATCATCGCTCTCACCCTGGAGGCCAAGTAAGTGGTGGGAGGAGTGTGGGGCCGTCCCTGCCCCCACCAGCGCCCTCTGCAGGGCAGCCCTGGGTCTGCAGAGAGACTGAGCCCAGACTCTCCCTCCCTCCCTCCCTCCCTCCCTCCCTCCCTCCTTCACAGTAAGAACCTCACCTGGCGGGACATGCAGCACCTGGTGGTGCAGACCTCAAAGCCAGCACACCTCAATGCTAACGACTGGTCCACCAACGGTGTGGGCCGGAAAGGTGAGGGCTGGGTGGCCCCGTGGGCTGGGTCGGGGGCCAGCGGGGTCAGCTCTGTGCTGACCCCGCCTCCCTCGCCCACAGTGAGCCATTCCTATGGCTACGGGTTGTTGGATGCGGGCGCCATGGTGGCCCTGGCCCAGAACTGGACCACAGTGCCCCCCCAGCGGAAATGTGTTGTTGACATCCTCGCTGAGCCCAGGTGAGTGCCGGATCCTGGCTGGGAGGGGCGGGTGTCCTCCGGTCCCGGTCCCCGGGCTCACAGCCCATGGTGGCGCTGTCTGCACAGGGACATCGGGAAGCGGCTGGAGGTGCGGAAGACCGTGACCGCCTGCCTCGCGGAGACCAGCCACGTCATGCGGCTGGAGCACGTCCAGGCGCGCCTCACCCTGTCCTACAATCGCCGTGGCGACCTGGCCATCCACCTGGTCAGCCCCATGGGCACCCGCTCCACTCTGCTGGCCGCCAGGTGCCTGCCCGGCCCCCTGTGCACCCTGCCCTGTCCCCTGAGCCTGCGTCCGTGCATTTGTTCCTGCGCCCATTTGGCCCTGACGGTCCCCGGACACCCTCAGCAGGGCACCGTGGTGGGCACTTTCCAAGGGACGGCTGTGTCCCGTGGGGCTGTCCTGTGTTGCAGCAATCCCTGACCCCACCCCTCACATGCCACGTCTGTGTGCCTTCCGAGTGCAGTGCCCTTGCATGTTTCCAGAATCTTCTGGTTAAAGATACCTGGCCTGTGGGGAACCAGAGCCAGCAGGCGCTTCCAGCCCAGCGGTGGGCTCGGTGCCCCCTGGCTCACACCCCCCAAGGCCTCAGACGGCTGTGTGCCCCTGCTCCCTCAGGCCCCATGACTACTCCGCGGATGGGTTCAATGACTGGGCCTTCATGACGACCCACTCCTGGGACGAGGACCCCTCCGGCGAGTGGGTCCTGGAGATCGAGAACACCAGCGAAGCCAACAACTACGGTGTGGGGGGCACGTGAGGGCCGGCCGGGCGGGCGGGGAGAGCTGGCGGGGTCTGGGTGCTGGGTCCCTGTGCCGCTCACTCTGGCCTCCTCCTCCGCCTGGAACAGGGACCCTGACCAAGTTCACCCTCGTGCTGTATGGCACGGCCCCCGAGGGGCTGCCCACCCCTCCCGAGAGCAGCGGCTGCAAGACCCTCACCTCAAGCCAGGCCTGTGTGGGTCAGTGCCTGGTGCTGTTGTGGGGGGGAGGGGAGGGAGGGGGAGGGTGCCTGCCCCAAAGCCGTGCTCAGGGAGGAAAAGGGGCCTGAAGCCCTTGGGGTGACCCCGTTGTGGGGCCAGGGGCTCCCGGGGACTGGGGTGACCGTGGTGACCGGTGCTGGGGCCCCACGGCCTGCGCTGGCAGCGTGGCCGACGCCTGCCTTCTCTCCTGTGCCGGCAGTGTGCGAGGAAGGCTTCTCCCTGCACGAGAAGAGCTGCGTCCAGCACTGCCCCCCGGGCTTCGCCCCCCAAGTCCTCAACACGCACTACAGCACGGAGAACGATGTGGAGACCATCCGCGCCAGCGTCTGCGCCCCCTGCCACCCCTCGTGTGCCACGTGCCGGGGGCCAGCCCCCACGGACTGCCTCACCTGCCCCGGCCACGCCTTCCTGGACCCCGTGGAGCAGACATGCTCCAGGCAAGGCCAGACCAGCCGAGAGTCGCCGAAGCAGCTGCCGCCCGCGACCCGGCTGCCTCCAGAGGTGGAGGTGGAGCCGCGGCCGCGGGCCGGGCTGCTGCCCTCACACCTGCCCGAGGTGGTGGCCGGGCTCAGCTGCGCCTTCATCGTCCTGGTCTTCATCACTGTCTTCCTGGTCCTGCAGCTGCGCTCGGGCTTCAGCTTCCGGGGGGTGAAGGTGTACACCATGGACCGCGGCCTCATCTCCTACAAGGGGCTGCCCCCCGAGGCCTGGCAGGAGTGCCCCTCAGACTCGGAGGAGGACGAGGGCCGGGGCGAGAGGACCACCTTTATCAGAGACCAGAGCATCCTCTGACGAGTGCCCTCCCGCTGCCCCTTCAAGCCCGTCTCCTCCTTGGGCACTTTTTAATTCACCAAAGTATTTTTTTATCTTGGGACTGGGTTTGGACCCCAGCTAGGAGGGGCAGAGATGGCTTCCCACCCTACCCTTGGGCCTCCTGGCTGCCTGAGGTGGGGCCCCAGGACCAGCGGGGGGGCAGGGGAGTGCCTCCCCCACCCCCAGCACGCCCTCTGTGAGGAAAGGAGTGAAACCGTGGGGCAGCTCTGCAAGGTTGTCCGGGCCTCAGCCTGAGTTCCCTGCGGAGGAAAGAGGGGAAGCCCTTCTCTCTCCGGATTCCTGACCCGGTTGCAGCTCTGGCTTCTTCCCCGTCCCTCTAAAGCAATAATGGTCCCCATCCAGGCAGCAGGGAGGCTGACCCAGGGGCAGGTGATGGAGGAGGCCACCTTCAAGGGCTTGTGCATCCCTGACAGCGCCCCCACCTCCGATGCGCCTCGGGCAGAAGCAGTGATGGAAGGAAGGGACCAAGGCGAGGCAGGTGCTTCCAGGGTGTGTGTGTGCACAGGCGTGTGTCTCTCTGCTCACCACAGCTGGCGGCCCGCTGAGCGTGGCTGGCCCCGCCAGGCCCCACGCTGGCGTCCGGACCACCCTCCCCTCCCGCCGGGGCCCAGGCCCCTGTTCTCTGAGCCCGGGGCTGCCTGGGCTGTTGGCTCTCACGGCCTCGGAGCCCCTGGGTGGGTGGTGGGGAGGGACGGTGGCCCAGCCGGCCCCTCCCGCCTCCCACCCGATGCTGCTTTCCCCTGTGGGGATCTCAGGGGCTGTTTGAGGATATATTTTCACTCTGTGATGATTTCACTTTAGATGCTGATTTTTTTTTTGTATTTTTAATGGGGGTAGCAGCCGGACCACCCACCTTCCCACACCTACTTTCCACCCTGCTGTTCCCCCCGGCTGCCCGGGCCCTGAGGTGTGGGGCCGCAGCACGTTGTGGGGGAGTGAGGTGTAGCTGAGCCCCAAGTCCTGAGGAGGCTGGCCAGGGGCGCCCTCGGAAAGGGAGACTGCGGTGGGAGGGGCGGCTGTTGCCCCGGTTCCAGTGGGGCTTGTGCCAAGGGCTCACGGGTTGCTGGTTCTCCAAGTGCCAGGGGTGGGCAGGCAGCGGCACCGCGCCCCCTCCATCACTGTGCCCTGGCAGAGAAAGTGCCGGCCCGGCCTGCCCCCTCCGAGTTCCGCTCTTCTGACGTGCCTTTCGCACCCCTCCCAGTAGGACAATCAGCCCCCTTCTGTTTGGGAGCCCCCTTCTCCCTCTCCCCGGGCCCCTCCTGGCACCCAGCCACCTGCCCAGGGGCGCCCCCTCCCGCCCCCTTGTGGCCAGCCCGGCTGGTTTTGTAAGATACTGGGTTGGTGCACAGCAATTTTTTTTCCTTGTAATTTAAACAGGCCCAGCATTGTTGGTTCTATTTAATGGACACGAGATAATGTTAGAGGTTTTAAAGTGATTAAACGTGCAGACTATGCAAACCAGACCTGTTCTCCAGTGTGGTGGTGCCATTCTTCCCAGGTCCTTGGGGCGGCGTCCCGTGAGGGGTGGTGCGGGCGTGGCAGGGGGACGAGATGCCCCGTGTGACGTCTGTGTGCCTGGAGATGGGGAGGGGCCAGGACTGCAAAGTCTGTCTGCTGAGGGGTCCCTTTCAAGGGTGTCCAGCCTGCAGCCGGAAGGCTGTGCGTGGCCCAATGCAGCCCAACACAAAATCGTGAATTTTTTTTTTTTTTTTTTTTTTTTTGCTCATCAGTTTCCATTAGCGTTTGTGTATTTAATGTGTGCCTCAAGACAACTCTCCTTCCACTGTGGCCCAGAGACACCAAAAGGTTGGACACCCCTGCTTTAGGGAGCAGATGGGGATGAGCCCAGGAGGTGGGACAAGCTGACCACCTCCACCCCCACAGGCCTGGTCTCCAGCAGGGTGGACGGTAACAGCCTGTGTCCCCGTTGCTCAGGGTCAGGGTCCCCCTGGGCTGAAGGAAGTGTCTGGTCACCTGGTGTAGGGCTGAGGCCTGCAGTGGGGCCAGGCAGGCCAGGGTGCTCTCGCCGGGGAAGAGCCCGAGCCCCAGCCGGGCAGCCACCTCTTCACCTCCCCAGACCACCCCTCACGTCTCCCTGGGACAGAAGCCCCCACCTGGGGTAGGCAGGACTGGTTGGCCCTCCAGGACCAGGCCTCTTGCAGGTAGATGCCCTTGGACGTTTTACTTCAAGGGAGCCGGGCACCGGAGCGCTCCTTGGGGAGCCCCTGGGGTGCGGAGAGTCTGGACCGTGCTCACTCTCACTCTTCTGGGGCCACTGGGCTGCCTGCCCGCCGCTGGACCCCCAGGGTCAGAGGCCTAGCATCGGCTGCAGCCTCTCCCTGTGCTTCCCCTGTACAAGGCAACCTGGGGCCGCCCCGTCCCCACCCCAGGCCCTGGGGAGTGCGGCCCAGGCTGCCCTCTGGAGGGCCATTCTTCCCCGGCCCCTCCTCCCTTCCGTTTCCGTGGTTGTGTGGCTGGGGCTGGGCAGGGGGGGCCGGCAGGCATGGGGGTGACCGCCCGCCCCTTCCCCTCAGCGGCCCGCCCCAGGGCCTGAGCTAACTGAAACCGCGGGAGGAGGAAGCACCGAATCAGGAACTGGCCACTTGGCTGGGCCTAAGTCGGTCCCCTGCGGGCCCCCGGAGCAGCTGCCGGAGCCGTGAGTCCGAACTCCTGCCCAAGGCCCGGGAGGCAGGAGGCAGCGGGCAGTGGGTGGTGGCAGGGGAGCAGGGGCCGGGTCCCAACAGGTTCACAGTAGACACAGAACAGGCCTGGGCAGGGGTGGCCGCAGGAGCAGGGCCCAGGCTGGCGCACCCCTGGGACGGGTACTGGGTGGAAGGGAGGAGACTCTCAGCGGTTCTGTTCCAGGACTGGGAGGGGTCCCCTGGCGCCAGGCCTTTGCCTGAGACACAGGAGACAGTCAGTCCCAGGCGAGGTGGTGGTTTGCACCTGTGGCCGCAGTTCTGCTGGACGAGCCCCCAGCCCCCAGCCCCCACCAGTCTGCAGCTTCTCCTGGTCCTCAGCCCGCAGCCTCCCTGCCTTTGGCCTCCGTCAGCAGCAGCTACCTCCCCACCTGTGGCCCCTTCTTACTCTGTCTGCAGGACAGTGCCATGGGCTTCTCTTCGGAGCTGTGCAGCCCCCAGGGCCACGGGGCAGTGCAGCAAATGCAGGAGGCCGAGCTCCGGCTGCTGGAGGGCATGAGGAAGTGGATGGCCCAGCGGGTCAAGAGTGACCGGGAGTATGCGGGGCTGCTCCACCACATGTCGCTGCAGGACGGCGGGGCCCAGGGCCGGGGCAGCCTCAACAGCCCCGTCAGCCAGGTGGGGTTTGATGGGGCCTCAGGCCTCCTCACCCCCTTCCCACCTTCACCCCAAGAATTCCTGGAGGTTCCAGGCACATCTGTCTGTCCCTTCCGTTCCCAAAGACGCCCTGGGGAGGGTTAGCGATTGGGCAGCCTGGGCCCCCGAGTCCCCTCGCCCTGTCTCACCTGCCCCGTCCCGTGCTGCAGTCCTGGGCCGAGGTCGCCAGCCAGACGGAGGGCCTGAGCCGGCTGCTGAGGCAGCACGCAGAAGATCTGAACTCCGGACCCCTCAGCAAGCTAAGCTTGCTTATCGGGGTGCGGCAACAGCTGCGCAAGACCTATGGCGAGCAGTGGCAGCAGCTGCAGCAGGAGCTAACCAAGGTGGGTGGGCGTCCGGGGGGCTTCACCCGACCACTTCTGCCTACGTCTTAAGCTAAAAGGGCTGGTTTTGTATAAGAGCCCCTGGATTTACAGGAAGGTGGAAGTCCTGACCACAGGCCTGTTCCTGGAAGCTTCCTTTCGCACCTTCTTGGGCTGGCGTACAGCAGGGCCTCCCTGTGCATTTTCTGTCGCCCTACTGTGTGCCCAGGCATCAGGATGAGTGGTCCGGCCATTGCCTGGGGAGCAAAGACCTAGGACTCACCGTCCGCAGGGCACCAGCTGGCTCCGGGAGCTAAGAGACAGAGGAATGGGGGCCAGTCTGCCTGCCCTTGGCCTAGGTGGGCTCTTCCCAGGGTCCCGGAGAAACCACAAGGCAGCAGCATGGCCCCAGCACAGAGGCTGGACACTGGGCCTGTGCAGTCAGCCTGTCTGCATTTGAATCCTGCCCATCTCCTCCGTTTGGAGGCCATGGGATTGGAGGAGCTATTAATCTGAGTACTCCCAGCCTTCTCGGTCAGCAGTTTGCAACCAGCGCACTGCAAGGACTTTTGAATGTTCAGTCAGGGGCATTGGTCTCTTTTCCCTTAGATTGTCAAAGAAAAAAAACAGCAACAGCCAACACAACAGTAGCTGTGGGTGTGAGTGCCCTGTCCTGAATGAACCATAGCGTATAGGTCATGTAACAGAGTTACGTCTCATTGGTCACATCGCATAATAAGATTGCGTCTGATTGGTTAGTTCATGCTACCAGAAATCCTTACCTACAAGTAAAGGCAACTGATTTTTTTTTTTTTTAAAGAGCCCTGGAGCAAAAAGGGTAGGTAATTATTTTATTTATTTATTTAGTAAATCAATCAAAATTATATATTTTGTTTTGTTGGGGTTTTTTTTTTTGGTCTGCTCGTCCAAAAATATTTTTCGGTGTACTGCAGGATTTTAGTAATTAGTGCCAGGAGATGAAAAAGGTTGAAAATTGTTGTTCTAATTGAATGTGCTGGTGGCCCTCTTGCAAAACCTGCCCTTGCCATGGACCTATAGCGGCCCCTGGTGGCCAGTGTGGATCCACTCCTCTCTCCCCAGAACCTCGTCTCAATACTGGGTGGGCCCGTCGTTACAGGGGCTTTAACTGGTACACAGCCACACACATCTGTTCTCAAGTCATCCGTGGCTACTACAGAGCTACAACGGCAGAGCTGAGTAGTTGCCACAGAGACGGTATGGCCGCCATGCCTTGCACGTTCACCAGTTGGCTCCTGAAGGAAAAGGCTCGTGGTGGGGGGAGACTGAGGTTCAGAGGAGAGGGATGCAGCCGGCCCAAGACTGTCCCAGTACCTAAACGGGGGACTTGGAATGAGAGCGCTGGTCTTGGCCATCTGTGGTTCCTGCTGCCAGGAATGTCATTCGCAGGGCTCAGTGGGGACCAAAGATGTGGCGCCCGTGTGAAAGAGTCCGCGAGCATTTCAACGTGGCATCAACAGAGCGTTAAACCAAGCGCGGGGGGGGGGCCTCCTGAGTGTGGGGCTCTGTGCGCCTGTGACCAGGCCCTGCCTGCCACCAGACACCACTCTGGGCCTCGGAGGGGCGATCGCAGCCTCCCCCAGGCCCCAAGGGCTTGTCCTGCGTCCAGCTTCTCTGACCCCCAGAGGTCTGCACGCCCTCCCTGGAGGATGGGCTTGGACGTGCTGCCCTGGGGACCTGCTGACCTGCTGACCCGCACCGCTTCTCTCTCTCCCCAGACCCACAGCCAGGACATCGAGAAGCTGAAGAATCAGTACCGAGCCCTGGCCCGAGACAGCACCCAGGCCAGACGCAAATACCAGGAGTCCAGCAAAGGTGCGTGCCTTCCCTCCAACCTGCCCGCAGGTGCCTGGGGCGTGGGGGCTGCCTGGGGCCTCTGAGCCGTCTGTCACTCACCCTGCTTCTCTGAACCCGGCAGACAAGGACCGAGACAGGGCCAAGGATAAGTATGTGCGCAGCCTGTGGAAGCTCTTTGCTCACCATAACCGCTACGTGCTCGGTGTTCGGGCCGCGCAGCTGCACCACCAGCACCACCACCAGCTCATGCTGCCCGGCCTGCTCCAGTCACTGCAGGACCTGCACCAGGAGATGGCCTGCATCCTGTGAGCCCGCAGCCCCGCCCCAGCCCCGTCACCCTTCCACCGCGCCCAGAAAAGTCGGTCCTGTAAAAGCAATGGCCGTGGAATCACAGGAGAACAGGCCCCTGGGCCGGGGATTGACGCCAGTCCATGTACACCTAAACTACATTATTCCAGGGCTCCTGATTGCAGGGCTTCCTTGTATTTATTGAGCACCATCTAGGCTCTAGGATACTGCAGAGAAAAACACAGATAAAAATATCCGTCCTCTAAGATCAGTAATACCAGGGGAGAAAATCAGTAAGTAAAATACTGGAAGCGGTGGGTGCTTATGGGGCAAATGAAAACAGGAAAGAGGGGTGAGGGGACAGTCTTAAACAGAGCAGTGTGAAAAAGCCTCAGAGTGCAGGACTGAAGCAGGGGATGCTGGGAAAAAGAGGGAACAGCAGTGCAAAGGCCCTGAGGTGAGAGAATGCTTGACATCCGTCAAAAGCGAGGAGGCTGGTGTAGCCCGTGCGGAGTCGGAGAAGGACCGAGTCAGCCTTGAGGCTGGAGGAGGCCAGGCTTGGGCGCTGCTGGGGTGTAGAGGTTGGCAGCAGTTCCTTTGTGAGGACTTCCGCTATGTTGAGAATAGAGACTAGACCTCTGGGGACAAGGACAAGAGCAAGGAAAACTGGAGAGGACAGGAGGCTACTTGAATACTCCAGACCACACACAGCCTGTAGCCATTCAGACCCACGGAGCAGAGAGGTGGTCAGGTCCTGGATGGATTTTGAAAGCAGAGCCAGTGGGGTTTCTGTATGGATTGGAAGTGGGGAGCAGTGGAGGGTGACTCCAAGGACTGGGCCCAGGGCACCGGGAAGACGCAGTAGTAGCTGTTAGCGTGTGCGGAGAAGGCTCTGGGAGACACGGGCTCAGGGATTAGGAAGGGGAATTCGTTTTTCAACACATGGTGTCCAGCCAGACGTTTTGAGTGTGTGAATGGATACTCGTAACTGGGGCTCTGGGGAGGAGCTGGGCCTGGGCGCGTGAAGGTGGGGGTTACAGCGCAGTGACGCTCACGCCGGTGTGCCAGGGCGGCTGGCTACTCGGGGTAGATAGGAGCGCGGTGCATGTTTAACCAGCATTTCCTGTGCAACACACACGATGCACGCCCCTCTCACGAAATGCGACTCCCAGCAGCCCCGTGACACATAGCAGGAAGTAATCTGCCAGTGGTCATTTGGCTGGTAAATGATGAAGGGGAGCTCAAGCCCAGGGCCGACTCCCAACCCAGAGTCGGGGGCCCCAAGCTCCCCAGCCTCGCGCAGGCCTGAGGCCCTGCTGACCTGGGGTCCCGTCTGTGGGTAGGAAGGAGATCCTGCAGGAGTACCTGGAGATTAGCAGCCTGGTGCAGGACGAGGTGGTGGCCCTTCACCAGGAGATGGCTGCAGCCGTTGCCCGCATCCAGCCGGATGCCGAGTACCAGGGCTTCCTACGGCAGTATGGGTAAGCCCCTGCCTTGCCCCTGCCGGACACCAGGGCTGCTGGGCTGTTCCCCGACCTGACTGGGCACGGTCTCCCCGCCCGCAGATCCACACCCGATATCCCACCCTGCGTCACATTTGATGAGTCGCTGCTGGAGGACAGCGAAGCCCTGGAGCCCGGGGAGCTGCAGTTGAATGAGCTGACGGTGGAGAGCGTGCAGCACACGTGGGTGCCAGGGCGGGGTGGGTGCCGGGGATCTGCAGGGTGCATCCGAGAGGCCGGCTCTACCGCTGTCCTTCCTTCTGGCACAGGCTCACCTCAGTGACAGATGAGCTGGCTGGGGCCACCCAGGCAGTGTTAAGCCGGCAGGAAGTGGTCACTCAACTGCAGAGGGAGCTCCGGAAGGAGGAGCAGAGCATCCATCCCCGCCAGCGGTGAGTGGGTCCCACCTATAGCAGGAGCCTCACACCTGCCCTCCCTGCTGCTGGCTGCCAGCTGCAGGCTGAGCCCTCTCTCCCGCCTGCAGGGTTTACCTGCTGGGCAAGAGGCAGGTGTTACAGGAGGAGCTGCAGGGGCTGCAGGTGGCGCTGTGCAGCCAGGCCAAGCTGCAGGCCCAGCAGGACCTACTGCAGGACAAGCTGAAGAAGCTGGGCCCTGGCGAGCCCCCGCCCGTGCCACTCCTGCAGGACGACCGCCACTCCACCTCGTCCTCGGTGAGCACCCCACCGCCCACCGCGGCCGCCCTGCAGGCTGGCCCAGGCCGCGCTCCTCATTTTCGCCCTCCGCCTCCCAAGCCTGGCCACCCGCTGACGTCTGTCCCTGGCCTCAGGAGCATGAGCGGGAAGGGGGAAGGACGCCCACCCTGGAGATCCTTAAGAGCCACATCTCAGGAATCTTTCGCCCCAAGTTCTCGGTGAGTGGAGCCCAGCCAGGCCTACACCTCCCTTTCTTCTCCCAGTGGTGGTGGGCCAGTGGGGTGGGGGGTCTCAGAAACATCCCCCTTAGGCCCCTCCCACCATGGGGTCCGGGTTAGTCACTCGGTTGCCCTAGTAGAGAGGAGGCTGTGCTCAGGCTGCTTTTATGGGGTGTCCAGGTGCAGACACCCCCAGAGCCTGTCTCCCCATCTCAGCCACAAGTGCAGAGGGACCTGCAGCCTTGGTTGCCCCACGCACGGCTCTTCCTGCTCTGGGAGTGGTTGGGAGGCTGTGGCCTGGGGTAAAAGGCAAAAGCGTGGTTTGCGCCCAGCCAAGCCCAGGCTGCCCATCCCTGCTCTGCCCAGAGTGAGCCCGTTCTGGGGGCCTGCGAGGGCTCTGCCCGCCTCTCTGGCGGTTTGGGAGGACGGAGGCCACATGAGGCAGAAACGCCCCTGACCTTGAGTTGGCCTAGTCGTCACCCCCGAGGAGCGGGCTGAGTGACCCCCCCCTCGCTCCTCCCCAGCTCCCCCCACTGGTGCAGCTCGTCCCTGAGGTGCAGAAGCCCCTGCACGAGCAGCTGTGGTACCACGGGGCCATCCCGCGGACGGAGGTGGCCGAGTTGCTGACGCAGTGTGGGGACTTCCTGGTGCGGGAGAGCCAGGGCAAGCAGGAGTGCGTGCTGTCGGTCCTGTGGGACGGCCAGCCCCGGCACTTCATCATCCAGTCCTCGGACGTGAGTGGGCCCCAGCCCTCCCGCCCCCGGGGGACGGCCTTGAGAGGGTAGCAGAGACCATCTCGTTCCAGCAATAAAAATGGCTAACACCTTCAGGGCGGCTTCCCCTCCTCAGGCGGGGAGCGGGCATTGGGGCGCCATCAGGCCCTGTCTGCAGGCCCTTTCTCCCTGCTGCTCGGCACCCCCTCCCAGGCCCCAGGCCCCCTCGGCAGGGCCCTGGGAGGCTGCTCACCCCAGGTTGCCCCTGCCCTGCAGAACCTGTACCGACTGGAAGGCGAGGGCTTTCCCACGATTCCCTTGCTCATCGACCACCTGCTGCGCTCCCAGCAGCCCCTCACCAAGAAGAGCGGAGTTGTCCTGAGCAGGGCTGTGCCCAAGGTGAGCCTGGGCCCTGATGCCCACTCCGCCCTCTGCAGGCCTTGGGGAGCGTAGGTTCAGGCGCACAGAGTCAGGGCAGGCAGGGGGGTTCCCAGGTCCCAGGTCTACATACAGGGCCAGCCACCTGCTAGATTTGGAACGTCAAGGCCACTGCCATTCTGCAGGCTGGCACTCACCCACTTAGGTCCCTGCCTGGTCCCCAGAGTCATCCGATTATGATCCTGATACATGCGGGCCAACCGCCATGTAACAGACTCACCGAGCTACCGAGAAATGAAAGTTGTAGCTTTGGAGATTTTCAGCCCTTTGCTGCCTTCTGACCCCCCCCTCCCCCAGGACAAGTGGGCGCTGAACCATGAGGACCTGGTGCTGGGCGAGCAGATTGGGCGGGTGAGTTGAATGCCCTGCTGGCCTCCCGGCTGCCTGCGGTCCCCCTCACCCAGCTCCGCTTCCAGCCCGCCACCCGGTCACACCGGCGCTCGCCCACCGCAGAGAGCCCTTCGGCCTCCCTGCCTCAGTCCGAGCGCCGGCCCGTCCCTGACTCCCCTCCTGGCCAGCACCGCACACCGCCCTCCAGGAGCCGGGGCAGTCTCCTGGCTCCCTCCGCCGGCCCCGCGCGCGGGCGCTGCCTCCCCAGGGGCCCCATGTGCAACAGGAGCCGCCCGGTGTCCGTGGGAGCCATGACGCACCTGCTTAGGAAAGAATTCAGTTTCCTACACATGACAAGTCTTTTCCAACCTAAGGGAAAGTGGCTTTTGGATTTTCCATGTTGTGTCTCTTACTGACTGTGGCAAGTCAGAGGGGACATCCCCTGCCTCTCCCAGGGGTGCTCATTCGGTTCCCCAACCGGGGGGTAAACTAGGGAGCCGGGGTGGGGCACTGAGCGAAGGGCGGGTGGGGACAAGGAGGACTGTCCCTCGACACGAGAGGACTGCGGTCCAGGGAAGGGCGTAGACACCTAGGGTGGTTTCAGGGGAACTTTGGTGAAGTGTTCAGCGGGCGCCTGCGAGTGGACAACACCCCGGTGGCGGTGAAATCTTGCCGAGAGACGCTCCCACCCGACCTCAAGGCCAAGTTTCTGCAGGAGGCGCGGTAGGTTAAGAAATAGTGGTCGCCGTCGCGATCCGTACAGGGCATTCCTCTGTGCGTGGTGCAGTGCAGAGGGCCGCATCCGCCGTGTCACGTCATCCTCACAGACTACGCCCCCCAGGGCTGGGGGCTCAAGGCTCCGTGACCCGCCAGAGGTCACACACATTCAGGCCTCCTGGCCTTCTGAGTCCCAGCTTGCCTCTTCTGGTGCCCTTTTCCCTGTCCTGCCCCGGGGCTGGGGAGGGACGCTCCAGTCCCCACAGCGGGAACCTAAGCAGCAGTGCCCTCCAGGATCCTGAAGCAGTACAGCCACCCCAACATCGTGCGTCTCATCGGCGTCTGCACCCAGAAGCAGCCCATCTACATCGTCATGGAGCTCGTGCAGGGTGAGCCCAGGGGGCCGCACTGCAGGGCTGGGGACTTCAGTCCTGCTAGGTGAGCGCCCCCTGCAGGAGGCTCAAAAGGCTTCCCCTGCACTCACCCCCAGGGGGCGACTTCCTGACCTTCCTTCGGACCGAGGGAGCTCGCCTGCGGGTGAAGACTCTGCTGCAGATGGTGGGTGACGCGGCCGCGGGCATGGAGTACCTGGAGAGCAAGGGCTGCATCCACCGGTGAGCAAGGAGCTCCGGCCTCGGGCCGCCAGCCCCCCGGGATCCCAGCCAGGCCCAGGCCGTGCTGTGTCACCCAGTGTCCCTCAGCAGCAGGCCCAGTGCGAGCGCTGGACTTAGCCTCTCCCCATGCACCATGGGTCCCGGGGCAGGGAGCAGCCTTGGTTCGTCGGTGTGCCCTGCTCAGGCAGGTGACATGCTGTGTGGACGGTGGCTGAGTGAGCCCTTCTCCTGCCTCCTTTCCCCAGGGACCTAGCTGCCCGGAATTGCCTGGTCACAGAGAAGAACGTCCTGAAGATCAGTGACTTTGGGATGTCCCGGGAGGAAGAAGATGGGATCTACGCTGCCTCGGGGGGCCTCAGACAAGTCCCCGTGAAGTGGACTGCACCCGAGGCTCTTAACTACGGTAAGCTAACGACGCCGGGCCTCCCGTGCCAACCTGGGCCTTGTGCGCTCTGGGCCGTGAGCCCAGGGCGGGGCGCACCTCTGACGCCTCCGCGCCTCCCTGCAGGCCGCTATTCCTCCGAGAGCGATGTGTGGAGCTTTGGCATCTTGCTCTGGGAGACCTTCAGCCTGGGAGCCTCGCCCTACCCCAACCTCAGCAATCAGCAGACTCGGGAGTTCGTGGAAACAGGTAAGGCAGCCACGCTGCCCGGCAGCAGGCTCAGAGCCAGGCTGCTGTCCCCGGGCTGCTGGGGGACTCTTCCAGGTCCCCTCCCTTCCCATTTTCCCGCTTGGGGCCAAATAAGAGCAGTCAGTCCTATCGAGGTCACTGGGGGAACACCTGATGTGGCCCAGGCTGTCCATTACTTTGTTTCCTCCTCACAGCAGGGGAGGAGGGGATTAATATGCCCCTTTTACAGAAGGAAAGACTGAGGCTTGCAGAGGCCGTGCGGCTAGTGCGCGGTGGGAGGGCAGTCAGGGCCTCTATGCGCTTGCGGCTCCTGGAGAAGCGCTTCAGTGCACCTTCCGCAGCCCGTTGCTCATGGTTTGCCCTCAGGGGCCGTGAGGGGGCTCCCAACCCCCTCCTCATGCCAGGCTGCTGTGCCCTTCCTCACAGGGGGCCGCTTGCCCTGCCCCGAGCTGTGCCCCGATGCCGTGTTCAGGCTCATGGAGCAGTGCTGGGCCTACGAGCCCGGGCAGCGGCCCAGCTTCAGCACCATCTACCAGGAGTTGCAGAGCATCCGAAAGCGGCATCGGTGAGGCTGGGCCCGCTTCCCCCCGCGGCCTCTGCGGGCGAGACCGCTCCGCCCTCCCAGCTCCTGCTCACGATGTGGGCGGCTCTTCTTGGCTCTGGACTCCGCCCCCCGGCCGCTGGGCCTCCGGCGGGGATGCGGCTCCACGTCTGCGGAGCTCCTACCACTCTCTGAGGCCTCCCCTCCCAGGAAAAGTTAATAAACCACTTGTGCCCATCCAGTGTTCTCGGCATGTACGCTCCTCGGGAGGGCAGGTCTCAGGAAAAATAGAGCGTCCGTCCTGCATCCGTGAGGAAGGAGACAGGCAGGGTTCCCAGGGCAGAATTGAGGTGGTTCGAGGAGCCCGTGGGGGTGTCAGCGAGACATGTGAGTTGGGAAGCCCAGACAGAGAGAAGAAGGCTGGCCCTTGAGGCCTGAACGTCACGAGCTTATAAATGTGAGAGAGTAGCTGAGGCTGTGGGTGGGCACAGCAGTCCCGTGAGATTCAGAACAGAGGGGAGAGTCCAGGCAAGCTAGAGCTCCAGTCAGAGGAGGCCGGAGTGGCTGAAGAGATGGAAATAATCGCTTGGGGGGGGGGGGGTGGGGGGGCGGTGAGCTCGCTGAGCGGTGCGCGGAGCAGCAGAGCAGGGAGCCCAGACCCCAGAAACCTGTAACGTTGTCTGAGACGTTACCGGCAGCGACAGCCAAGGTCAGGAAGAGGGGAAGAACTAGCAAACTGAAAAGCAGAGACAGGAAAGAGCGATAGCGCCCGAGAGAAAAAAGCGGAACCTGGAGGCAAAGCAGCAGTCCCTCAAGAAAGTTTAGGAAATAGTTGACATCTGTGTTCGAAGATATAAAAGCCCTACAGTTGTTCATGAACAAGAGGAAACAAGTTAGTATGCGGCTAAATGAATGGAAATACTAAGGAGGCAAATCATATCTCTACTGGAAGGGGTAAAAAGCAGAACTGCAGAACTTCTGCTTCTGGGTGGGATGTGGAAGGCCCCTGCCGGCCTCCACTCTCCTCGCAGCAAGGAGGAGGGAGCCACGTGACAGTTTTCACTCTTAGAGAGAAGGGAGCGTGTTGGGAGGGATAAGGACCAGAGGATCTAAAGTTTCGAGGAGGAAAGGGCCCCTTATGGGGTGAACGGAAGCTGGGTGGCTGTTTACTTCCCTGAGACATTTGCTCATTTGGGACATTGCTGAAGCTCACAATTGTCCCAGACAGGGAGTACCAAGGAAAGGAGAGATGAACCATTTCTGTCCTACACACTGCAGAGCTAACCCTAAAATCTCTGAAGAGCAGAATTGCCAGGGCTAAGAGAGACAGAGACCAGCCAGGTTGTCAACCCCAAATCCAAGGGGCCACTCCAAAGGGACAGGGACAAGCCAGAGGAGGCCTGAAACTTACCAGAACTATAACTGTCCCAACTTGACCCAGTACGTTGTTATATCGGGGTGACTGGCTCCTGTGGGTTGGGGGGTGGGGCTGGAGGTGAGGAATAACACAGTCTGAAGTCCTTACTCTGTTTGTTTTACACCCAACATGCAACACAGAAACAAAAATGATAAAACGTGCAAAAGAAAGAAAAAGAAAAATTGGGCCAACACACAAGAGAAAAAAAAGAAACAATATAGAAGCAAACCCACGGATGGTCCAGATGTTGGAGTTAACAGACAAGGATTTAAAAACCACGAATGGTTCATATGTTAAATGCAAAACAAAAAAGATGGACAAAATAGATGCAAATATACAGAATTTCAACAGGGTTGGGATCCACTTTACAAAAACCAAAGGAGCGGGTAGAGCTGGAAAAATGCCACCTCTGAAATGACAGATTCACTGGCCAGGTTTCATAAAATTTCGTGGAACTGAAGGATAAAGTCACCATTATAGAACATGGGCACATTAGAAGACAGAATTAGCAACCTTGAAGGTAGATCGAATAGAAGGGATCTAAACTGAAGTACAGAGAGAGAAAGAAGAATGGGGCGGGGGCGAGAACAGCCTAAGACACACAGGGAACTCCAATCCATGAGTAATTAACTTCCAGAAGGAGAGAGAGAGGTGAGGACCAGAATAAACTGCCAAGGACTCAACATGTATACAGCAATAAGGAAGGACACCCCCCTCCCCCATACACACACCAACCCTGATGACCCTCGAAGACACGTTAAGAAGTCAGGTATGAAGGAGCGCACACTCTGACCCCATTTCATGAAGTTCACGAACCGGCAAAACTAAGCCGCAGAGAAGCGAGAATAGTGGTCACATCTGAGGGGGTCCAATGGCAAGGAATATCTGAGTGCAGGGGAGCAGCAGTGTTCCCACCGCTGTGCACGACTCCTCTCCTTGGGCCATGCGGGCAAGGCTCAAGCAGGCCGACCTGGGTCTTGACCGCCTTGAGAGAATGCCCTACAGTTAATTACTTGTGGAGCAAGGGGACTAGCAGCCTACAGTGGAGTCTCTCTGGCTGGTGGGAGACTCCCTTGGGCCGTTTCTCACCCCTCTTCCTAGCCTCTGTGGAGTGTGGGGCTTTTTATCCGGCCAACCCTATAGAGTGGCCCCTGGCCATGCACGTGCTTGGCTGTAGTTTGGAGGTGGCTCTTTAGCCACAGAGTGGCCCACCCCCACACCTCCAGTCATCCTGTTATCTGGTGCCTTCCACTCTGTGTCATCCTGTTGGGGGCCAGGGATGCAAGAAGCTGACTCCATGCTGGTCTGAGCAGTCAGCTGTCTGGGTCCCTTGGGCTTGTCGTCTCCTTACTGGCTGAGTCTCTGAAGGTGTGACAGGCCTGCCTAGCAGCTGCACAGGGAGCCACTGCAGGGCACTTCGTGACTGCGTGACCTCTTGACACAATGGAGACTTTTTGTGGGTGATGGGAGTGTTCTGTGTTCGGTCCGAGTGGTGATTATACTTGTGTGTACATCTATCAAATTTTACCAAGCTGTGCACTTAAGACTTGCACCATATACTATAAGTTATATCTCCATTTTTAAATATTTTATATATTTATTTTTAGGGGGAGGGGAGAAAGAGAGGGAGAGAAACATCGATCAGTTGCCTCTCACATGCTCCCCAACTGGGGACCTGGCCCACAAGCCAGGCATGTGCCCTGACTGGGAATTGAACCACTGACCTCTCAGTTTGTCGTAGGAGGACGCCCAACCTAGTGAGCCACACCAGTCAGTACTATATCTCAATTTAAAAAAAAAAAAAAAGAACTAGGAGAGACCAAACAAGAGCTCTGGAACATTAAGATCGTGATTGCCAAAATGAACAATTCAGTAGAAGAGCTGGAAGCTTTATCTCCCAGAACACAGGCAAAACTGCCAGTCCAGGTCTGCCACTTAGTGGCAGGTATTCCAGTGGGTAAATAAATCTAGAAAAACGTTCCCGATGGTGACCCAAGAAGTGGGAGTTAAAACGATGAGTGCCATTCTAAATCTGGTTAATCAACAAAAACATTGTTTAAGTAATAGTCAACAGTTTGCCACTGAGCATGGCATGTGGGCCATCACTGGTCATAGCAGTCCTTATTTTTTGCCGCACTACTGGGAATTTGTCCTAAGGTAATTTAGAAAGAAGACAAACGTGGACTTAGTGGAGATATTCATCACAGGATGGTTTATTATACTTCAAAATTACAAAAACCCAGACGCCCAATAAAAGGAGAATCACCGAGGCAATTACGTGCTGCCTCAATCTCCTTGGGTGACAAGCGGGGAAGGGATGGTGATGAAGGCGCCGCACCGGCAGGGGGCAGCACCTCCCTTCCTGAGAACAGTGGCGTTTGAAGTAAGGATCCCTAGAGCTGAGCAGGGCAGGCAGGGGAAGTGTGCTACGGGGGAGGGATGTTTCCACTAGTGTGGTTTTGACTGTGTGCTTACTCTAGCAAGGTTCAGACCAAATAAAGTCTCGCTCCCCTACTCCCAGGGCCGCAGCGTGCCCAGGCTGGGCGGACTGCGGCTGCGCATTGCGGGCCGGGTCCCAGGCGCGGGGTGCGCTGGAGAGGAGAGAGGGGAGCCGGGCGGGGCTGCGTGGGATCGAGTAGCAGGCGGGGCCGGGGTGGTGCGGCTGTCCCCGCCCCGCACGCTGCTCCGCCGGCTGCCAGAGGAGGGGACGGCGCGGGCGGGCGGGCGGGAGCATTGGCGCGCGCCGGCGGCCCCGGCCCCGCGGGAGCGCGGCTGCGACGCGCGGAGCCGGGACGACGGGTAGGCGGACGGCCGCCTTCCTTGCGTCCCTGCCTCGCGCGGGCCGTCATCCCCGGGGATGTGAGGGGCACCGCGAGGCCGGCGGGGCCTGGAGCGGCGCGAGGCGAGTCTCAGACGGTAACGCGCCGGGCAGACATGGGGGAGGGCTCTGTTATCCCGCCGCGGCCCGCTAGGGCAGCAGGAGCCTGAGCACTAGCGTGCCTCAGGGTCCAAAGCGACCGGTGCTCCAGCACTGCACCGGGTAGTTGTCAGGGTCCTGGGACCTGCGGAGTCAGTTCGGAGGAGGGGCTTTCCAGCGGGCGGGCAGCCGAGGACCTGGCGCAGGTACTCGCCTCCCGTGGTATCTCCCCCAGCTCCACCCACTTTGGCCTAGAACCAACCTCCAAGGGCTAAAAATATTGCCCGGAGGCTTCTGAGCTATCAGATTGTGCTAAGTAGGGCACAAGGCACGGGCGACCGAGCTTTTGGGCCCTCCGGCCAGAGGGAGACTCAGAGCTGCGTCTCCCTTCACGCTGCCTTGCAGTTAGCGGCCTCCCTCCGTGGAGCACGCAAGGAGGGACCTGCGGGCGGGGGCAGCGTCCAAAGTTGCCCCACCACCGAGCAGCTCTGCCAGACCTCTCCCTCCCTCCCCAGGGGATCTTCAGCATCAATCACTGCTGGCTCCCCAGGCGGTCTCCTAATTACTGTGTAAGCAGAGGCTGAAAGTTAACCCACTGCGGAATCAGAACTACCAAGGAGAAGACAGAGGGCTCAGTCTATGTTAGAAACCTAAGCTGCTTCTTTTTAAATTCATTCTGGATTTCCTAATGAGAGAAAAGCTGTGCCAGGCACGGTTTCTGCCCAGTACCAGTCTGGACCTTCGGGGCAGGGAGAAAGTTTTTCCTGTCAGTTTTTTTGGGCTTTGATTATACTTATCCTGTCAAAACAGATAGCAGTGTATTTCTCTAAAACTAGAACCACGTGGTCAAGGAGCCTGGGCACCCGCTTCCTTTGCTCCCTCGAATCTTTCTTATCGATAAGCTCTTTAGGGAGCTGGTTGTAATCAGGAGGTTGTGTGGTGACCTGTGGAGCCAGACTGGGAAGTTTTTTTATATCCTGTCTTGCTTTTTGTAGCCTCACCCTGTGGGGAGCTGCCCTGCGTGAAGCAGCACCGCTGCAGGTGTGTTACTTGTGCTTTCTGTCTCGGCCGAGAGAGGACCCAGGTGGGGTCAGGACCCACAAGCCAGCGCTGAGATTTGATGGTTCGAAGCTTGCTTTTGGGGGGATTCACGCACACAGAGGTTCCTTGGGAGCAGCCCTCAGGAACTCTCGGGGGCCTTTGGTGGAAAGGTCACTGGAAGGGTTTCGACTTGTGGAGCTCCATGCAGTGTCCCCCCCCCCCCCGCCAGGTGTCTGTGGAAGCCAGCATGAAGCTGAAAAAGCAGGTGACCGTGTGTGGGGCGGCTGTCTTCTGCGTGGCTGTCTTCTCGCTCTACCTCATGCTGGACCGAGTGCAGCATGACCCTGCCCGGCACCAGAGTGGCGGGAACTTCCCCCGGGTGAGTCACGCCTGGCGTCTGAGGCCATGAAGGTACATGTTGTGTGGGCTCAGGTCAGCATCCAGCCCAGAGAGCCCTGTCTGTCAGCCCCGTAGGCCAGGAAAGGAAGAAGGGAGGGAGGACGGTGAGGCTCCTCCGCTGGGTCTTGGGAATTCTTGGCAGACATTGCTAATGGATTGCAGCATTCGCTCCCACCGAGCCGAGACACAGTCCTTGTCAGCCCAGTGGTCCACACGGGCCATGTGGTGGTTGGGAATAGGCCTGTGAGGTGGAACCTTTGCCGCCTTGGAGCTGAAGGGCGAGGCACTTCCAAGGGGACTGAGGTCCTCTGTGGCGATTCGCACCCCTTCCCTTATCTGCCCAGAGCTATCGGCATAGGCTCGTGGCCCTGCCTTCACTGGGGAGCGCGGGGTCAGTAGCAGGCCTCAGGTCCTGGGCCCCAGGCGGAGGTGGTGCCGAAGGTGTAAGGAGCTGTGGGTGACTGCGTTCTGGTTTTCCGGCAGAGCCAAATTTCTGTGCTGCAGAATCGCATCCAGCAGCTGGAGCAGCTGTTGGAGGAGAACCACGAGATCATCAGCCACATCAAGGAGTCCGTGCTGGAGCTGACCGCCAACGCCGAGGGCCCGCCCGCCCTGCTGCCCTACTACACGGCCAATGGCTCCTGGGTGGTGCCGCCGGAGCCCCGGCCCAGCTTCTTCTCCGTCTCCCCCCAGGACTGCCAGTTTGCTCTGGGGGGCCGGGGCCAGAAGCCAGAACTGCAGGTAAGAGCCCCAGCGGGCAGGCACCCTGGGCGGCCACAGAGGCCTTGCTGAGCCGCCGTTCCTTCCGCTCGGCAGATGCTGACTGTGTCGGAGGAGCTGCCTTTCGACAACGTGGACGGCGGGGTGTGGAAGCAAGGCTTTGACATCTCCTACGGCCCGCATGACTGGGACGCCGAGGACCTGCAGGTGTTTGTGGTGCCACACTCTCACAACGACCCAGGTGAGGGCCAGCCGGCCCCGCGGAGCGGCTGCAGGGTGGGCTCTCTGATGGCAAGGGTCGGGGCGGGGGTGGTCGAAGCAGACGCGGCGTCCTCAGGGGACCCTGCGTTGGCCCCCAGGCTGGATCAAGACCTTTGACAAGTACTACTCGGAGCAGACCCAACACATCCTCAACAGCATGGTGTCCAAGCTGCAGGAGGACCCCCGGCGGCGCTTCCTCTGGGCCGAAGTCTCCTTCTTTGCCAAGTGGTGGGACAACATCAACGCCCAGAAGAGAGCAGCGGTCCGGAGGCCAGTGCCTGGCGGGAGGCGGGGGAGGGCCGTCCTCTGGGCCCGGGTCTCACCCAAAGCTGTGGTTGCAGTTGTGGCTGGGGAGACGAGGGGAAGCAGGCAGGGGCCGAGAACAAGAAGGCAGGGACTGGTTCGAGGGTCACTTGTGTTAGGGGAAAGCAAAGTTCCGTGAGCACGGAGATGGGAAAGCGTGGGGCCAGGCCCCTGGGCGCCCAGATGGTGTCTGCCTGTAAGCAGGGCCAGGACTGGCGGGAAAGGAGGGCACGCGGCTGTTCCCGTGGTCGCAGGTTTCGGTGAGCTGGCTCAGTGAGGCCATTGTGCACAGGCTCAGCATCTCCTGCTTGGCACGGGTGGGCAGATGTCCTGCCCCACGCTGAGTGTGTGTCCTTAATTGCAGGCTGGTGGGAAATGGGCAGCTGGAGATTGTGACGGGAGGCTGGGTGATGCCCGATGAGGCCAACTCCCACTATTTTGCGCTGATCGACCAGCTCATCGAGGGACACCAGTGGCTGGAGAGAAACCTCGGTGAGGCCAGGAGAGAGAATCTGCCCCCGGAGCTGGACCCCCGAGGACAGCAGGGGGCTCTAAGGTGCAGGGGTGGATGGGGAATGGCTCTCTAGCATGCTGATTCCCCCATCAAGGGCCCCAGTGTGATGGCAGGATGAGGGGAGCTGGGACCCTGGCGCCGGGAGGCCAGGGGCTGAGGTGTTCGGGGCCTCCGGCTTCCATGGCCCTGCCCAGGTGCAGCCCCGCGCTCCGGCTGGGCGGTGGACCCCTTCGGGCACAGCCCCACCATGGCTTACCTGCTGCGCCGGGCCAACCTGACCAGCATGCTGATTCAGAGGGTGCATTATGCCATCAAGAAGCACTTTGCCGCCACCCACAGCCTGGAGTTCATGTGGAGGCAGACCTGGGGTGAGGCCAGGCAGGGTGGGGTAGCAGTGGTTGTTCTCCCTGGGGGGGGCGGGGGTCCCGGAGCAGGAGCAGGCCCACAGGCACTTGGTGGGAGGGGATCTAATCGACCTCTGGCCTCTACGGGACCTGCTGCTCACCCCCAGGGTCTGGGTGTGCCGTCCCCTGGGGGAGCTGCGTGCTCCGGAGACCCTCTGTGTCCTGACCCTTGGCCTGCCCGTCCTCTGCAGCCTTAAGTCCAGGTCGAGCCCCGCCTTGGTCGATGTAGCTAGAGCAGACCCCCGTTCCACTGGCGTGCCTACACCCGGCTCCCCGCCGTGGTCGGCCGTGGCTGACTGCCTGCTGTGTCTTCTTCAGACTCGGACTCCACCACAGACATTTTCTGCCACATGATGCCCTTCTACAGCTACGATGTGCCCCATACCTGTGGCCCGGACCCCAAGATCTGCTGCCAGTTTGACTTCAAACGCTTGCCCGGCGGGCGCATCAACTGCCCTTGGAAGGTGCCCCCCCGAGCCATCACGGAGGCCAACGTGGCCGAGAGGTATTTGCCACCAGCTCCGGGCTCGGGTGGTGCGTCGGGCCCACAGCCCCAGCGGCGGCAGCTCCCTGATGAGTCTCCCTGGAAAATAAGTGGCTTGAAGGAACCGCCTTTTGCGGAATGGTTTTACTTCCCACGTGAGCACGTGTCCCTGGGTCCCAGCAAGCTGTCAGAGACGCTTGGCTGACTCAGAGGTGAATGACTCTCATAGTGGGTACAGTCCCTTCCAGCCCTTGGCTTCATAGGCCGTCTCTGAGCTCAGGCGCCTTGGCTTGGCTCAGCGTCGGCCAGGATCCCCCGCGTTCTGAGAACCTCATTCAAGTGCACATTCGGTCTTGCCCAGTAGCCTCTGGCCTCTGAGAAAGCAGGCTCGTTCCCTTTGACAGACTCATCAGGGATCCCTAAAATGTCCCTGTGTCTGAAGTCAGCCCCCCCCACCGCCCCCAGGAAAAGAGCAGACAACAGAAAACCGGGACTGGGCCAGAAGCGGGCTGGCCTAAAGACTACAGCCGGTCTAACTGGTTTTCACGTTGTTGCCGTACTCCGATTTCCGTGGGGCCCAAAGGACAAAACGTGTGACTGGAGGGAAAGAAAGTGGCCTTTTGTTTCCAGAATCCAGAAATCTAAGTACTGCTCCCAAATAAGCACCTAGGGCTGTGGAGGCAGGACTTTTCTTTTTAAAGATTGATTTATTTTTAGAGTGAGGGAAAGGGAGGGAGAAAGAGAGAAAGAGATACATCAGTGTGTGGTTGCCTTTCACGTGCCTCCCACCAGGGACTTGGCCTGCAACCCAGGCGGGTGCTCTGACTGGGAATCAAACCGGCAACCCTTTGGTTCGCAGGCTGGCGCTCAGTCCACTGAGCCACACCAGCCAGGGCAGGATTTTTCTTAAAGCAGCCACTGTGAGCTGCAGAGGCCAGCCCAGGTGTGCAGTGAGGAAGTCCTGAGAGGAACTTCGTTTCCTCCTCTGAAAGGCTTCCTGGGCTGATAAATTAGGGGGAAATGGTACTGGAGGCGTCCTCTCCCAAAAACAAAACAGGAGAGCAGAAGCTGACCAGCATGGTGAAATAGCTTCGTGGCTGGTTGACCTGTGACCCCCACAACGTGCTGCTCACTGATAGGTTGATCTACAAAGAGAAAAAGGCTTTGATGACATGCTACAGGGCCCTGTTTGTGTGCTGATTTGGAGGAAAAAGAAAATAAGTGTTTGTCTCTAGTTCTTCCACATATTCTGGCAAATATTAATGCATGCAGTTCATTTGAACTCTTGTGACGTTAGGATGGTGGGTGCTGATGTTGCCTCATTTTATAAGAACTGAGGCCCAGAGGGGTTAAGTCACTCACTGAAGGTCACTCAGTTCATGCACTCAGAGCTGGTGTGGGCGGGTCTGGCCCCGGAGCCCAGGCACCTTACCCCCCGGGCTGCCTTACTAACTGGTGGACAGGATGAAGCTGGATCCCGAACGATCTCAACATTTGGAGGTGTAGGTTGGGTCTTACCACCCAAGGTTTGTTAGGTAGAGATGTAAGTTTCCACTGTTAGCTTCAGAAAACAGAGTAGAAAGGTCAGGATGAGGAGGAAAGACCTTGAGAGCCTCATGCTTAGAGAACACAGCCACTGACCTTAGCACTGTGGGTGACCGAGGGGGCTGCCAGCTGCACCTGTGTGAGTGCACGCCGCTCCCATGGGGCGCCAGGCCGGAACGGGGTGCGGCTCTGTCTTCCTTTGTCCCCTGTATCCATCTTATCCATCGTGTCCATCACTGGGTCCCTGTGCAGAGGAGCGCGGGCTCATCTTTTACGTCTGAAGGGGAAACATGGGGAAGGAGGACCGATCTGTCCCATGTGGGGTCAGGGAGTGGAAGCCAGGCGCTCAGACCAGGGTGGAAAGAGCCCTCCGCTTGTGGGGACTGCCGGGAGAACGCTGGGCCACGGGACGATGCGCCTGTAGGCGAGTGACTCCTGGTGGGGCCTCTGTGGAGGGGCCTCTCGGGTTGCTCCGCTCAGGATCCCGCAATGCTGAGCGCTTGCATCTGCAGGGCAGCCCTGCTCCTCGACCAGTACCGCAAGAAGTCTCGGCTCTTCCGGAGCAACGTCCTGCTGGTGCCGCTGGGCGACGACTTCCGCTACGACAAGCCCCAGGAATGGGACGCCCAGTTCTTCAACTACCAGCGGCTCTTCGACTTCCTCAACAGCAAGCCTGACTTCCACGTGCAGGTGTGAGGAGCCCCTCCCCGCGCAGCTCCACGCACCCCGCTCCTGGCTTCAAACCGGGGCTCATTCCTGATCCTCTGCAGGGCTTCCCTTTTCTCTCCGCGTTCCTTCCTGGCCCCCAGCTGCTGCATGAGGTCCAGGAGGTGGGAAGGACAGGACTGCACACACAGGACCCTGGCTGCAACAGCTGGGCCACAATTCCCAGGAGGCGCTGGCACTGATGGGGATGGGTTTTTGGGGTCCCCACAGGCCCAGTTTGGCACCCTCTCAGACTACTTTGACGCGCTGTATAAGAGGACGGGGGTGGAGCCAGGGGCCCAGCCCCCGGGGTTTCCTGTGCTGAGTGGAGATTTCTTCTCCTACGCGGACCGGGAGGACCATTACTGGACAGGCTATTACACCTCCCGACCATTCTACAAGAGTTTGGACCGCGTCCTGGAAGCCCACCTGCGGTAAGACCCAGGCAGGAGCGCGCGCGGTGGGAAGCGGAAGGTGGCGCCCTGGAGTTGTGTGCGCAGGCGCTGACTTGTCTCTCCGGGCAGCGGGGCGGAGGTTCTGTACAGCCTGGCTGTCGCTCACGCCCGCCGCTCCGGACTGGCCAGCCAGTACCCGCTCTCGAACTTGGCCCTTCTGACAGAAGCCCGGCGCACCCTGGGGCTCTTCCAGCACCACGATGCCATCACTGGCACTGCCAAGGAGGCCGTCGTGGCGGACTATGGCGTCAGGTGCGGACCTTGTCCTCTCCCCGTGGGCTCCATTCCCCTCCCCGTCTCCCCAAAGAAAGGACGTGCTGGGTGGTCATCAGGTAGGCCTCCTGGAGCTTCGTCTGGCTGGCCGAGTGTCTGAGGTCACCTCCTCCATGGTCCCCCTCCTGTCCCCCCCAGGCTGCTACGCTCCCTTGTCAACCTGAAGCAGGTCATCATTAACGCAGCTCACTATCTTGTGCTGGGCGACAAGGAGACCTACCACTACGACCCTGCGGCACCCTTCCTCCAAATGGTGAGCCCCCTCCTGGGTCTGCTCTGAGACCCTCTGGTGTGTGCAGCCCCGCCCCAGGAGCTGGGGTATGGGGGTTTTTCTCTTTCTCATCATGTCCTGGGGTGAAGATGTGTGCCCGGTGCAGCTAGTGGTCCCCATGCAGGACAGCCGGTGGGGGCAGGGGGCAGGATGTGGAGTCAGCCCGAGCCGCATGATGGTTCCGCCCTCCCCACCCACTGAATTCCAGGATGACAGCCGCTTAAATCACGACGCCCTGCCAGAGCGCACAGTGGTGCAGCTGGACGCCTCACCCAGGTGAGTGGAAGCAGGAGGCGCACAGAGGCAGAGCCCCTCCCAGCCACGCCCCCTTCCGGCCACGCCCCCCATCCCCGTACCTGCCAGCCAGGAGCAGTGGCCATCTGGGCCAGCTCACCTCTCCCCCCAGGTATGTGGTGCTCTTCAACCCGCTGGAGCAGGAGCGGCTCAGCGTGGCGTCCCTGCTGGTTAGCTCGCCCCACGTGCGTGTGTTTTCAGAGGAGGGTCAGCCCCTGGCCGTGCAGGTCAGCGCCCACTGGGGCTCCGCCACTGACATGGTCCCTGACGTTTACCAGGTGAGCTGGGGGGCCAGGCAGGGGGGCCTCTGTCCTTCAACACCATCCTCCTACCCTCCTGCTTACGCCCCGGATTGGGGACAGGAGTCCTGGGGACAGGCATTGTCAGGGGACTGTCCCTTTTGGGATTTGAGTCAGTGCTTGAAGGGAGGATGGCTTCGCGCAGTAACGATGACAGTCCAAAAGTTGCCCCACTGTTCACTTGTCCCTCAAGCCTTTACTGAAGGTTCGGCGTGGGGTTCCCACTTCCTCGTTGTTCCGTAGGAGACTCATAACAGTCTGATGAGGGGCCAGTTCTGTAACCTCTACTTTCAGAGGTGGGACAGGGGCACCAGTGGGTGCGGGGACTTGGTCAGGCCCCATGGGCAGAATCCCGGGCCTGGCTCTGCCGCTGAGGCCCAGGCCGTGGCCCCTGCTCCCTCACTGCCCTGTGCCAGCAGGTGTCGGTGCCTGTCCGCCTGCCGGCGCTGGGCCTCGGCGTGCTGCAGCTGCAGCTGGGCCTGGATGGGCACCGCACCCTGCCCTCCTCCACCCGCGTCTACCTGCACGGCCGGCGGCTGGCTGTCAGCAGGCACGAGGCATTCCCTCTACGCGTCATTGACTCCGGCACCGGTGACTTTGCCATCAGCAACCGCTACATGAAGGTCTGGTTCTCAGGCCTTAGCGGGCTCCTCAAGGTAAAGGGCCAGGGCGCGGGCTGGAGGAGGGCGTGCGTGCGGTGTGCGCATGAGCATGGCGGACCTGGGAGCGGGCCCCGGGACTTCCGGGGGCCTCAGGGGAGCGGGCTTGGCTCCGTGGGAAAGTTTGTCCGAGCCCTCCTGGGGGCAGGCCTGACACGCTGCTGTGGGGCCAGGGGTCAGGGCTGTGTGTTTTGGCAGAGCATCCGAAGGGTGGATGAGGAGCAGGAGCAGCGCGTGAACATGGAGTTCCTCGTCTACGGCACTCGCGCATCCAAAGACAAGAGCGGAGCCTACCTCTTCCTGCCTGACGGCGAGGCCCAGGTACCCTGCAGACACTGGAACTCTAGTGGGCCTGGGCCCTCGCTGACGGGGCGCCAGGAGACCTGAGGCATTGAGGGGGGCTCGGGCCTTCCCCCAGGCTGGGCCCTGCTGCTAGGGGCCTTGCCGGGGCTGCCTGTGGGAGGTTTGGGGGGGAGGGCAAGAGCACCACCGGCGGCCCTGGGCCCAACTCAGCGAGGGGCCAGGGGCCAGAGCCTGCCCAGAACAACTGCTTCCCTGCCTGGTCCCGGGCTGGTCCCCGCCTGCTTTTCTCTGTGCAGTGGGCTCAGCTGCCACCTGCTCTTTCCGCAGCCCTACGTCCCCAGGGACCCCCCCGTGCTGCGTGTCACGGAAGGCCCCTTCTTCTCCGAGGTGGCAGCATACTACGAGCACGTGCACCAGGTGGTCCGGCTGTACAACCTGCCAGGTGCGCTCTGCACATGAGGAAGGTCAGGGAGGAGGGGTGGCCCCCCCAGGCTGTGATATGCTCTTCCTTCTGCCTGTTCTCTGTTCGTACATCTGTTCCTGAGAAATGACCATGGAGGCAGGGAGGAGGCTTAATTAATTCTCCCGCGGGAAAGGCCGTCCTGGAAGAAGTGCTGGGAACGGCCTGGGGCGGGGTGGGCACAGCCCGTGCAGCTCCACCTCTCACGCCCTCCCGTGGCCCCCGTGCACAGGGGTGGAGGGGCTTTCTCTGGACATGTCGTCCCTGGTGGACATCCGGGACTACGTCAACAAGGAGCTGGCCCTGCGCATCCACACAGACATCGGCAGCCAGGGCACCTTCTTCACAGACCTCAACGGCTTTCAGGTGATTCGGGGGCCGTGCCCTGGAGACCCCATCGAACCGAACCGGGACGGTGTTTGCTTCCATCACAAGCACCAGGGTGTGTGGGGGGGGAGCAGGGGTCTGCCCTGATGGAGAAGGGGGAACCAGGCCAGAGTGGTCAGGGGCTCCTTCCAACTGGGGACCCCCTGGGGCCCCAGTGACAGCCCAGCTGCCCCTGACCCGCTGGCCCCGCCCCACAGGTGCAGCCCCGGCGGTACCTGAAGAAGCTGCCCCTGCAGGCCAACTTCTACCCCATGCCGGTCATGGCCTACATCCAGGACACCCAGAACCGCCTCACGCTGCACACAGCCCAGGCCCTGGGCGTCTCCAGCCTCCGAGATGGTGAGTGGGGAAGAGGATGGGAAGGGGAAGCATGTCCTGCCCCAGGGCCTCCCCCTCCCTCCCTTCCTTCCATCCTTCCTTCCTTCCTTCCTCCCTTCCTTCCTCCCTTCCTTCCTGTCGGCCTCACCTCCACTTGGAAAGCGGGAGGCACTAACTAACAGCTGCCAGTCATGGCTGCTGGAGGCGGCAGGCACCGCCGTCTGCCTCTGCCCTGGTGGAGGCGTCCAGGGGGTGGGTGCCCTGCTAGATCCCCTCAAGAGGCGGCTGAATAGCGAATGGTGATTCTCAGCGATGGTGTGTAGCCCCCTCCTGGCCCGGATGGGGAGGGGGGCAGTCGGAAAACTCCATCGATGTTGTGATGAAATAGATAGCAAAGAAGAAAATTACAACACCGTCTTCCTACTCATGGTCGTTAAAAGAGAGTGACATTTTTAAGATTCAGAACAAGGACACTCCGAGCACTGCCCTGGAGCTGGTCAGCTGGGCGAGCCCGGGCATCTCTGTGCCCTCGGGGCAAAGTGAACAGCTTGCACTTGGTGGCCACAGGGGCCTTCAGGTCCCCCTTCAAGATGGGCTCTGGTGCAGGGCTGAGCGGAGAGTGCCCTCCAGGGTTTGCGGGGCCGCTGTGGGCTCTGCTGCCCTCACCTCCCGCCCCCGACTCGGCAGGGCCGGCGGCTGCAGAACTTTCCCGGAGTCTGTGCCCTGGATTCCTAACAGAGCCGTGTCCCACTTGGTTCTCTCTGCCCTTCCGGGAAACAGTGTGCTGAGGAATGATGTCTTATGTGCCAGGAGGCTGTTCTGGGACTTCCAGCTATCATTCCATGATTGCTCAGGGTCAAGACTGAGCAGCTGCCGAAGCTAGAACCAGGGCCAGGGCAGTGGGAAGGTGGGTAGGGCCAGCTGTGTGGGGTCCGCTGGGGGTTCTTAAAAAAACACAAACAAAAAACAGCTCCTGGGAAAACTCTCGTTCCGACATACGCCAGCTTTGCAGTGCACCCCGTCCCCTACTATATTTTAAAAGAAAGCCAAGGTGATCACCCCCAAAGGACACCTCATTTGAGCCCCAGCCTGACTGGCCATCTGGCTGTCCTCTCCCCAGCCCTCCTGACTGACCGGACGGGCAGAGCCGGGGTCTGTTCCCACCCAGAGCAGGGGCGGAGAGTGCGTATTCTCCACAGGCTCTGCTCAGCCCGAGAAAACCTGCCCCGTCAGGGCCTCGGCACCAGCTGCTGGGAGCTGGTGCTGGCGGTTTTGCGTTTGCTTGTTTAGTTTGTTTATGCAGCTGGTCTAGGCTGGTCTCCTGCCTGGGCATCTGGCTGGACCTGGCTGTGAGTCACAGAGCCGAGACAGTGATCTGCCAGGGCTGGCCTGCCTGCCTGCTTCCAGCTCCGGATCCCTGGGCTGCATTTTCTCCTGAGTGACAGCTTCCAGCCGCCCACAGGGCTTTTCCACCAGGGTCTGGGGTCAGAGATCTTCCAGAGCCACTGTCTGCTTGGGCTGGGGACTCACGGGCCACTTCCACAGGCCAGCTGGAGGTGATCTTGGACCGGCGGCTCATGCAGGACGACAACCGAGGCCTGGGCCAAGGGCTCAAGGACAACAAGAGGACCTGCAACCGCTTCCGCCTCCTGTTGGAACGGCGCACCCTGGGCAGTGAGGTAACTTCAGGGCCTGCCTCGCAGGGTGGGCGGCCCTGGGGTGCCCAGCTGGAGCTGGGCAGGGAGGCCAGAGCAGAGCCGGTTTCCTGGTGGGGAGTGAGCCTGATGATGCTGTGAAGCTCCGCCTCCTGCAGCCCGGCACCTCTCTCCCCACCGCACCTGTTTCCCCGTGTCCTCCTGTTCATCTGCCACCCCCCCCCTCCGCCCCCTGGTTGCACACTAAGCCCCGTTTGTCGAGTGGCTTTCTCTGCCCCCAGCAGCCTGGATTTTTCTCCAGAGTGTCAGCCATTGTTTAGGGACTGGTCTTTCACAAGAGCAGGAGCCGTAACCAAGAGGTGAGGGCCGGCAGTGGGTACAGAGCTAGTGCTAGCAGGCCGTGATGGGAGTCGGGGCCCTCGATGACCCCCTGCCCGTCCGCCTCCCGGCTCTGTGCTCTCACGTGTCTGAGACACCGACTCTGCTCCCCAGGAGTTTATTCATGGGTCTGGGTGGGGGGCAAGCCAGGTGTGTAGAAATATTAGCTACTAAATAGGTGTGCGCACTGGTCATGAGGAGCCAGAGAGTGTTGTGGGCCAAGGGAATCAAGGATGGCTTCCTGGAGGAGGTGCTGTCCAGGTGTGGCTGTGATGAATGGGGCTCTGATCTCATTCTTTGATGAATGGGGAATAGCAGGGCATTCCCTCAGGCTATGGGTGCCTGTCCAGTGTGGCTATTTGAACTAACCGGAGCTAAATACAAAAACGAACGCGTTGCTCATTTGTACTCACAGCCCGTCAAGTGCTCCAGCGCCACGCGGGGTAGTAGCTACCGTATTGGTGCAGAAGGAGCATGTTTCCATCATTGCAGGAAGTTCGTGGCAGCCCTGGGCTGGCTTGGGGTCGGTGGGGGCAGACTGCAGCGGGCCTTGCACGCCTGGCTTAGAGTCTGCACTCCCATCTGGGGGCCAGGGAAGGATCTCAGGCGGGAGGGACATTGTCAGGACTCTGCCCTGAGCATGTCACTCCAACAGCAGCGGGAAGGGTGGGTCTGGGGGAAGAAAGACAGTTGGTGGCTTGCCCCCGAGCCAGGGGAGGGGAGGTCCGGGGCAGGGGCAGGGGTGTGGATGTGAGGACACAGCAGAAGGGGTCCTGAAGACAGGCCGGAGGGAAGCGAGATTCTGGGAGGGCGGGAGTATAGACAGAAATCCAGAATGTAGGAAAGTGGCGTCTTGGAGGTAAGTGAGTGTGTGACGTCCGGGTCGGCCACCCAGGTAGTCTCAGCACATCCGTGGGGACCGCTGGGCCTGAGAGTCAGGGCTGGGGCTGGGGCCTCCTCCATCAGAGGCCTGTCCCCACGGTGAAGCACGTCTGTCTGCCTGCCCGCCATCCTCCCCGTGCTGAGAGTCTCTCCACGTGACAGGGAGTGTTGCTGATGGGAGTGTGTTGTTCATAGTAGTGTCGTTGAAAAGGGAAAAAAAAACCCAAAGTAGAGAAGAGGTGGCCCACAGAAGAGGCCCGTTCTAAGTGGTGTGTGATGGGAAGTGGCCGCGCTGGACGGGCCCCGGAGCCGGGCTCGCCTGCGTCCAGCCCCAGCAGGGAAGCTCTTCCCAAAGGAACTGACCCGGTTGTGTTGCCTCCCCGGCTCTGTCCCCTCACCCGAATCTCGGCCCACCTTGCAGGTCCCAGACGCCCACTCGTCCAGCTACCCGTCCCTCCTCAGCCACCTGACCTCCATGTACCTGAATGCCCCAGCGCTTGCCCTGCCCATGGCCAAGAGGCAGCCTGCAGCCCCCAGTCTGCGCTCATTTCACCCTCTGGCCGCCTCCCTGCCCTGTGATTTCCACCTGCTCAACCTGCGCACGCTCCAAGCCGAGGTGAGCACCCCGCTGGGCCCTGCCCCTCCAGGACTGTGTGCTGGCCCGTCCTCACCCAGACTCCTCCCTGTCCCTGTGCCGCCTCTGGGCAGAGGGGCTGCTGCACCTGGAGCCCCGAGCAGCACCCCCACAACACTCACACACCGCCTCCGTGCTGCCTGTCACCCAGGATGATGCCTTGCCCTCGGCAGAAGCCGCGCTCATCTTACACCGCAAAGGTTTCGACTGTGGCCTCGAGGCCAAGAACCTGGGCTTCAACTGCACCACAAGCCAAGGCAAGGTGAGCAGGGCCCAGGTGTGGCAAGAGCCCCTGACGAGGGGAGGTAGGGAAGTGGGGCGACTGGGAAGGGCAGGCGTGAGACAGGTTGTTGAGACTGCAGTGGGGTCAGGCTGCGATCAGAGGGCAGGGGTCACTCTGGGCCTTTGCAGAGAGAAAGGGGAAGCTGCTGACACCCGTGTTCAAAGCTGTTGAGGGTTGGCGGGCCAGTTCTCCATGAGGCGCGTAGCTGGCCCTCTCTTCCATGAGTAGGGACGCCCATCAAACAAAGTAGAAGTCACAGAAATAAAAAACCAAAGGCCGTCAGGCTCATTCGTGCTCTAAGCCGGCACTGATAAAAAGCCCCCAGATGCTCAGAAGTGAACCAAGATGCGGGCCCTGTGCTCAGACGGCTCACAGCCCAGTGCCGTGGCCGACCCTCGGTCCAAGGGCAGGCTCTGGGCTTGGGCCCGTGTGGGCGAGCCTGAGACTGGGTGCAGACCTGCACGTGTGAGGGGCACCTGGCTGCCGAGCGGGGCTGCAGCAGGTTGCCTGGAGGAAGAGCTGCCTCGTCTGGCATGCCAGCCCCCAGCACAGCCCTGCCCCCTCTCCTCCGCACAGGTGGCCCTGGGGAGCCTCTTCCACGGCCTGGACGTGAGTTTCCTGCAGCCGATGTCCTTGACTTTACTGTACCCGCTAGCCTCGCCCTCCAACAGCACCGACATCTACTTGGAGCCCATGGAAGTCGCCACCTTCCGCCTCCGCCTGGGCTAGGGCTTCCTGTGGCCTGGAGAGCAAGTTCGTCCACAGAGACCGCCTCTAACACAAGGTCGGGCTGGACGAGCCACGCAGGGTGTCTCCTGCCCCGATCTACCTCTCAGAACTCCGACAGACTGGGCTCGGCCCTCACTTCCTGGTTGTGGCTGCTTCTGTGTTTAGGGGCATCCCGTGGCTCAGTGTTGGGTAGCCAGGGTCAACGCTGGCGAGATCAGGGAGACCCGGCCCTTGGTTGGAGCGGACAGGGCCAGCCTCGGCTTGGGGTGCGAGCGGCCGCTCCGTTGGGCACAGGCCCAAGCACCCATCTTTTCTCCAGAGTGGGATGTCGGAGAAGCAGGAGGGGTAGGGGAGGCTGAGGGGGTATGGTCTGGCCTCAGAGTTGGTGGGTGACGGAGGATCCTGTGGTTGTGTAGGGACTCCCTGTCCCAGCGTGGTGGGCAGGGGGGGATGGGGGCCCAGAGCCCATCAGGCGTTGCAGTGCAGCGGGAGGAGTCACTAGACACTGTCATGGCCAGAGGTCGCAGGACTCTTCAGGTACAAATCCTGTCTCGGACTGGGCCCTTGGTCTATATGTTGATTTGTTGGAATGTGGCGGGGCTGTGGGGGGTCCTCCACCCCACTGATGCCTCTTCAGTTCCTGTACTCTGCACCCCACTGTGCCCCCAGAGCTCCTTCCGATCACGGAGTGTGTGATGGGCCAGGCTTCCTTTGCCAGGAGAGGAAGCGAAGCCTCCGGGACCTCCTGTGCGCGGGCGACCTGAGAGGGCTTTTGGCAGCATCCCTCCAGTCAGACCACGAAATTCCAGCGTCGGTGCACCCTCCTTTGGAAGGGCTCCAATCCTGGTGTGGGGACCAGGGCTGGAGGACTCACCTAGAGGCACCGTGGCTGCTTTATTTCAGCTCCAGTTAACAGAGAAAAATTCACGACAGCCTCTACAGATGTTGAAACGGCATTCGGCAAAATTCATAACCTGCCCCTTCTTAAAAGTTTGAGATTAGAAAGAGACATGCTGATCTAGGTCAAGGTCTCTGTCAGAAACCCGCAGTTGATGGCATTTTTAAGAGAAACTCCACAGGTGTCCCCATTGAGGTCAGAAACCGGCTGAGGCCCGAGTAGTGTTTAGGAGAGTCCGGCACTGCCAACCCCCTCGGTGAGGCAGAGGAGGGTGATGAAGGAGAGTTACAACTGTCATTATAGGTAGACGACAGAAGGGCCGGTCTGTAAGACCAACCGAACAGCTAGTAAGAGCCTTCCGTAAGCTGACCCAGCTGTAGAGACTCTGGCTCTCTCCAAACGGCCTGTAAATTCATCGTATTCCAGTGAGATTGGGTATTTTTTGAAATTTGACAAGTTCTAAAGTTCATCTGGAAGAGTAAATGTGTGCGAATACTAATTGTGAGTACTGATGAGTCAGGCGGGGGTACCTGTGCCACGTGGGTGGCAGGCACTCGGCCTGCGGGGCTTCCCACAGGAGGCTTAAGGGACTGTGATGAGTTCAGTGCGTGTGTCCTGGGGGGACAAGTGGGACAGGCCATGCACAGTCCCACTGTGCATGGGAATTTAGGATAAAAGCAGTATTTACAGGGAAAAAATGGATTATTTAATAAGGAGTACTTTATCTATGGAAGTTAGACCTTTGCCTCCGAATTTCCACAAGAATTTGTTCCAAAGGGAAAAATATCAAAAAGCTAAACTACAAAATTACTGCAGAAAATATAGGGTATTTTTGTACCTCTGGTGTGGGAAGGTCTGTTATAAATGACATGAAACCTAAAAGGTTTTTATAATAAGGGGAACGATAGGTTTTTTTTTTGTTTGTTTGTTTGTTTGTTTGTTTTTACCACAAACACATTCAGAGTTTCTGCATGATGGAAAACACTAAGGTTAAAGGACAGGTGGGGGAGAACATGCAGCATTTCCAAAACTGGTGAGTGCGAATACTTCAGGAGAAAAGCTCGCTCAACAGCTACGTAAAGCTGCGAGAGTGACACTGTGGAGTTCTTCCCCAGCCTCCTGGGACACTCAGAGTCCCACCTGTGTCACAGTGTGAGAAACAAGGTTATCAGCCTGGAGGGCAGGCTGTGGAGTGAAGTTCCGGTGACCGGAGACCAACGCAACACAAATAAGAATTAAAACCTAACTGCAGTGCGTAGGGGGAAAGGCGGGTTCCTGGCACAGCCCGTTGGACCAGTCTCTGAGAGGAGGGGCCAAGGAATCTGCATTTTAACAAGTTCCCAGGTGATCCCTTTGCATACCAAACTGGGAAATGGGCCTACGGATTTAAGGCAAGCAGCAACCCTTGACCATGGAGCGCTGGCACTGAGGCCTCACAGTTGTGACCGTTAACAATCGAAACTGGAGCCAGGACCGAATGCAGAAAGGAGCAACTTCAGCCACTGGAACTGGATAGAGTTCTGTACCTGCGCTTTGTCCACCTAGAACCGTCCTGTTTACGTGAAAAAGGGAGCTGTATGGCGAGGTAGAACCCAAACAGAGGTCTAGTTTGGCTTGTGGTGGGTGAGTATAACCTCGAATATCTGTGTAGGGGAAGTGACATCTGTACCCTGCAACTGACCTGCTTACCACACTGTCACTGTGGTTAGCAATGACACTCTGGCACTTACATAGGGGATCAGTCTGACCATCAAAGTCAAGATCTCTAAACATCTTTTTCCCTAAAAAAATGTGTACAAAGAACAAACACTTCCAAGTGGCAGTTCTCAGAGTTCGATTTGTCTTAATTCTCTTAGGGCAAACCAGGTCCTTCCTAACAAACCTCAAGTTTTATTTAAGAGTTAATGAGAAATCATTTCAGTTAGGACCAAGTGGGCCTGCAAAGAGCTTCCACTCACTTTGACTCCTGACTTTTGACCTCCCTAGTTGAGAATAAACCTGCACTGGAAGTGAACTGTACGTAATTAGGTGGTCTGCACACTGCTAGGTTGTGGAGGAGGCCTTTTTGGCTTTTGGAACGTTGACAGGAATGAAGATTTAAGACACGGCATTGAGTGTAAAAGCCTCGAGAAGTTCTAGAAATGGGTGTCCCCTCCTGGAATGCCTAGGACTTAACATTCAAACTAGAGAACTAAGCATAGCTCTACCGCTGCCCCCTGGTGCCTAAGAATGCTGCATGAAGTATTTAAAGTGTAAAAGCATTCTAATTCTAGGCCAGAAGCAAAATTTTGGGTTCCCAGCTCAGCCAAAGTGAGCCTCTGTGTAAACTGCGAGGCACCCTGTTATCACAGACTTAAGGGAGTGATGTGCTAATGTTAATTTTTTGGTGTTGGTTCTAGTTTGGTCATATAGCGTTTCTGTGTCTAAATACTAAGGTGTTTAGGGGTGATAGGGCATCAGGTCAGCAAGTTCATCTCAAGGGGTTCAGGGGGAAAACTTAACGTATCCTCTACTTCCAACTTATCTGTGAGCTTCTGATGGTTTAAAAAAATTGAATTTAAAAAATAAATACCTTCTATATTTGCTCAGATCAAACAGGTTGCCTAAGAAGGCCTAAGACTCATAGTCTAAATGCACTAGCCGTTTTGGGCCTGATCTTCATGTCCATCCAGGGGTTGGAGTGACATCAACGGTGGTCACTCTCGTCTGGTTGCAGGGCCTAGCAGTGAGTGCGGCAGAACAGGAGAGCAGTTCTGGTCCTGATTCCGTCACTCTCCCACCCATTTTACCACGAATGAGCCTGCTCACCTCTCCAAGCTTATTCCCAGAAGAATCAGAGTAGCCCTGCCCTGCCCATTTGGTTATTATAAAGAACACTGCATGATGTGAGGTTTGTACAGCGTTACGCTCCTTGTACTCTCTTTTCATTCTGAGGATACAGAAGGGGGTTCATGTTCGTTAAATTGTCCTGAAACTTAAATTTTAAACCACTTAAAAACTGCAGACTGATTTTGAGACTTTGGCAAATAAATAGTTTAAAAAATCCTGTAACCGCCTCCCCCCCAAAAAAAACTAATTAAAAAAACAAACCCAAATTCTCTACAGAGTACCTGCTCTGCCGAGTGTAAGAAGATTACACTCGACTTTTGAACGTCATTTATCTGGGACTGTCCTGGAACTCGTTTCCTTTTAAAGTCATATTTTTTGTGGCCCTCTGTATTTTTCATTTTTTTCCTGCAAACTGCACTGGGCCTTCTTTGAATGAAAAACCATCATGGTCCGGAACGAAGTGGCTTCGACTTAATAATGTACTCATCCCTAAGGGGTACCCTCTTCAAGGGGGCTAATAAACCTCATGGGCTTAGCAGGCACCAAAAACCCGCCTCCCGGTGAATGCCCCAATCGGAGGCCCCCCTCAGGCTCCGCCCACTGCCGTGCCTGGGGGAAAGGCCACTTCCGGAGCCACCCGGAAGTCCCTGTGGCTTAGCAACCAATGAATCCCGCGAAATGACAAGGCTTCGACCCCAGCTGTGCCAGGGCCCGGGGTATTCCACCGACTCTACCACGCAGCTGCTGGGGTCTCTCCCGTTCTCAGCAGGGCTTCAAACTGGCCGGTGGCATTCCTTTCCAATTCATCTGCCACCAAGTCCAACTGTAATGGGGACAACTCCCATTTTTTGAGCACGTGTCAGGCTCCTTCAGGCGCTACGTGTAAAGTAACCCTGAGAATTACACAGCCTTGGTCATTGATAAGGAAGCCAGGCTCGGAGCAGGTATCCCACCTACCAGCTCCCCACTCCAGAGTCTGGAGATGGAGCAGCAACCTAAAGTTTCACGCAAAATGCTTTATTTTCCATGACTATGAACAAGTGTTTATACAAGCCCAAGTACCTGAGGGACCAGAGACCCAAAAAGGCAGACTCAAGGCCTGAAGGGCAGTGACGGTGTTAGAAGTGGATGGGGAGATGTCTGACTTCCACAATCCAGGCTCAGCTTAGTAGTCGGCAGGAGATGTTCTGAGTGTGAAAAGGCAAATGTTTTTGGCTGCCGGGCTGAGTGAACTGTGCAGGCAGCTGGAGAGGTGCCAAAAGCCTAGCGTATGACTCCACTCTGGCCTGGACAAGGCTGGCGTCTCTGCCACTCTGGCCAAGCACTGCTCAGAGTGCCAAGCCCCGCTCTGTAAACAGCTGTTTCAGAGCCTCTTCCAGAGGCCGGTTTGTTCCCTGAAGACCCTTCACCACCTGCGCTGCCCACTCAAAGTATTCCTGCACTCGATGCTCAGACCACCCTGCAAGTGAATGGACAGAAAACTGCTCACAACGTGCAGGGCAGCACTGGATTCTGCCAACTTCCTGGGGGTTCTGGTGCAGGGCCAGGACTTCTTGATGGTATGATTTGTCCTGACAGCTTCCCTTTGGCCCCGCTATAGTACTGTATTTCTGCCCTATGAAAGCAGATCAGAGTGATCTAGTAGAATTAGTCTGGAGAATTAACCAAAACTCCAGGCTTTTTTTTCCCCCAGGGGAACTGACTAACCTGGGTCTCCAGAAGGTGGACCCTCCCCTTTCCCTCAGAGCAGGTTGGGGAGTCCTACCCTCTGGGGTGCAGCGATTCAGGTCCCTCAGATTGTACAGCTTGTCCGCCAACTTCACCAGTTTAGCCCCTGGGCTGCTGTGGGGAGCCCGCTCCACTTGCAGCCTTTTTCTCTCCAGCTTGGGCAGAGTCTTGTCATCTGTCACCTCTTCCACCAGACGCCTCACCTGTGCCCCAAAGTGCAGCTCCACTTCATCCAGGGTGGTGTCTGTGTCCTCCACGGTGTCATGGAGCAGGGCGGCCTGGGGACAGGTTTCCACTCAGCCCTGTGAGGCCAGGCAAGGGGTGCCCAGAGATGAATGGGGCCCGGATCCCCAACCCAGCCTCCTGTCAGAGGAGGAGGAAAGTTACCTGTAACACCACAATGTCAGTGATTCCCGCCTCATGGGTCAGGATCCGAGCCACACCTGGCAGGGCAAAGCAGGAAGTCAGACCCGAGGGGAATCCCAGGCACCCGTGTTGTGGGTTTTGTAGAGTCAATAACTGGGTGGCCTTGGCCAAGTCTTTACTTCTGGGTGTCAAGCGTCCACAGGGAACAGCCAAGCCCACCGCCCCAGATTGTATGAGGCTTAAACACCTAAAGTGACGGGCACAAAGCTGCGTGCAGGGTAAGTGCTCAATGAGGTGCACGCCCCCCGACCCAACACCATTGCGGTTGTTCCCCGGGCTCCGTGCCGACCGATAGGGTGGTTGATGTAGGGGGTCCCTTCGGGGTCCTTTCGCCGCTGCCCACTGTGCTTCCGCGCCGCGAAATCTGCAGCCTCCAGCAACTGCGCCGCCTCGGAGCCCATCGCCTCGGGGCGGGAGACCGCGCCCCCGAGAGTTTGGTAAGCCCGGGCCGAGCACCACAGCGCCCCCTGGCGCCGCGGAGGCCTCGGGGATTGTGGAATGAGGTCCAGATGGCAGTTTGAAGGAGGAAGACAGAAAAGAAATAAAACAGTGGCCTCACAGTGTGCTGAGCACCGGGCAGGAAGAACAGGTGACTGTTACCGAGGCGGAAGGGCAATTCACCTAGCCTCAAGGACAGAGCCAGCCAGCTTCTCCCAGGAGGGACTTCTCTCCCCATGAAAATCTCCAACCTGTCAATGCTCTGAAAATTCTCCAAGTGCTTGAAAAATAATTCTCCCTGCAGGGAGGGACCTGGTTGTCAAGGGCAGGGCACCTTCACTTTTGGGCCCAGACGACCCTTGGGCCTGACCTTCTGGAGACGCGAGCCTATGTTGGGAGCTCTGCTGTATAGCTTCGGATTTAGCCTCCCAAGCATCAGCGATGTTTCTGCAGGAATCGACTTCTTTGCTCTCATGGGCTGGGGCAAATTTTGTGTTTCTTTCTTGGCAATCCCCGGATGCCATAGGGTTCCTGCTTCAGCCCCCCCAGCACCGACCGTGCACTGTAGGGTGAAGTCTTTCCCTGTGACATGGGATCAGCTAGTTGCTAAGTAAACTTCAGACAGGTAGCATCAGTGCTTCAGCTGGCAGCTGGGGCAGATGAGGACTCGGGGGTGGGAGTCAATGAGAGGACTTGCCCTTGGCTTTCAGCTTGTCCTGGTGGTTGTCACATGCAGAGGTTAGGGAGGGAAGTTCCCAACGCTTGGACTGAGGCCTCTGGTGCTTGAAATGGAACAACTGGAATTCTCAGAGAGGTACGTGGGGGTACCTAGGACCAGGGCGGAGGTGGCGGTCACCTCTCATGGGCTTCCAGAGGAGCTCCCCATGGGGCTGCGGCTGCTCTTCAGCTGGATGCCCAGCTACCTCTCCCGCAGGCACAGCAGTCTCCTCCGTACCCCCCTTCCCCTTTCAGGTCCCCTACTCTCTCAGCAAATCCGGGCTCTTCTGGAAAGCTGGTTGGGAGGAAGGGAGCCTGCCCCTTCTATACATCTGATCCCTTTCACTCTTCCAAAGGTGCGGAGTAGGGTGTGGACAGTTCATTCGCGCCTGTCTCCAGGCCCCTTGCCTCTCCTTTCAGTATTGGCTCAGCACCCTCACTTGTACCAAACCACCCAGGATACCCTGCGGCTGGCCACCACTACCCTGGTTACTTGGGTCCTCAGCTCTCTGATCCTCCGGAGGAAGCCTCCTACTGCCACCTGCAGGCTGCAGGGGGCTCCTGATGCGCCAGGGCTAAGTTTGAGGCCAGCACCCACTCAACCTGTCTGCTCTTCAGCCTCAGTCCATCCCCAGGTGAGAACTCCAGCCCCGAAGCCTTGGGAACACTGCCAGGGAGTTCCAGGGTCGGGGGCTCCTAAATTCTGGGGTGGGAGACTAGTGGAGAAACAGACTTCAAACAGAAAATCAAGCCAATACGTGATTACAAACAGTTCGGTGAAGGAAAAGTTCAGGGGGCTGTGAAAGCGGGTAACAGTGAGGCACATATGTGTTTTGGGGGCAAGGGTCGAGACTGATAGGATTTGGTACTTCGTGGATTACACACATTATTATCGGGGTTTGCAATCCTGACTTTCCATGGATGGTGTAAGCCTACCTGTGGGCCCCCTGAATTTGTGTTTTCCAGGGAGTGGGCTTGAGCTTTCTCTGGACTCTCTCGGGCTCTGTTACCCACAGACTGCACTAGCGGGAACCAGCATCCTCATATTGCTCCCTCTCCCACAGAGACCCGGCCTGCTCCCAGCTTTGGGCTTCCTGCAGGGTGCTGTTTGCAGCCCTGGTGATGACACACCTCCTGCACTTCCACGGTGGTCGGCGCCTCGGCCGCTGCGGGTCTTCCAGCACGCGCCCCCTGCAAGTCTAGATGGGAATAGACAAGGCGCGCCCCGGCTTCCCGGAGCCTGCTGACCCGGCTGAGCGCCCCGCCCCTTCCCTACGCGCGCACGCTTTGGCCCCGCCCCCTTTCAGCCACCGCCCCTGACGCAGGCCTGGGGCGGGGCGGCGGACTGCGGATCCCGGAGCTCAGACTCACCCTGCTTCGGAGATTTCCCCGGCGCGCGCTCGGGGCGCCCCTTCCGCGATGACTGTGAGTGGTTCAGGGACCGCCCCTGAACAGCCCACCATCCCCGGGGTGCGTACCTACCTCCTCACCCCCGGCAAATCACCACTTCGCACCTGCTCTGACCATCCCAGCCTCCTCCCTCAGCCCTGGCCCAACATGAGGCTCATCCCGGACCCCCAGCTCCCAACTCTGCCCTGAGCCCATCTCCACCCTGAGCCCATCTCCGCGTTTCCACCGCTTTCCTCCACAGGCCACCTCAGTGGAGCAGCTGCGGAAGGATGGCAACGAGCTGTTCAAATGCGGGGACTACGAGGGCGCCCTGACGGCCTACACCCAGGCCCTGGGGCTGGGCGCCACGGCCGAGGACCAGGCCATCCTGCACCGGAACCTGGCCGCCTGCCACCTCAAGCTGGTGAGGGAGCCCCCTGCCCTTGCCCTGCCGGCTGTGGTTTGCCCATCTCGCCACTGAGGGGCTCCTGGCAGGACATTCACCCTCTCAGGCCACACACACCTGTGGGATGTCTTGGGCCTCCTGGTGGTAGAGAAGCACCAGGTGATTCTGGAGGCCAATCCTGCCGCCCAGTTAGTGCCCTGAAAAGGAGCTGAACAGTCAGCCAGGCTTCTGTTTCTCCTTTTACAGGAAGATTACAACAAAGCAGAAGCCGAAGCTTCCAAAGGTAGGGAATGTGCCGGGTGGGGAGCTGTGGGGCTTCTGTGGTGGGCAAGGACTCTGGGGCCACTGCACCGTCACATTCTCCTCCTTCCCCCTAAAACACGCCTGCCTCTTTCCCACTTCCTCGGGCATTTCCTTTTCTGCAGCTGCCCTCACCTTTTCCGAGGCTGAAGTGCTGAGCCCCACATCCATCCCCCCACCTTCCTCTGGCCCTCAAGATCTTTCCCTCCTGCTCTTGCCTGGAGACGGCGGCCGCATGGGCGCTGACAGAGCTCCCGTTTGTGCTCAGCCATTGAAAAGGACGGTGGGGACGTCAAAGCACTTTACCGGCGGAGCCAAGCCCTGGAGAAGTTGGGCCGCCTTGACCAGGCTGTCCTTGACCTGCAGAGATGCGTGAGCCTGGAGCCCAAGAACAAAGTTTTCCAGGAGGCCCTGCGCAGCATTGGCGGCCAGATTCAGGAGAAGGTATGCGAGTGGCTGAGAGAGAGCATGGCCTTCACTGGTGGCAGAGGGACACCTGTAAATGGATCTGGGTCAGAGGGGTAAACACAGGTCTTAAGAAAGGAGGTACCGATGGCACATGAGCATGCAGCACGGTGCTCCCCGAGCCAGCGGGGAGGGACAGCAAGCAGAAATAACAGCGAGGTGCTGTTTTCTCGGTGGCGGGCTGTTTGGAAGTTTGTCCATTTTACTAGAAGCAGGGAGGCAGACCCTTAAGCGGTGAGGTTGGGGGGCAAGGGCCCGCTCCTGGCTGCCGGAGGTCTAAGTTGGTACAGCTAACTGGGAGAGCATTTCAGCATAGCTCTGAAAGTTGTAAATGAGCATACCCTGTGATCTGGGATGTTTCCATGTCTCCCTAGAGAAGTCTTGCCCGTGGTCACGAGCAGGTGTGTGTGTGTTTCTGTCAGCCCTGTTTATCTCAAGAACTGGAGCTTGCCTAAATGCCCAGCCGTGGGGGAATGGCTGAGGACCTGGGCAGTGTCCTTACTACAGGCTCCTGTGTTGTGGTTACGGTGGAGAGTGGGTAGATCCGCATACGTACATGTGGAAACCTGGCGCTTGTTAAGTGAAACACAAAATGCACAATAAGATATGTAGCGGGATGGTATTTGCATTCAATGCTTGCCTCACATACACACCTCAAGACAATACCATATTTTTTCTTTGCATACACTTGGGAATGTGAATGTGAAGGAAAATAACTTAAAAGGTACGTGTCAAAACGATAACAGTGTGACCCCTGGGGAAAGGAATCAATTTAGGAGAAAAGAGTCTAAACACCATCACGAACTATAACCGAAGTTGAATTAACCAGATAACTTGATGTTAAAATGCTGACACCGTGGAAGCAAGTACTACGATGGCAAATACATCACTGTGAGGTTGAGGCCTGGAAAGGCAAACTGTGCCCCTCTCCCTGCCCAGTGCTGTTCGACTAGCAGGGTCTGCCGAGGGCCTTGTACGGGAAGGATGAGGGAACCCATGCCTGGGCCTGGCAGCAGAATGTGCTGAGACTGATTAGTCATGTCTGCCACGGAGGCAGGAGGGGTGGGGGTGTAGCACACCTAAGGCCTGTGCCACCATCCACGCCCAGGCCCACGGTGAGAGGGAGGGCCTGGGATGACCGTGATCGTTCAGATTATTTTTGAATACATGACCCAAGGGGAGTGTTGGCAGCTACCTCCTGACCCGCTGGCCCCCTTGCAGGAAGTGTCAGTGCTGCCACAACATAGATGGCACCAGTGGGAGCGGGTAGCCCTTGGCTAACAGGATGCCTCCCCTCTGAATGGCACTGCCTTCAGCACGGGCACCGCCCCTGCTGCCCAAGCGGAAAGTCACTCAGAGAGGAAAATAGCCACAGGGAGTTTGGGAGAAGCTGCCAGGCGAGTCTCTTCCTGCCCACGGTAGCTTGGTGCCGGTCCTGAACCCAGACATGCTCACCGTGCCTTCCCAAGGCGGCAGCCAGGCCTTGGGAGCAGCCAGAGAGGACAGCGATGGGGGTGGGGGGGTGTTGTCTCCGGCCAAAGCAGGGATTTGTTCCAGGCTCTGTTGGGTTGTCACAGGTACGATACATGTCTTCGACGGATGCCAAGGTGGAACAGATGTTCCAGATCCTGTTGGACCCACAGGAGAAAGGCACTGAGAAGAAGCAGAAGGTGAGGCCCCGGGCTGAGTGAGAACTGAGCTG